TGGTTTATCGATTACATGAATTATTATTTGTGTAAATCCGACATATCGCGCTAAAGTCGCATTAAAATATTATGGATATCTAAAACCCTAAGCAACTAACTGCATTTTTACCAAACGTACAAATATAGTCAATCCAATTCTCATGTTACTCGAGGATATATCCGCTCTTCTCGGCACAATTCAACGCGAAGCTTTTGCGAGAGAGAAAGTCAATGTGAAAAAAAAGTTAGACTTTTTTTCTGCTCTCTCCAAGAGTTATATATCTGCTCGCGCGCTTCGTGGAATATAAAAGCCGACACAGTTCCGCACGGCCTGCTTCGGAGAAAATCTACTGAGTTAAATTGTTTTAGGATACCGGATATGTTTGAGCTTTTGCTTTTATGACTGTTGTGCCGAGGAAAAAAAAGGTATATTTCTACGTTGGCTTCGCAGCGGGTCGCATGGCGTGAAAATTCGATTTATTTTATAAATTGTTGACCGCTCTGTCGGAAGATATGTGTGGTCCGAAAAGAAATTGCTTCACTCCGCATCAGATTTACTCCGCAAAAAGTAGAATACGAATTTTTTTTTTGCTCAACGTACACACTACTAGTAATTTTTTAATTCGTAAATCCTGAAAAATTGAAAACTCCGCTAAATCAAGTGCCATACGTCAAATGAAGGACTATTGTGACACGTAAAAACAAGCCCAAGAAGCTAAATGCTACGCACGGAAGTCGATAAATTATAAGAAAACTTGGAGGAAGCCAAATCTAGCTGATTCATCGTTAAAACTTGGAACTGAAAATCGGACTACCGGGCGTGTCGATTGGCTCGTCTCCTAAGTGGCTTGTTTAACGTTTAAGCTCGCTCGGGTAATCTCTATTTTCACAATACAGCGCCGCACGGAGTTTCACAACAGAGTTACTGGTTATAAATCACGAGGTTCCGATATTTCTAAATTTTTTTTTCTCCATTCGGGAATTAAAATGTTGACGTTTTACAAATGATTTATCGATTTTATTTCACACGAACGTTCCATTTGGAATTTTAGATAACAAACGCAAACATTTTACGTAATTTAATTAAAAATTCAAATAGAGCTAGGTTAATCTCGAGTGTAAGTAGCAATAAATATAGAGTATATCCAGTAAATATTTCCTATTGCTTTACAATCACGTGTCAAGCAGAGCGAATCGAGTACAGTAAAACACAGTAGAAAATAGATATAGTCGTCGCTTCATCTTTCCCATTATCTTTTATGTAATATCATAGTAAATTTCTAAATATTTTTCGACTTTCGAATTAAAATTTTTTTACTCAATGTACGAAACAAAATTACACCATCAAAGCCTTTTCTTAATAGAAGCGTGTAACGAGTGTTCTGTAATGGTTTTCCGCGAGCGAAGTGTGTTTTAACAGCGTTTACAATTGTTTGATTCTCTCTCTCTCTCTCTCTCTCTCTCTCTCTCTCTCTCTCTCTCTTGCGTTCGATTTACTAACTGTTGAGATGACCTTTTAAGTGGGCATTGTTTCCTCTTTTATTTTCAATGAAATTTTTTAAATAGTATTCGGATGATATATGTGATCTAGTTCAAATTAATAAAGAATCAATCATAATATTTATGCTAAATGAAAATTTATCTGCAACATATTATGCATTTCTATTTTCAATAAAAAATAAGGAAATTCGATTAGAACAAAATTCATAATTGTCTAAGTATTTTTAGGCTCTAATCTTCCACAAAACAAGCCGGCATACAGTTTGACCTAGTCTCGAAAATTTAGGACACGAGTAGCAATTTTCAGCTGAAAGTTGGAAAAGAGAAAGACAGAGAGACAGAGAGTTCACAAAAGTAACTGTAACCCCAAGAGACGAATGGACGCAAGCGCCATATTTTAATGTCACCGATAAGTTGCCACGATTATTAGAGCGTTCCAGTTTCAGCTTCAAGCTTCCCGACGTGTAATTACTCCATCGCTCTATATCAACTCCTTTTACTCTCTTTCATTATCAAATAAAATCTATTAAATTATGTGTATTATAAAATCTATGTAATTATAATTCGAAAACGTACAGATCAAAAAACATCTGAAAACACTACGTGTTAGCTTAGTAAACTAAAAGATAATCGAATAAATCATGCTAGTCGAACATCTCTCTGTAAATATGTCAATTTAAATTTTGCCAAGGTGAAGTCACATACACCAGACGCGTAAATATACACTTTTCAATCAGAATTTACCTCATCTTATTAGATCACCTAAAATGATCGTTTTCTCTAAAATTAAGCAACGATATTATTGCAAAATAACATTATTCTAAACTTATGGACATATGTATGCTTGAAAATATATATGTGAGAAATATTAGCCTTCTAATGTCATCTTATTCAGTATAAGCGAACTTGAGCAATTAATGTGGAAAGGACCCTTGATTTGAGGGCTTACACTTGGTATGTTAATTTGTTCGTAGTCGAGTCTATTAATGCGTAATCTTCTTTTTCTTTATAGCTAATATGATGATATAACGGACAGTATGACGGTGACATCATGCAACAGGTAAACTGCATAGTTACTTTTAGAAATAGGCTACTTTTGAAACTACGATTGGAACTATACGATGAAACTTATGTTTCCATGTCAAACTTATTATAATTTTTTATTGTCAGTTGACACTATATCATCCCGAAGTATTCAATTTTTATAACTATATAAGTATTTTTTTAAACAACTAGAACAAACCCAAATAGAAAAATAGTTCAGACTGATGAACAGTAAAATCATATCTTTTCTCAAATCAAAGACAGCGGAGTGTGATGTCTTTCAAACTCATCAAATACAAAAAGAAAAAAAACAAGTGCATTGTTGCATTGTTGCTTCTCTCTGAAATCGCGCCTGAAAACGCGTGTGCGCGATCAGTCGTGAAACAAGTGACGTTATTCGCGTGTGGCTAATTCACCGTATGGGCAATGTTGTGCCATATGTCGCTGTTTGCTCATGTTATTGGAACGATCGAAGATTACACACAATACGTGTGCGCGGCGGCAAAATCTGCTCGGTCATCCAAACTCACTTCTTCTATTTCGCTTCACTTTTATTCAACGATGTCTATTTACAAAATTTCATTTATTATACAATAGAGCGAGATAGTGCACTTAAAATTGATACATTCGCAAAATTTAATTTAGACGAGCAGTGTGTGTGTGTGTGTGCGTATGTTTGGAATACTTTTTTTCATTCGAGTTTTCAAAAATGATGCTTTACGAGACTCGTAAAAAAATTCAAAACTATATGGCGTTGAATGAGGTATACGAGCGAGTACATGCCCCGTACGTGCAATATTTTTTCCACCAGGCAAGCTGACTCATGCGCTGTAGGAAATCAAATGTTCATACTATGAGTTTTACGAGAGTGATATTAATAATTTCAAATATTGCAGGTTAAAATTTGATTACTGTTGAAAATGAGAATTGCAATAAATGCATTCACAAATGACGAGCAAACAATTGAGCGTTTTAATTCAAGGTAACTTTTATCACCGAAATTATTTGTCGGTTATCACTCATCAGATTATTTATTAGCCGTGAAATACTAAATCGAGCAAATTCGAAATAGAAAGTGCCGAAGTAGCTGAAACTATCGTCCTCGGCTCCAATGAAGCTAAACCAGAGGCCCTTTGGATATCGATGCACCACGCCAACCCAGAAAGCGTCAAGCCGTTTAATACGTTAATTTGACGTCGTCGCGTGCATGTATGCGCCCAGCCCCCATCCTAGCTTCGACCTACGCGAGGCAAAAGCGTGTATATATATATATGTAAATCTTTCCGCTTTAACGAGCGCCCGCGCGCGTTGTGTAATAACGCGGCGGCATAAAAGGGGGCCACCTGAACACGAGGGATATTTAAGAGACCTGCCGAAGATTGATGAGGCCCCACTCTGCTCGCGTGCGCCGCGCTAACTTTTTAACGCGTTTTAGATGATATAGCCTTGCTTATCTTTTCGTCGGACGATATTTGAATACGCTTTTTCTTTCAATTTATGCCGAAAAATGTTCTGCGGTCGTGTAATCACGCCAACTTTTATTATCGAACTAAGCATCGCGAGCACAGTGATTTTTATTATCTTTTATGATACTACAGGGAGGAAGCTTCAACTAAAAAGAACTAAGAATCCGGAATTACTATCCAAAAGCTGCCATCACTCCCAACGATCTCCGCATAATCTGCACCACGATAGTTTCATCATTTTACGCTTAACCCAATCTTTTGAATTTAACGCGTACGAGTTCTACTTTCAACTTTTCTATCTGCGGTGAATTCATTCGTAGCGCTTGAAACACTTTAATAAAAGCTTGCAGAAATAAAAAACACGCTACGCTATAATAACGATACTCGCATACTGCCCGCGTCGTATAACTTGATCACCATGCAGCGAGGAAGGGAGAAATGATAATGTTGTCCATATTGTTTGCTCGTTCACGTTATATTTGAACTGGCTAATGTTGGTTGGTCAACGTATGCAACTTTTTTTTATCATCTTAACGGTAGTAACCGCACGTTATATATTTTCTCCGAGCCGAACTAACTTTTCCACACATTGGAGAGCAGTAAAATGCAAGAAAAAAACACCCTACAATAAGATTAAGAAACACCTCAAATGCGCGTTCGTTGGATATTAAAAAAAAATAATTAGATTTCACGTAAGATCTTCCCAAAACCTGCGGATCGCGAATCAAAAGCCTTCGAGCGTGTGAGACCAATAAAAAAATCGTGAGCGTGAACAAAAGAAAGTAGTTGATAGGTTTCATTCCTTTTGTGAAACTTTATGGTTTCACGAATCGGACTATCACAAGAATTGACCAAAGTGACGAACACGTCCGTTTTTCATTAAGACCATGAGATTAAAAAACAACTCGTTGTCTGCAAACGAGTGATATATACAAATAGAAAACCAATTTAACAGGCAACCCCTATTCTAATCTGAACGCTTTAACGATCGCTAAATTTATTATTACAGAGAGCGCGGGCAAAGATGAGGATCAGTTTGCCAGGGGTGGGCAACCCCCTGGTACAGGTGATAGTGGGGACGAAGGTAGCGCAGGACGGGACGACGACGAGGATCCGGATGAGCAACCGGCACCTCTGAGAATGGCAGGTAATCGCTTGCCGATCGGCTTTTATGCCGCCGAAAGCAGAGACGACGAGGAGGAGGATCCGGATGAACAACCGGCACCACTGAGAATGGGCAATCAGCGGCCGATAGGCTTTTTGCCGTCGTTCACCGGACCGCGCCAACGTGCTCAACACGCGCATTTCAACTTCGATCCTGAAGCGCCACCACCCTCTCCGCCTCGTCCGAATCCGCAACCGCAGATGTGCCTACTTGAAAAACCTATTGATAACAAAGTCAAGGTGAGTGTGATTGACAATTTATTTTTTTATTTATATGTTTTTTATGATAAAAAGTTGACAAAAGCGAAGATTATCGATTCGAATGATAACATAAAATGGTATCCACTGTGGAAACTGTGTGAATAATCGAAGATAGATTACAGTGATCTGCAAGAATGATGAATGAGTACAGATATCATTTGCCGCTAAAAGTATAGCGAAGAGAAAAGTTGAGGAACAAGGAAAAAGTATAGATAACGCGATAACAACGTTAACGTCGTCGGTCCAATTTGCGGCCAAATTTTCTCGCTGAATTCCATCGCAAAACTTTGCCCCTTTCCGTCCGTCTCCTCCTACGGTTTTTCCACTCTCTACGTTTACTTACCCCTTCTCGTTTGTTACCTTCTCTTGGTCTGACCGTACTCGGCTTCCCTCCACTGAATCTACTGTATAAACCCGGCTTCATTTTCACCTTTCACCTTTTATTCTCTTCCTCTCGATCATATACATACTTTTTATTCACCGTAAATCGAATCTACATTGTGAAATAAAAATATTTGAAGGTTCATCGGATGATTATTGCCTTTTCCTCACAATAGCAAGAAAATTAAGTTTTTAAATGTAAATGTTTTTGTAGGTAATACCTTGCAACAGCCAGGAAACTTTCTTTCTTAAAAATCCTTTTGCTTTGAAACTCTAAAAAGGCATATGGAAATATCAATGGCTTTCTTTGTGTTGCCCCGTCTTTGAAAAGTGCATTTATCACGCATGCTGTTTGATGTATATTCTCAGTAAGTTTCTCGTAAAACCCAACTTGAAATCTATTTTTCGTCGATTTCTCGTCAAATCAGTTTTAAAATCAGTTTGATTGAGACCAAAAAAAATCAACAGAACTTCAAACATTTTCATCCAGATCTAACGTTAAGCTTGGGATTGTCTACGTAAAAATTATGATAATGTAGCGCGCGTATGGTCCCCCAGGTGACGCTGATATCATATCGCGTGGCGTAGTTGCATTGTATGGCCCACCAACGTATGTCAACCTGTAGAAAATCAGATAAAGAAAGATAAGCGATCCATCATCATCTTCATTAGAGGCTTGTGCGCTTGCGATGCTGCGTGACTTCGGGGAATTTCACGTCTTTTGCATCGAATATGAGAGAAATTGAGGCAACGTCGCACGAGACAAGAGCAAAAAAAGCAAAAGGCAAAGTTGTACAATTTTTTCTTATCAATCATTGTCTATCTACGATGCACGCGTACGAAACTACGTTTTCGTCAATCAAATTTCGACGAATGTGTACGTATTCTGCGGTCGCTATAAACAACAGCGTGCCCTGAGCGGGAGGAAGAAGAATCGGAATAGTTGGCGCTCGGCAACTCTCCTTCTCTGATGAATTCGCGCTGACAAAGTTTGTTGATTGGATTTTGGACGTGATATATATATATATATATATATATATATATATGTATATATATATATATATATATATATACACACACACACACACACACAAATACGCGCGGTTTGAATATATTTTGGAATACTGGAGAGTCGAAACTGATACACGTAATTTCACTCAACTCCATCCTATGATACGTATCCTAATTCGGTAAGCTCATTTGAAATTTCGATTACAATGACTCTTGAGAAAAAGGGAAGGAAAACAAGCATGATACACCACGCCTACATTTATATATCCCTGCAGGACACTAGACATCTATAGCGACGTGCACACACAAGGGGTTATCTGGCGCCCCGAATGACGCGTCGCGTCTCGCATTTCGCATCACCAAGAGGCGCCACAATGTCGATGAAATACTCGACGCGATATGACACATCTTCTATTTCATTATTTCTTCTTTTCTCGCCATCAAAATGTCTAGGAATCTCGAAGGTACCATTCGTTATACATTGCAGCGTAGGCTTACCTTGAGCTGTCCATTAATCAGCGAGGCAAACATCAGGACGTAGGCAAAGTAGCATCAATCAGTGAACGCATTGCACTATGCAGCTCGTTATTGACCAAGAGACAACACAACGCTCCTCTCATTCATCCGTATGCAACGGGGCTCTCTTCGGTCTTGTTTAGTCCTTTTTTTTCCTTCTCCTGCTTGCTTTGCCGATAAAAGGTGCAATGCGCTTACGGAAAGTTTTTTCATGCTTCTCCAGCTTGTCTTCGGGAAAAAGCTTTTTGAGAAGGATTTTTCTTCTTTCTCTTTTCAAAGAATTATCTCTCGTGACGTGCAAACGATTACGGCTGAAGAAAAATTCCACACTGAGATACTCAATTTCAGACACGTACTTCGATATCGTTAACTATAGTGATAAAAGATTCGCGTAATTGAATTTACTTAAACTCTGGTAAAACTTTTTTCCCTTTTTTTAAAGAATATTTTTAACTCAAGTTTCTTTATACAGCTCTAAACTTTAGAAAAAGATCTCTCTCAAGAGATACTTCTCGATTCATTTTTACTTTTTTTCAAACTTCCTTCAAATCTAAACAATGAAAAGTGGACTCGTTTTACAGCTTTTCAACGGTCTCTTCTTCCTCCCTCCTTTTTCTGTCTGTCTGTCTCTCTCTCTCTTTCTCTCTCCTCTCTCTCTCTCTCTCTCTCTCTCTCTTTCTGGGCTCGCTGAGACAAGAGTAAATTCCCTACGGTCACAGGTAGAGAGTGAAAAAACGCAAAAATAGACGTTAAGAAAAGCCATACGAAAACAAAAAGCACTCTGAGACAGACACTGCATAGAAGAAAAAAGAATCTGGCGAAAAAAAACGAATACGACTTAACTCGGAAAAATGGTTGGTACGCTGATGTAAAAGTGCCTTTGCAGCGGACTAAGCGCGGGCAAAGAGTAATGGTATCTCCAACGCCCAAGAAAGCAAGTGCGACTTACGAGTAGATCTCCACTGCGTGAATTGACACTGCGCTCTTATCAAATATCAACGAAACGAGAAGAAAATCAATTAGCGGAAGACGTGAGAAAAGAACGTCGAAAGCAGCAGAGAGACTCACGCCGAGTTGCACACACTCCAAGAAAAGGAGGAGGGTAGGCGTATACGTACACATACTCATTGCGCATTATTAGCCCACTGGCGGGAGTAGGAGGTTGAAGACTTGGAGTGTTTGCCAGGGCGCTCCCCTTAACTGTGCCGCACCCTCGGTATACAATGCTGTCCATCACCGTCGGCTTTCCCTGCGCACCCTGTGATATATATCCGCGCGCTCCTGCCGCGCGTAGCTATGCCGTACACATATACCGACTACGATATCCCAGTTAACCAGATCAAAGTGCAACCAATATGGATTTTATTGGCCACTGCACGCTTCAACAGGTGGTACGTCTGAGTTTGTTTGCGCTCATGTAACTTCCGAACTTTCCTTTTAGTTTTTAGTTAAAGAATGATGGACCGAATGTTTTATGTTCACGTGAGTAGCGCGCTACTCGAAGGGATTTGCGTGTACCTGATCTGAAGGAGTGCGAGATAGGATGTGGGGAGTTTGTGAACGGTCATACAAGTACAAGCTGATCATGTGTTCGACTGCTCGGCTCCCTCTCTTCTCTCTCACTTAAGATTCGACTCTCGCGGCTACCGTTATGATCAAATCAATAACAATATATTCAGTCTTACCATATTATACATTTTAATTAGTGACAATTAAAGATTCAACGAAAATAATTCCAATTGTCTTATTATCTAAACACAACTCGACCGTTAATTTACCAAATTATTGAAAAAATCGAGGACAACGTTAAATAAAGATCGCAATACAAAAAATATCGCACGCGAAAATTTATTTCACTCTTCCACGACTTCATATATACTTAACGCTCACTCACGCGTACATAAAGTGTTATTAGTAACAAAGCCAGCAATTGCAGCAATGCATATACGAATGAAGGCGTTGGTGATTTCATATAAAGAAAAAATAAATTGGAGAACGGGAAATATATAATTGACAATGGATGATTATGAAGCGTAACGAGTCAATGGAGGTATTAGGGGAAACTTCATCCAATTAGGTGTACAGGTATACATCTGTACCTGACCTCAGAACGTCAGTAACGAGAAACTCGAGTATACAATAGGCTAACATTCTCAAGTTAATTGGTATCCTATTCGTACAGCATATGTCTAGTTTTTTCTCTTCAACTTATTAAATACGCCATATTGCTAAAGTTATTTCTATTTTCTATAATCCCAGCTACAAAAAGGAGAAAAATCCAAGGAGAAGAAATATCAATAATAACGAAAAAAACTATAAGCTTATACAAGCTTTTCTTCGCTCGGTGAAAAAAGTGGAAAGCCCTAACGCGAATCAAACAAAACAATGTAGAGTGGACTTGCTCTACAAACTCCAACAGGAGGCATTCATCATCCGCGACTGAGCTCAAGGATCAGATCAAGTCGTCCATCAAAATGGACGCTGAATTTGTATTACGAGCCAATTCCTTCATCGGTGAAATCAATCTTCTTTGCTCTTCCTCGTGCTTTTATTACCAGTTTCTTGTTTTCTCTCACTGATTTTCTTTTTTCTTGGTATAGCAAAAAAATTAATGCAGCCATAATAAATTTAGAAACGATCAATTTTGCAAATTCTTAGAATTTAATAAGAAAATTCCGTAAGTTAATTTATTTATTATATGAAATTCTGTTACATTAATTCATAGTACTTTTAATGCAATAGTTTAACAGTAAAGAGACAATAATTTTAAAATACTATATAATTAATAGTTAAAATATATATTTATTATATAATATTAGCGATATTATCTGTTAACAACATTTTAAATGAAGACACTTTAAACAGAATAAAAGAATTAATCTTTATCTACATTTTATAAAATTGATTAGTTTTTAAGATATGAAATACAATTTTATAATCAATATACTATTTTGAAAACTCTGTGTGCTCACTACAAATATCGACATCGAAATGTTTATGTATTGCAGAGGCACAGCATCCATGGCATGATGGAAGATGAGAACGTTATAAGGCCACATCAAGAGATGGACAAACTCTCGCTGGCTGACAAGAAGTTCTTGCTAGCTGTGGAGCGCGGTGATGTAGCTGGCGTAAGAAGGTCAATAACTGTTTTTTTTTTATTTTTCATATCTGTATTTTATTATCTTTTAGTTTTTCTTATGAATATATATTTCTTATGATTCGTTCGAATTTGCGATAATAAATTGATTGTCGGTACAACTACTAGTTTACAGCGTGAATTAAACCAACTATCATCAAAAAGTACGTACACGCCGTACTTAACTTAATTGCAGCTTTTTTACGCCGGAAGAAAAATACGCGTTTCGCGAAAACAACACACGTGCTCCACAGGACAGCGCTTTCATTTATGCGTTCTTTTCTTGTTGCACCCTGGTTTTATGCCACACAGCGTACAGATGAAAAAGAATATGTCAGAGTTAAGGACAGAGCGAATAAAAAACGATTGAAATGTAATTGAATTAATATTTATTATACCGCAAATACAAGTATTCTCTAAGTAGTATGCAAGCGTCGCTTCGCTTGTTTCGCATTCAACGCGTCGTAGACAGCCGAGAAAGAGACAGTAAAACAAAAGGGAATAGAGAGGTTATCGCCGTACAGTGCACATCACCTTGCTGCCAACAGAAGAATACCGCTGAGCGAGGAATAATATGTACACGACGCTGTTTATTCGTAAATGACAAATCCTCGTTTCACGGCTGACGTGTCGTATATGTTTACTACTTGCGTGAATCACTGGTTTTTTTGGACTTAATATTCTTTATGCGGAAGCTGTCCCTCGGAATTTTCATTCTGCACATTAACTATGTTTTTATTGTTATGCGAAATACTCTGAAACTGTGATTTTGTCAAAACGCGTTCATCTCTCATTGTTCATACGTAGACTTCTCAATTTTGAATATTACTTTACGATGAAACTTTATAATCGGCTGTCTTTATGATATAATTATATCGAATGACGACGAACACATACATAACACATTTTCTACTTAAAAATGAAAAAAATGTCACTTACACGCACTTTATGTTTTCATGAAAACTTAGTATGCTGGATGACAAACAAAACAATATAAACATCAACTGCTGCGACCCGCTGGGCAGATCGGCACTATTGATGGCAATTGACAACGAGAATTTGGATATGGTGGGCTTACTCATCGACTTCAAAGTCGACACCAAGGACGCGCTTTTGCACGCAATATCCGAAGAATTCGTTGAGGCAGTAGAAATGTTACTGGAGCACGAGGAGATGATGCATCCAGATGGCGAAGCCCATGTAAGCAGCTCTGTGTCGTTAACTTACCATAATCCCGTTTGTGGAGTATTCATTTCATTCGTTCGTTATTTTCTTCATAAAATAAACGTTATTATCTCTCTCACATCTATCGATCGCCATAATCGCGACACGAACGACTTCAATTGATGATTGGTTGATCTGTTTTACAGTATTTACATATAGATGTTTTGCTTGCTTGATAAGAATGTCAAACTAACTTAATTTTTAAATAAACGTTCTGTTCAATCTTTGATATATTGACGCACGACGTTACTTGGTTATTGTATATCATTTACAAGGTACTGATACAACATAAAAGCTATTGCATACGTTGTGTTTTTTTTTGCTTCATTTCTTAAGCATTATAGAATACTAAATTTGAACTAACCATGAGTTGAGCAAATTATGCTTTTTTATATAAAAAAACGTATCATCGTGACTAGTAATGAAAATAATCAAGCGAAAAGCTCAACAAATTTTAGCTTCAGGACTATGTATATTTTGTTTCGTGCTTATAATTATGCAAATATACCGAAATTGTCTCCATTTACACTGTACAAATATTGCCCTAACTATGCACAGTGTAAAATTATACTTATTATGTCAACGCATTTTATTTCACTGAAATCGAAAATAACGCACTAAACTGAAAATTTTTTTCGATTTATATTTCAAGTACTTTTATAATTAAAACGCTACTAAGTTATAGTAAACACAGTAAGACGTTTGCGCTCACAGAAAAATAGAAGTTTCATTATACTTGCACTCAGCTTTGAAAAACTAAAAACTTTTACCGAATGATGAAGTCGCTATACATTTGAAAGCTTTAAAAAACGCGAATGGTTAATCAACGAATGGGAAAACAATACCACGATGTAGGCTTGTAGTCGGCAATCAAATGAACTAATCAAGAGATTGTATCGTTGTTGTATCTACATAGAGCTGGGAGCGACTAAATCCTGAAATGGCAACCTTCACTACGGATATCACCCCCCTGATACTCTCCGCACACCGGGATAACTTCGAGATTATCAAGATCCTACTCGACCGAAAGCATACACTGCCGATGCCTCACGATGTCCGCTGCGGGTAAGAATTTACTGTTCCAACAATAATTCAGAATATCTCTATTTGTGCTACTGATTGATAATTTACTAAAGGTGCGTCGAATGCGTAAAATCGCGTAACGAGGACTCGCTACGACACTCGCGTAGCCGCATAAACGCTTACAGGGCACTGGCCTCGCCCTCTTTAATCGCTCTCTCCTCCCCGGATCCCATACTCACAGCCTTCGAGCTCTCGTGGGACTTAAGGCGACTCTCCTTCCTCGAGCACGAGTTCAAGAACGAGTACCAGGTGAGAGATAGGATTATCTTATGCTCCTTCCGATTAGCCGGATTTCACTGAGTTAACGTAGTTTGCTCGTTACCTTCATTTAGGTTCACACGCTCACTTCTTCAGTGTTTTTAGTTTAATATTTCTCGTTTATTTAACTAGTTTTTTTTCTGAACTTGCCGTTGGAGTGCGAGATGTCGAAAGAAGCCCGTGCAATGCGTTCGAATATAAATAATAAATTCAGAGAGCCGTGAACGTATTTGACTTGAAAAGATCGACTCCGCTGCACTGAAACAATTTTCATCTCCTTGAAAGCATTTTCGTTTCACGTTAAAAGGAACGTGAGAAAAATTACGACGATGAAAAAGCAAATGATATTTGACGAAACATTTTCAGAAATATTTATAATAGCCGACACCTTCATGCTTATGATTTTAACTTTAAAAATACATACCGTAACTAAATTCCGCGATTTCCAACGTTATCCGTAGTGACAAACTTCCACAGCGTCTCAATTATGAAGGATATATACAGAACTCTAGTTGTTTCTCGGACCCCTCCGCTCTCAGTTTTAAATGCGTCTTTGATTTATGTCCGGGCCGTAAATCAACGAGGTTACGGAGCGAGCTTTTCGCTTGCTAAAGCGTTTCTAACGATCCACGACATGCACATTAAGTCTGTTTAGCGTGCACGAAGAAGAGTGGATACGCAGAGATTGAAATTGTCATCACGCGCGGCAGAAAAATTTATGGTCTAATTAAGATTCAAAGCCCAGCGTAATATTGACAAATTAAAGCGCGTCGATCAAAGCTTAGCCACTATGGCAGTGAGTGAGATGGAATCTCGGTGTGGCAGACTCTCATCAAAAGTGAAGTAAGTGCTGAGACGCCCGGGTGATTAAGCTCTACTTTGGAAAGCCTCTCGCTACCTTGGAATTGTTAAATTGCGCCCCACGGGTATGACGCCGTCTAGCTGAGATCTCGTTAAATGTTTTAAAAGTTTTGATCGACTGTTGCCGCTCTCCGCTAAATGAAAGAAAAAAAACGTTTTCTTTTGGCTTGTTGCGAAGGAGCTTCGAAGGCAATGCCAGGACTTTGCCACTGCCTTGCTCGACCACACGAGAAGCTCGTACGAGCTTGAGGTGCTTCTTAATCACGATCCCACTGGACCAGCTTTCGAGCATGGGGATCGAATGCATCTTAATCGTCTTAAACTGGCGGTCAAACTCCGACAGAAAAAGGTAAGTGTTGTTGTGCAGTTGCGCGCTTGTAACCTATCCATCATGATACGTACAATATCATACAGAATCAAGTTTTTTTTTCTCTCAGACTTTCCAACAATAGTAATCAATCTTACCGCTGCCACCGCGATACTTTTTTACAAGCCGTAATAAAAAAGCAGAATTACAACGTGACACTAATGACCGCTGCACTAAGCCTTCGTCATGCGCCAAATCGCACTTAAAGCGAATGTCGACGTGGCATTAATTATTATTCTCAACGAGGCGAACGTACGCTGGGAAAAAAGGAGGTCAATCAACCTCATGAATATGTTTCGCGAGAGAGAGAGAGAGAGAGAGGTGATTAATCGCTCTGCGCACGGGGTGGTATAACGTCGATCGAACGAAGCATATCTGCAAAAGCGAGAGAACCGATGTGGCAGTCTGAATTGGCCTTATCCGCGAGGAAGATGATTTAAATCAAGGACATTCCCTGAATAGCTAGCGAGTGGGAGCGGCGGGGGGAGGGGGGGGGAGGGGGGTACGAGCTCTTTTCTCTATCCAATAGATGGTTTCTTTTCTCGCCAGCTTTACAGACTCATTGAGATTTATGATATGGCTTGAGTGCGTCGAACTATGATATGATGCGTATCCCTCGTCGCGTATTTGTTCGGTAAAGTGGTAAATCATGGAAAATTTTGTTGACAACGGAATGCAATAGAGAGATGTCCTTAGCTGCAAAACTATATTTAGAAACAAATAGCCGATCCCGCTGCTCATTGTGCGCACTTTAGTAATTTATTGGCTTGCGATGAGTGATCAAAAGACTACAGTTATTAACAGTTGATGAATTGCCTAGTTCGTAGCTCACCCCAATGTGCAGCAGCTGCTAGCGTCCATCTGGTACGAGGGTCTACCGGGTTTCCGACGCAAGAACATGTTACTCCAGGCTATGGACATCGTGCGTATCGGCGTGCTCTTTCCTGTCTTCAGCGTTGCCTACATTATTGCGCCTCACAGTACCATCGGCCAAACAATGCGCAAGCCTTTTATCAAGTTCATCTGCCATTCAGCATCCTACTTTACTTTTCTATGTAAGTTGTTGCCGACCACACACTGCTTCTTCTTTTGTTTCTGTGTAGTCCCGTTCGATGTTCAGAACTTCCGAGAGTAAGCTAAGCATAAATTCGCGCACCCTTACAAACATTATTGAACGAAGGCATAACTTCAACAAGTATCATTACAAGTTTACCATAAGAATATCACCATCTTGCCAATTAAACTTATCCCAGCAGCAAATATTTCACCTCGGCACTTACACATTAATCCGCAGTCGGATTATCAAAGCTACGAGGAGAAACATCTTATTAGCGCAAGATATTAATTAAATCGTTATGCCGCAAGATGCCTCCGCCATTCCCCTGTTAGCCGTATGTCGTTTGATACGGAGATCTAAGCCAAGCTTGAGCTTGCGAATAAGAGCAAATTCACGTGTGCCTGCTATGCACTGCTGACCCGCTGGAAGTATTCGCAAACTCGCTCGAACTAGCTATTCCTAGTCTTTAAGTTTCCGACGCTTTATTACCTGCTGGGAATGTATTTAGAGTTCCTTTGTGGCTTAATGCTCGCAAGAATGCCACAACTAATAACGGACGCTTAACGGACTCACCTTTTTAAACTATTTCAAATTGAACTATGCGTGAAACTAATTTTTCTCGTTGTTAACGTAAATTTTTCGTTGTACAGATTATGAAAGGAAAGCTGTGTGAATCGCTAAAGTAACGAATATTCGATAACAATGCTCTGTATTGAGAGTAAATTAGAATTATTCCTTGTAAAATGGTACTTACGATCGAATAAATCGTTCATCCTTCCACACTTATTTACCTACAGCTTTTTTTCCGATCGATTAATTCCTCGCGTCTTTTAATGCGTTTTATCAGTACAATTCCACTCGATCTACCTTGTGCTCGAATATTTTATTTTTATCCCTGTAAAATATGTATATACATTTTATTTTTCCAATATTCGTATACTATCGACAGCACAGTCCTCCGCAATAAACATTTTTATGAAATTAAGTGGTACAAGTTATCCAAGAAAAGTATTCAGTTACTCTAGCCTATTCGTATTAAAAAGTTATTTAAATTGTATGATAACTACTCTTAAAAATGAATAATTTCTTACTAATATCGAGAAATTAATTGGTCAAACTAAATAATGTAATAATTCATTTAAATAATGATTAATGAAAATAAGAAAGAGTACACTCAAATTAAGTGTAAGTGCACTCAATCAAGTAATAGGATCTGCTCAAAAAAGGAATAGGTAAGAAAAATAATATTGTTAAATTCACAAAAAATGATAAAACTGTTTGCCGTATTCCGAAGAAGTAATAAAAGGCCTAATTGAATATTGGATATCCTTAAAAGTAAATATCCGCTAAAAGCGGAAAGGATCTAACGCAATTCATCACAAGATTAGTAATTGCAAAAAGAAAATCTTTTGGTTAATTCGTAGGATTAACGCAGAGATACTTAACGTTTCATTCGCGATGTGGCATATTTGGGAAAAGTCAAGATCGTATAGTCAAACGAACGATAATGTCAGCTGAGTAGGAAAATATCTTTTCGATTTAATTCGAGAACTGGCTCTTGATAAATGGATATATTTGTATGTCACAAATGACTACTTATACGAAAGTAATTATCACGTGAGAAATATATGCTCTTAAATGGCTAATTAACTTTGCAGTTATGTTAATACTGGCAAGTCAAAGGATAGAGAGCGTAATGGGCGTCTGGACGGGTCAGGATATTTCAGAGCATGAGTACGAACCAACGAAAAGAGGTGCCGCGCCAACTATAGTGGAATGGTGAATTATAAAAAAGCTTTTAACCTTACACTTGAATTAATTTCATTTCCATATTATCCTTTTTATTTTCAGCGTCTTCGCGTGTGTTTAATTAATTTCTCTCTAGACAACCAATTTCTTTGTTAGTCCTTTGTCAATGTCACTGTTACTCTTTATTAATGAGTCAATTACGACGCGTCTGGTGGTTTTAGCAGTAATTATTTTTATTTTCGAGAATCTCCACTTCAAATAGATCGAACCAATCATCGAGCAGCATTTCCCACTATTTCTTTTCTGATTGTCAATCTTCCAAAACCTTGGCAGGTTCATCTTAGCATGGGTGTCTGGTCTGATTTGGTCGGAAGTAAAACAGCTGTGGGACGTGGGCATGGAAGAGTACATTAACGACATGTGGAACGTGATAGACTTCGTGACGAACTCGCTGTACGTGGCAACTGTAGCATTGCGCGTCGTCGCCTATTACAGAGTACAAATGGAAAGGGAACGTTCCGAGCCCGGTGTCCCTATTGTCGAACTTCAACGCGAGCAGTGGGATACTTGGGACCCTATGTTGATTTCCGAAGGTCTTTTTTCGGCAGCAAACATATTCAGGTTGATATCGAATTCAAATGGACGTATTTAAAGTATGCTTCAATATGATTTTATTCTTTTATTTGTTTGTTTCAGTTCGTTAAAGTTAGTCTATATATTTTCGGTGAACCCTCATCTCGGGCCACTACAAGTGTCGCTGTCGCGAATGGTGATGGACATCATGAAATTCTTCTTTTTATACGTGCTCGTGCTCTTCGCCTTTTCTTGCGGTGAGTTGCAATACTATACTAATCTAATTTCGCGCTTACCTAGTTGAAATCCAAATACACCCAACGAAATATTCCTCGATGATAACGTCCGATATCGTTATGCTTGCTCGTGGCTGAGGCAATAATCAATTTGACGCGTGCACAATGTAGGCCTCAACCAACTGCTATGGTACTACGCGGACATGGAGAAGAAGCGATGCCCATCGATGATGCCTCACCTCGCTAAGAACATCACCCAGGAGGATACGAACGCGTGCATCGTCTGGCGGAGATTCGCAAAGTAAATGTATTCCGCGTCGTCGAATACCGCTTTGGTGCATATATAATCATTGATTGTTTCATTTCTCTTTTGTACAATTAACAAAACAGTTTGTTTGAAACTATACAAACGCTCTTCTGGGCGGTTTTTGGCCTAATTGATCTCGAAAGTTTTGAACTGGACGGCATCAAAATATTCACAAGGTTCTGGGGCATGCTGATGTTTGGCACGTACTCCGTTATTAATATCGTCGTCTTATTGAACCTTCTCATCGCCATGATGAATCATTCCTACCAGTTAATTTCCGTAAGTGATTTCCATATTCAATGTTTCTCTGTCACTTGACTCTGGGTATAGAGCCATGAATAATGTCTATTTTATTGTCATCTTTTATATATCATTCATCGTAGAATTCATTCAACAAAAACATTATTTATTATAAGCGATCATATGTATTTATCAGACATAACATTTTTATTGCCTAAAAGCGCATTAAAAGACTTTTCTTTCGCTCTTGACTCGAACAAAATGTACAAATCTGAAACTGAAAATAAAAATAATATTTTCATTTGTTGAAATAGGAACGCGCTGATACAGAATGGAAGTTCGCACGCAGCAAGTTGTGGATAAGCTACTTCGAGGAAGGAGGTACTGTGCCGCCACCTTTTAACATCATCCCTACACCAAAAAGCGCCTGGTATGTCGGCAAATGGATTTACCGCAAGCTATGCGGTCACAGTAAAGCTGCCAAGACCGAGCATGCGCGCACCATCAGAGTGAGTTTCAACTTTTCTTTTTCGCAGCTCTCTTTAACAGTATTAAACTCAAACCATACATTAAGTAACGAACCACAAGGTTTTTGAGAAAATAAAAATTTAATTTAAAAATATATATAATAATCACATCTGCGCAAAATCGACTGTTACTACTCGGATAATTTATATTTGGAGAAGACTTCTTTTAGAAGTTCTCTTCCAAAAGTTACATCTTTTCGTGAGATAACTTTTAAAAATCATTTCAAACTTTAGAAATGTCACAGCCGATCATGCTCGATAAATACACTCACGATTTAAGGATGCACTGGCGACCCTATCAAAAGATATTATAATAAAAAAAAACAACTCGACAAGCAAAAACTTTTCAACTCGATTATGACCTACAGAGAAAAAAGGATCAGGCGAGTAAGAGGGATTCCCGATACCAAGGGATAATGAAGAACTTGGTGAGGCGTTACGTGACGGTAGAGCAACGTAAGACGGAAAACGAAGGCGTAACGGAGGATGACGTGAACGAGATCAAGCAGGACATCAGTGCATTCCGTTGCGAGCTGCTCAACATCTTGCATAAGTCGGGAATGCAAACGGATGTCACCTCCGGCACGGGTACCGGTGAGAGTAGAGCGTTCAATATCGAGAAGCTCATAGAGCCTCGATCGCGCCAGCTTTTCTCTCTTATCATCGGCCGCGTATATACACGCACGGCCAACTTTGTCAAGTTTCTCATGATAATAAGAGACGAAAATCTAAATCTTAATTGATTGTAATTTATTGAAAAGTTTGATATAGAATTAATGTAAATAATGCACGTAAAAGATCTCGATAAATTACTTTCAATTAATTGTATGTAATTATGATGTTTTACTGGCTTACCATATTACTTTAAGTACGAAATATTGAATTATTACAAGTTTACAAGCTGCAATGAGCTTTGCCAGTAAAATGTCATATTATTGTCTGTGGAGTACTTATAAATAAAATTTTTATACAAAGTTATTAGTATTCTCATGTAAAAAGTAGTAAAATAGTAGTAACATTTCACTCTACTTGTATGCCAAACGTTATTTATTATACTCACGGTATAGTAAATTCGTTAATCAAGTTTCGCTAGCAGTACTTATACGACTCTCTCGCGTGAATATAGCGAGCGCGCATATTCATCAAAGACGTAACTTGAACTTGTGAGCTCGCGTTACAAGTGGAATTAATCTTTGCTCCTTGAAATAATTTGTAGGATCTCGAAAGCTCTTATGACCTGGAATGTCGGTTGGAAAAAGCCGACTTAAAAGTAACCGCTTTTAAACATCGACGACTTATACGTTCTTTGATACGTGCCTGCTAGATAAGTTTTGTTAAGGAGCTCTTGTATTTTATACGAGTAATTCAAACAGAGTTGTTTGCTTAATTTTATACATAATTCGAGTCATATAATTATTGCCTTTTCTTTATACACGTTGTTTACATGTATTAAATAGCAGTATGTATAGTAGTTTATAATGTCTGTAGATATATTTGAGTAGTCTTTTTATATCGCACCATTATCAAATTAAGTTTTTCTTGTTCGAGTTAATTATGCTTCCTAGGGATTTTAAAATCCATAGAAGTGCACGTTTGCTAGTCTAGCTTTATTCCAGCAATTTAAACCAAAGATATAAAAAATTCTAAAAGAAGTACTCCATGATGAACAGGAGAAATCCCCTCGGTGTTTATAATTTCCCAATGATGTACAGTTTATAATTTCAGTAGTGAGCACGCTTAATTTTAGCATGTGTACGTTCTCTTATGCCGTAGACGGTAGCGTGAAAGAGTTGTCCTTAGGTGTGGGTGGCAAGAAGAATCGTCAGAAGGAGCGTCGACTGATGAAAGGCTTCCAGCTTGGTTCGGCCGTCGGCAGCAGCACCTTGCCATGCGTCGCGGAATTTATGTCAGGACTCCGCAACGAGATGAGTCAACAGACGCCGGATGGATCAGGCTACCATCATGCAGAAAATTTTGGGAGTACCTACAGTGGTATATTTGGTGGTCCCGGTACGACGCCCAAAAGAAATCCTCATCACATAAGTACAAACAGCGTGCCCGGGTTGGCTTCTTGTCAGAAGCCTTCCAGGGACTCGAGAAACGGCTCGAGGAAAAGACGCTGGGGCACGCTAATCGAGGCTGCCAAATCTGGCAGAGTTTCTAGACTTATCGGTGAGTAGTTTGACGTCGCGATTCGCATTTCCAACGCTAACAGTGATTTTCTCTGAAATTCGCACAGGCCGTTCACGCTCGCAAGACTCCGTCTACTCCCCAGCTTCCGAAGACGGTGGTTCCCGTTCCGAGGGCTCGTCCGACTCCAAATCTTCCTTAGACGCGCCGTCTCAGGACTCTCACTACCCGCAGCACTCGTCCCACCAACACGGAACACATCACCAGCATCACCGTCACCATCATCATCATCAGCAGCAGCAGCAGCAGCAGCCTTCGCAGCAGCCTTCGCAGCAGCCTTCGCAGCAGCCATCCCAACAAACGCAATCTCATCCAACAAACGAAGGCCACCACGTGTTCGGCTACGCATTGGGTCCAGCCTTGGCGGCTCTCAGGCGTAAGCGCAAAAAGTTCTCGGCCTCGCGCTCCTCCACCCCGGCGATGACGAGTAGCGGCAACAATAGCGCCAGCCAGTCCACCACGATGGAGTCGATGATACAACCCATCACCTCGGTCTTTGCCTCGCGTGCTAGCAAAAAGCAACTGCAACGAGCGAGTAGTGTTCCGACGCGTAGCCCTGAGATCACTATCCAACACGAGGTACCACTACGACGACACGAGACGACTCAAAGTCAACAGCCTAGTCTAGATGAAGCTGCGACGGTCGAAGCCAAGAACCAAGGTTAGCGACATCTCTCGAATCTAATTTATAACAAACGAAAACAAGCAAATAAATCAATAGAAAAGAAAGAAAATAAGATATAGTATGAGCTACGATCGGCGGGTAACTCGGGATGTGGGCGTCTATTTTTCTGTCACTGTGTCCTTCCACGGCATCTGGAAGAGAAACTTCTAGAGAAACTTTTTTGTACGGCCGAGTTCTGTACAGTAGACTCTTGCTAAGGAGAACGCCGCTTTAAATTAAACGAGGCTGCTGCTTTGGGCTCGATTGGCTATTAACGGACTGGCAGGAGAATTGTTATTGGGCGCTGGCGTCCGAATAGGGGCATATTGCCTGCATGGAAAGTGGAGAGTGAGAAAGAACGAGGTTTACTAACTATGGCTGCTTCTGCAATAGTGAGTTCTTTGATGAGATTTTGTGTTTTATTTTCCTGGCTTTTTTTGTATATATAGTTCAATGATCGATGATCATTCATAGAGTGCATATTATCGCTCTTTGCATTAGAGGAACATATAACAACCAATAAAAAAAAGAAGTGTTTTGTCGTGAGCAACAAGTGAAAGCGGCTTTGTAAATTTTATAAATTATCATTGACATACACATTGTTGTGTGATGGAAGTGCTATTAATCGTTATTGGTGGGCTAGATGTGCATGTAAAAAATGTCTGCTTTATTTGATAAAGTACTCTATCTTCACGTACTAGCTACGTTTTACCATTGAAAGAGGAAATAAATTGGTTATAAAAAACATTTTCTAGATTTTGCTGTTTCATTTATTTACATCAAAGTCCAACTCTTTGCATTTCTTTCTATTTTATTTATCTGTATCGTTTTCTATATTGTTTTGTTTTTTATCCGACTGGAGTTTACTAACATTCACACTAACCAATTTCAAAATTGTAACAAACACACACCGTAACACTATTGTAGAACCAGCCTAATCGCTAACAATACATCTAACCAGCGTGTGCCAGCTAATTGTGCAACTTAGCGAGAATCTACTGTAGAAGACAACGCATATGCATCAACAAGATACTCAATATTATTAAGAATAAACAGACAAATAAAGAATTAGCCCATACGTGCAAGCTGTCCGGGGCTTCCAAAAAACAATGCTTGCAGGTGGTGTAGCAGCGGTCGCGAGTTCGACGGTGGACTTGACCCCATCCACCACCGAGGAGAGTGTGTTGAGCGCGAGCACGTCGGTGGTCAAACGCAACGGCTCGGCACAGCGGCTACCCCCGGGCATTGAGCCCATCACCGGACACGACGCATCTGCTTCGACTGGCTGGCTCTAATCGACACACACACCTTGCACAATCATGCTAAAGCCTCTATCGAAACTATCTGTCGTTGTCAGTCAGCTGAGAAGTCGTCTCGGATTGAATTGCGAATTTGCGGCTTCTTCGGGGCTGGTTATAGCCAAATAGATGTAAAAATCATGGTCTATGGATTGATTTTCGAGCGATAACAATTCCGAAATGAAGCGCTGGGAATCACTTGTAAAACTTTTTTACAAGCACTCTTTCTAAAACTTCACAATTTGAGCTTGCGGAATTCAAATAACTCTAAAATTCGTTTCCTATAAAACAGTTCTACTCATTTTAATAATTCAAGTAATTAGATTACGACTATTAACTGTGCAATAGTACATTTTAAAACACTCTCAACATTCTAAATCGTTATCTTGAAGGTAATTGTACATCGCTTCGATTACATTTTCATGAACACGAAATCATTTGTATAACATTTTTTAAAGATGGTGTAAATGATTTTAACTCAATGAAAAAACTACCGAACCAAAACTACTATCAGCTCTAAGTACACCACCATTACTGCCAAACTAGAAGTGCCACGTGGGTCACCCGTCGTAAGCCCAAAGAAGGAAACATAAAAGTAATTCTCAACCGCGCGGTCGGGTATTTTGACGAATCATCATGAAAAAAAAGTTACATGAATATATATGCCTATTAGTCTATAATTGTAGTTTAAATATTTGTACATTACAGTAATGTTAATTTTAACTTAGAATTTAGAAATCAAAATATACAAAATAATATAGACATACTTACATAAGATGTAGATCTTTTGCAGATTTGGTTCAGGATAGATAAAATATAAGAAAACTTCAACACTATCCTCAATTTTGAAGCAACATCTACTATCATTTTAATATTTTAAACAGTTTTAATAGAATGCTAATAATTTTTTATGTGGCCTTATTTGTGTAATAATATAAAAAATAATTATTAAATATATTAGAGTCGATTTTACTATTTTAAGATTGGTAAATCTGTTTTATGGTATCTAAATTTTTTTACAGTTACAAAATGCACTTATAAAATGCATATCTTGTATTTACACTTGCTAATAATATCTAATTATGGAGTCTTAATCAGGTAGACAAATTGACCAATAGTTTTCAATGAAATGTAAAAAAATGCATTGATGACGATTGCAGCTTTTATAAGTTTGAGTAGTACTATAAATATTGTATATTGATATAATTCTTGTAGCTAAAAAGTAGTTGTAATATCCAAATTAATGAATCACTTTTATTACGAGAAAGTAAATTTTAATGACTTTACAATGGTTCGATCTCACATTTTGAGCTTGATAAGAGCAATTTTTAATTATGATGGTGAAGTGATTATATATTTAACGTTAAGAGTAATAAAGTATAAGAGTTGTTGTATAAATTATTAATCGAAATGGTAAGTTTCTTTACATTGGGAGACCGTAAAAATTAATTATGATTGTTAAGTATAAACAAAACACATACAAATTTAGAGTAAGATTATAAAGTATTTCAAATTAGAAGATGGTAAGACGTACAATATTCTGATATTAAAAATTGAATTTTTTAAATGTTATAGACGAATAAATAGTAAAATTTATATTTTGAAAAATTTTTGTTTTTATCGTCAGAAAATTAATCATTTTTATAAAAATTTTAATATGATTATATTATATTACATTTCCTAGTCTTGGTTTCTAGTCAAAACTCATGAACTTATATTTTAAACCATATTCAGTTGCAGTTGGCACATGAAATCGTCTACAATATTTAACACGATACAAAGAAATTTTTGAGTACTTGAATACAAAAAATTTATAATTTTGGATCGATGTTTGTATACTGTGAAACCTGAAACATACTAAAAATGTGAGACAAGATTATTTTAATGTTTTGCTTAATTTTTTTCATTGTGCATAAAAATGTATTGCACTGCGCTTATATTAGTGACAAGTAATTTATTATCACTTTGATAAAGTAATTCATAGTTTACAATTAAAAAATTTTGTGTTTAGTGTAAATGATATAATACGAATGAATTTAAAAATATTTATAAGTGTTGAACAGAAAACAAAAATAGAATACACAAATCGCGTTGATCGTGATTTAAGATAATGAAAACCTGAAAAATTGTAACTGTAAAAATGAAAGTTCAGTCATTTTAATTTATTATATACTAGTATCTTCCATGAAAGCATAAAAATGTGATCTTCAAGAGGTATGACTATATATATAATGATGAACAAAAAATACGGGAATCAAAATTATAAAAAAAGATAAAAAAAAGCATTATTTAAGACGTTCTTTTAAGTCGTCTATCATACGTACTTAAAAGAAATACATTTTGGCGACACCTAATTGTTCAATACAAAACTGACCACCAATAAAATCCCGTATATTCTACTACTTCAATTTATTTGATTGCCTTCCGTACTTTACAAAATTGTCATTCCATCTATAAACACATAATTTAAAAATATATAAACACATCTTGCATAGTTCATTTCAAATAAAAATATATATTTTGGTAGATATTTTCATCAGCGAAATTGTCAATTTTTCCTTTATAATACGAATAAGTACTTATTGTTAAGTCACGTAACCTTTACAAATAAACATTTTTTTCTTCACATCTTTTGCACGTAAACTAAGATATGTATTAATTCTTTAAATTGTTTACTTCTATTCAAAACTTTAAGTTTTTATAAAAAAAGAATCAAACTTACACGTTATAAGTACTTAGATGATAGTTCAAAAAAATTATAGTATTGATAACACAAAAATAGTACAGATAACACTAGATATTCTTGAGTAGTGGGAGTTAATCACAAGGTGCAAGTTGACACCTGGCACGTCGGGTCATTCGTTTTGGACAACGCCTTCCACCATTAGCAGGTTGTCTCTGAAAAAGTAAAATACATGAGACCCCCTCATTCCAAAAAATCTTAATCTAAGAAATATAAATTAAGGTTACAATAATGGTTCTTGTACTGGTGACACGTCCATTGCCACAAGAGACACTACACTTGGTCCACGGAGACCAATTAGACACCTGACAATTAATTGGCTCTTCTACCGAAGATACCTCGTCTAAAGCACGTGTAGCTATTCGATCATTGGATAATTGCCGAGGTACCACTGATCGAACTGTCGGTTGGATTCCACTCGACGTCTCTTTCACCTGAGAAGAACGAATGTTAAAATGCTCATCATCTCGTCTGTGTGATAATTACTAACGAATACGTACAACGTCACACATCGTTGAGCATTCGGAAAAGGTATTAAAGTTGTTTCGGTTTCCACGGCAACCACCGTAAGCGAATGGTACGCATTTGCCTTTTTCAGAATCAAATGCCCATCGCTCAAAGTAACCTCGGCAGGGTCCTTTCTCTGGCTTGTCTTTACAGATAACTAAAATAAACAAATCAAATAGTTAATGCTAACACTAACAGCATAACTAACGAGTATTTTTAAATAACAAAATTTTTTTCTGATTCATGATATTAACTGTAATATTGTTATCATTAATCGTTATTTGAATAAGTGATATGACTTAATCACGACAAAGTGAGATTGATTTCATAAATCGATATCTTATTCCGTTCCAATAAGTAAAAGTTATTTAGGAAAATTAAATCAACTCAGTAACTTGCTAAATACACTCGTATTTTGATTAATTGCCACATATATAACTACTGAATATTTATTCAAATAGTTTCTTTTTTACACGGTAATTAATGATGCCAGTGAAATTAAATTGTCAAAACAAACGAACTCTAAAATACTATCGAATTTGAGTTTTAATACAGTTCAGACAGTTCAAAACACGTTATTCTGCAAATTAAAAGAAAATAATACGTAATATAGTTAAACACTCGAACCTTTGGCATGAGCAATATCGAAAGTACAGTCGGCCTGATCAAGACAAGCTCGACGCTGCGTAAGTTCTAATTTAGCTGAACACGCGGTTCTTTCCTCAGGTGTTACTAATAAGAGTCTCGCCCGCGTCTTGAAACCCTTACCGCAAGAAGCACTGCACGGCGACCAATCTGACCAATCGCTTACCTAACGAAAATTACGTTATCCTCAGTTTTCATCTCCAAAAGATCAAGTTACGTTTTGAGCTAAAATTATGTTACATACTCTACAGATAGCATCTTCTTGCTCGTTACTGCTACACGGTGGAGCTACGCACTTTTGTTTATCGATCAACGAGACGTGGAAACATTTTTTGCGATTGGCTGGATTTTGTAGATGACGACGTCGAGTTTTGTAGCTCATTCCACAAGATGAACTGCATTCTGACCATTCGCTCCAGTCGCCCGTTAAGCATTCGGCTTCGTTTAAATCGGGGAAGGGACTAAGGCTACCGGAGCTCGAATCTTCACCTCTAAAACCGATTATTTCTTTATAAGTTCAAACGTATAATTAGATAATGCAATGAATTGTAAAATATTTTGCTTATTCTGAAATAAAAGTTTTTTAAGAATAAAAGGATAAATTAATTAAAATTATGTATAAATATTAGTATAACATCGAACTCTTAATCAATACATGTATAAACTTTTTGCAACAGCGATTTGCAAGACGTCAGCAAATCCTTATATATAATGAATCATTTACCAACAAGCTACTTTGAGTTCACTTCATCCTCATAGAAGTTGTATGTTAAGTTTACGTATACTCACGAGCATTCTCCAGCGGGGGCCAAGCACATCTCTTTGGACACGAGCTGTCGAGTGCAGCCCATCATCGCTGCTTTCTCTGGAATCCTATAGCCTCTTGTGCGCATCCTTATGCCTTTACCGCAGGTTACTGAGCATTTCGTCCATTCTGAGAACTCTGTTGTCATGCACTCCGCTGTATGCAAATTAATTAGCTCGTTTAAATCAAATCTAATGCTTGACTTTGGTTCCTAATTTTGTATTCATTTTTATAATATTTTACTAATTTATTCAGATTTCATAAGAAACTTAATTAACTTCTTTTCATTGCACTGATGGGAGTCACATGTATTCACTAATGATACGTTTTCATGTTTGCATATAGGAGATGAGTCATTGATATTATCTAATATCCAGATTCTAATATTCTCTTTTAAGAATCTAATTTCAGTTTCATTTATTTCTGTTCAACTCAATTGTGTTGATATTTTATATTAACAATGAAATAAATGTCAAATGAGATGCTACTTATCATACATTTCGGAGTAATATTATTAACGTTTTAAAAAATAATTACTAAAATCCGTCCTCACTTACGAGAGTTTTATAATGTTTTTTTTTTTCCCAAGTGAATTCCAATAACGTATATTTGATTAATACGGATACCAGATAAACATATGAATGACAAATCGATGATAAAGGATTGCATGAAAAACGAGAGATGTCAATATTATACGATCTTTTATTAACGCTTTAATACTGTTATAAACTTGCTATAATCCAATCACAAAATAAATAATACTGCGAGAACATTAATCATATCTGGAGTTAAGATGATCGAGCTGCAATGTTAGTAAATACCAAAATAAACCCAAGGAAGTCATAAAAAAAACTCACGTCTTTCGTCTCCGGTCTCCTCCTTCACATAAAACTCAGCAGGAAGATCCTCCAAATCGCTATCATCACAGCTGCGTTTCTTAATCTCCTCCCTGTCGAGGTACAATCTCGCAAGCGGCAGCATAGGTTGACCAGACGGATCGTAAAACGGCGCCCTTGGATCTTCGGGATACATTGTAGTAATGGGTTTCATATATTCGCGAGGATTAGTTTCGGCATTAGGTGACATATAAGTTATTCCACTATCGGTACCAGCATCCCACGGGTATAGATCAATTGCCATACCCTTGATCCATGTACAATCACGTTGACACAGGTTTAACTTGCTTACGCCGACTACCCAGTCTGGTGAAGGGCCAAACATCGAAGCCACTGAGACTAGTGGATGCTTACGATCCACGCTGCGGAATTTATTGTTATTTTTATTTTCTTTTACGGATTTAATTTTAAATATGATTTTGACAGTTTTTTAACCGCTTTGCATGTATATTTTAAGTCTATAGGATTAGTCAACGTCGATTATACACGTTCTCCGTACTATGCTCATGCTTATCTCAATTTTTTCCACGTCATTTTGATGCTTCAGAAATTGCGTATTTCTATAAATCTAATTTTAATTTAATTTCTTTTATGCTTGCATCATCTGGTTTTATAGAAAATATAAAATAAGAATACGCTAATCTGCACTATCGATAACAAACAAGGAGAAAGCTTAAAATGACTCCTTCATTATTCAATGCTATTTTTCACCTACTGTAACAATTGTTTACCTAAACAATGAGAGCTTCAAACTATTATAATGCCGGTAGAACGATAACCTTCATAATCATTAACAAGAAAAAAAAATAGGTCTCACTTGAAAGTAGCACTGGTATTGGTATTGACATTGGGATACCAAAGTCCAGGTGCCTTAATGTAGGTCCTCAAATATTGTGCGTTATTACGCATTTCAGCCTCGAGCCCAGACGCCGAGCCCCACTCTGCTAATTGGCGGAATCCATCGGTGGCTATTTGCTCCCGTCCCCAAAATGAGAAATTCGTCTCGTGCGACGCGCCAACAAGGTCGCTAAAGTGCGTTAACCAAACCTGTTCTGGGAAATCCTTAGGATGAGTTTTACTCGACCATAGACCTTCCAACACCAACTGGAACAATTACAATTGCAAAATGATTTGTTGGGTAACTATCATTACTACATATGTAACTTGTGGTGAAATTTATTAAAGGTTGACTCTGTTTAGGAAAAATAGACCAGTTTGGTAAGAGTTATTCGTATGAATAATTGGCAGTTACAATATTTACAACTGTAAGTAGAATTTTTTTATAATTTATCGCTCTTAAATAAGTCCATTGTTGATAACATACTTTGCTGAAATATATACGATTCGAGAACTCGTACAAAGGTGAATAATATATAATTTGACAATTAGTTACGCATTATCATAATTATGTAGTTTTTCTAAGAAAGGAAATCCACAAATCACTGACTTTGTACTTGGCGTCGTCGCAGGCACAACAACGAAGTTCATCGAGGCTCTCAGTTTCATTGGTACTCATTTCGCAGAAGGTCTTACTAAGTTTGCTATCTTCGGCGAACCAGCGATGTGAATTCTCCATGACCATCGCGGTGAAAATGACGCAACCAGATCCTGCGGGCGGTGCCCGCCACATCACTTGTACCTGGAATAATCAACACAAATGCTCCATTGTCACTCGATATCTTTCTCATTTTTGTTTGGTAACGTTAGCGATTCTCAAGGTGTGTTTGATTTATTGTTATCGAACGTAATTTTTTTTTCCAACATGTATGACAAGTGGAACTGTCATGGGGAACTATTTTTAAAAGAGAGGATGAACTGCGAAAATCTTTGTCTTGTGGTGCGTGTTTGTCGAGTATTGAAAGCCATTCACTCAGCAAACAACTGAGAGTGGAACTTGCGGAACTCACCTCAGTTTTTGGATAATCTGATACCTCAGAGACTGTATTGACGCACTCCTCATTGAACTCTATCAAGGAGTTGGGGAATATCTGGAAAAAGCCAACTCGTGTAGCTAGATTGAATGGCGCGTTTTGCGAATCCACAGATAGAGTAAACCTTTTGAATTGCTTTGGCCTTTCGTAATCTGAAGGACCTTCGTTATAAAAGAAGAAAAAGTTGTCATTTAAAGTACAACATTTATCATCTACATTAAATAATTAAACTAAACTTATTTATGGAAAGAAAAAACCATAAATGTTGATATTTTATCTAACAAATATTAGAATTCAACGGAGAGGGTTCAAAGGATATATAATGTTACGTACCTTGCAGACTGATTGTATAAACTGCATTTGGGATGTACTTATCGTAGTTACCACTGACGAGTATGCGATAACCACCGTCTCCGGGAAGCCGGTCGGCGGAAGTTTGCTCGGGCGTTGGGCTCAGCGGACATCCCGCCCAAGTAGTGGCAATGAACCACGACACCATAAACAAACGTAACATCGCCTTTTAAAACAAAAAAACTTCGTGTACCATACTTGAAAAGTCAATGTATTCAAGAAAATATTATTCAAGAAAAAAATATATTCGTTATTTTTTTCTTTTTATAACCGATACGATCGTGTTTGCATCAACAATGTTTATTTCTCACTTGAGTCTGAATAAATATATTTCCAAATAAATCTAAATGCACTAATTAACAATAAAATGCACTTGATGATGGTTACATTTAAAAGAATATTTCTGTGATCTACATTGAATGGAAAATACCAAGCCAAACTTGGTGTGCTCGTATTAATCATAGCTGTAAATGCCTGAAAATCACCGCCTTCATCTTTTCGCTGCCAAAACTTCCAACGAGATTTCAAAAAAACTTTCATCCTAGTTTCTATAAACGCGTGCGCGTTTCTGTCACTCGGCCGAATAATTTATAGTCAATCCATTCACTGAGCGCTAAGCGCGCCTACGAGACAGTCATTCATCGTTCAGCAATTATGCACCTGTGTGCAGAACCCTTGCGGATATAATAAATTGAGCCGTTAATGATCGCGTATCAGTAAAAATTAACGTTAATTTTCACTTGTAGCGTGGAAAAGTTTTTTTTATGAAAGCTCTTCTATAAAGCAACGGAAACGTGCTGTTCACGCGCGCTCTACTTAGCTGCTCTCGAGCGTGTATTACATGAATTATGCATTCGCGAGAAGTAGAAGATTCATTACTTTCGCAAGAGAGAAATAGCGGTCCGTTTTGTCAATCTCTCAATGCTTCAGAAATGAAAGAGAAAAATAAGCGCTAATGAGCGAAGTCATTATGAAACCTCGTGTGTGCGCGATTTGGATGAAAATGTTTATGTTTTGTAATTGAAATTGATGTTTTATGAGTTATCCTTGCACATCGTACGATGAAGTAGAAAGTTATTTCCGCTCTAGATATCAACTATTAATATTCAGCTACTTTTGCGTATGTACCAATCTAATTTGTTTTATAATGTCCGTGCGTTAACAAATAAACATTAACAGCCTACATCATATTGACAAGGTCGACAAGATAACGGTAAAGTAGCAGAATGTCTCCGTTTGCGCAGACAGACATACGCATAAAATCATGCATCTTTAACGGTGCGAGTGTGTAGCCCCGCAGCGGTCATATGAAAAAAAGAGGAAAAACACAAAGCGAGCCAATGACCTTTTCGCTTTCGCATAAATGCAAAGTGCGGCGATGATCGCGTAACAGCACGCGCGCAGAATCCGGGTCGCGGATCCGTAGACGCTTACTGGAACTTAAAGAGATGGGTATTCGTCAATCAACTCTAGTCGCGTAACCACAAACACATCTCTGTGTGTCTGTATGTTTTTTTTTTTCGCTTCGCTTGTAATGATGTTGTGTTGTGTATTTATGACTATAAACGCTTATAATTGACTTTTCATTGTTGAGACGCTGAGATTCTTTTTTTTTCTTAACGCGTTACGTGGAAAAATCGTTAGAATATTCCGTTCACGATGTAAATATCGTTCACGGACAGACAGGCGTATAACGACTATCTATAAATATATAAGATTACCGTTCGATGTTCGCGGAAATGTTTTTAGAGTAGACGAGGGAAGATAGGTGGAAAAAATGTGACCGTGGGAAAAAAACGAAACTTCAAATGTATATGTACACGTTGCCTTGTAATACTTTGCAATGGATGATGAATCATTTGAAGGCGTTATTTTTTAAGGCTAATAATACCCGCATTACCTTAACAAATTTTTTTAAATTTAATAAGAATTTTTTCAAGTGCTGGTTATTTTTTCATCGTTGTTCGGCGAAGAGAATGAAAAAGAACTGCCAATGTCGTTTAGTAGCTAATCAAGTCGGCGCACACGCGACTAATTAGCCTTATACAGGTGCGAGAGCGACAATTATCGTACAGATACGCACCGCCACGCAGTGCGAATATGCTAATCCAGCTGCCGCTGCATGCGTCTGCCCGCGAGTGCGGAATTAGTTGACCAAGGCTATTATGAGCCGTACACTTGACTTATGAACGGCTTTGTTTGGCCGTTTATCTTTGCAGCGAAAAATTAACTCGCACCATCATTTTATTTTTCACATTCACAGTTGTCAGAATGAATGGGATTATAATTCAATTTCTTTTTTTTTATTTGTCTTTTCGTTTACAGAAGATAAATTGAATTTTTGCATGCGCTAATTGGAACTGAAAAGAATGCAGGAAAATACGAAATATCGCTTGCTGAAGAGTCATTTCGTTATACACTTTATATCCCAATATTTCTAATATAGAACGCATAATGTTTACTTTACGAGGCTTTTGTTCGCAAAACTGCGTTTTATTCATCTGAGCATGAGACGAAAACAGTTAAACATGCATTTACTCTTTAAAGTGAAGTCTTATTGATATAATTGTATCTCTCTGCACCGATATCGATGAAATTATGTCAAAATAATGAGCTGCCTTTCGATCACTATAGCAATCTTATTAAAGAGAGAGAGAGAGAGAAAAGAAAACGCTGCATTGATGAAATAATGAGTTATCGTTGAAATGCGCTAAAAGCCATGAGATTTGAATGTACACAAAGTTTAACATACTGTCCGAAGTCTTATATACAAAGTCGACCTTTAATCGACTTGGGAGATTACATAGTTTCTTTTTTATTTACAAATCTGACCTTACGATATATTATCAATTTTGTGCTTTGGTTGACTCTATATATATATATATATATATATATATATATATATAATGTTGATGATATTCTTTGAATTATAATTCATCAATAAAGGTAGTCGTATTGAAAAATAAGTAATAAGAAAGACAATTTATTCATTTTTTCAAATGAACTGAATTTAATAAAATTGCGATACTTTTAATTCGCACGCTGTTGAAAACAAATTCAAGTATTTGAAAACTTACTTCGGTTCCTTATGTCCCAACAGCAAATAAAATAAACCGGTGCACTAATCGTCAAGCATCACCGTGTAATCCGTCTCGGGAATAGAAAACCAACCTAAAAGTTTCACCGCCAAAAGTGTATAAGGGTGTGAGGCAATGTTGCACGCCCGGTATTTCTCGAACTGTCGCGTTTGCTCACTCTTGAGGCAATCGCGCCGCCCGTCTTTTCTTACGGAGAGTGAAAAAGAGACTGGCGATGCGACTTGACACACGCACTGCGAGCGAGAAGCGATGTGTTGTCTCTTTGCTTTAAACGCGCGAGATATGGAGGAGGATCATTTGAAAGTTTTCGCGTGACATGTACTAGTCGTGTCTTTTTATTTCTTCTGATTTTTACATCAGCCGTGCTCGCGTTTATTGGTCCAGATTTCGCTTTTCAGCTAGACGGAAATTGACGTTGGCGCTGATCGAGGCGATGATAAGTTTCGTTGATAACGATGCCATACACTGGAGATGCTGTGTCGCGACGGCTGCTGCTTGTGTTTCCATATTTCGTAATGTAAATTTCTATTTACGATTGTTTTCGAATACATTGGAAAGTAAGACAATTAAACAAAAATGAAGAAAAGCAGTTTACCATTGGCTCACGCTTAAAAATAAAAACAAATATTAAAAGATCAACTAATGCGGTCATCGGTCAATACATGAAGCTCTTAATTATTTCAATTTGACAAAAAGACGTCAACTTGTCGAAAGATAATTCACGAGGCAAATCAGTCGCCAAGCTCTAAAACGCTGACATATGCATTAGTACGTGATCGGAGAAACTGTTCGGAGTCAACTACAGGTCACGCCCTATCTCTCGCTTGCGTTAATCGGTCTCCCAGATAAAATTTAACAACTTGCATAAGTGCGATATCGAACTGCTATTCTTTCCAGTTTAGAAATAGATATTTTTTAATCTTACATACTTCGAAGACATTTGAAGCTGCCGCAGTGTTACGTCAATTCACGGTCTGATTGGCTTCAAATTGATAGCCGAATTTTTTAAATTTTGTATATTTATATGACATATTTTCGTCGTTTTGACATCATATGTACATTGAACGAGTTTCATTTGCGAGCATTCAACAATGAATGTGCATGTAAAACGTTAATTGATTGGAACATGTTTTCATAGAAAACAAACAAGACAGTTATTTCTACAATGCATATCCATAAAATAGTACATTTTATAACGGCGATGCAAAGCTATAGAACAGCTCTAGATTGTTTAAATCTTCAACTATGCATAATGACTACAGAAATATCTGTCATTCTAAATAAAAATTTGCTCACAAATATGCCATCGTACGCGAAGTTTGTATATGCTAAATTTATTAAAAGTAGAACAGAAAATTCCGAAACATCATCGAACCTTATAAAATGCCTCAAAGCTAATTATTTACTGCAACAATGCTACAGAAAAAATTCATAAAAACATGCACAGCCCCGAATATTTAACCTTCGCGCCGTTTTACTCAACATTCCGATCTCGTACGCATGCGTGGAATTATCGACGTAACCTGATGGCGACGACTGACACACTCTCTCTTTTAGGCGCAGGACAGCAGCAGCTGCAAGCGGCGAGCAGACGCCAAGCCGACGACGACAACCACATCTGCGTGTATGTGTACGTTCATTGTCGCGATGGGATGCCGCTGGTTTGGCGTCGTCAAAAGATGAGCTCAGGCGAGGACGAGAAGAAAGTCCCACGAGATGCGCTAGCAAAACAATAACAGGTGTCAAAGCGAAAAGATCTCGCGACTGAGCGACAATGGCGAGCTTCGCAAGTTACTCAGGTAGACCACCGACGATGCTCGAGCAGCTGCTCGAGGAAATCAACTTCCAGAGGACCAAGGAAATGAGGCAGCTGCTCAAGGACGGTGAGTCTGCCTCACATTTATTTACACGGTTCAATCGTTAAGTCGTGTACCTCTTGCGTTTGTTTTCGATATGAGCGCGTGGTGATATTCAAACGACGTAAATGTGTGTGCCGAGGTGTAGCGTGAGTCACGCGAGCGGGAAGCTTGCGAAAAAAAAGCCAAGTCGGAAAGGCCATTCGGCAAAAGAAATCGATATAAACAGCCGAAGCAATAAAACAGGCATGCTTGGATCATTAATGTGTTTGGGCGGCCCGCGCGGAATTTCAAGTCGCGTGAGTCGCGAGAGGTCAATAACTCGATGTGAACACTTTGCGCAAGCATTTCAAAAACTTTATATACTCGTGTGCAATATCTGATGTAGCAAGGATTCTTTATCGATAGAAATGACGCGTGTACATGCAGGTTAAGAAACGTTGAATTGCAAATGTAAAGCAGAGCGTTCGGACATTTATACCAATAGCTTTCGAAATGGTATAAATTGAAACGAATCGCTTGTGTTTGCTACTGATCTACGTAGAATGAAATTGCACTTGGTTAGGAGGGGAAGGACAGCTTATACTTTTCAAGGGGCATTTCATTTTATTGCATTGATCGACAGTATAGTTGTTTTGCCATGCGGCAACATTTTTTTAACGTCCAAATTTAGTTGTGATCGATGGTCGAATGAATATGCAGCAATTTAAATTGAAAATTATGCATGCATAAATGAAAAAGTCAATCAACGCGCCTATACTCAACGGTGAATCTTAATGAGACAAGAACAAACTGACCTCGCTTACAATTAATTACTAATTGTAAATTATTTATGACATGTACTCTTATTAATAATTGAAACGACGACAGTCTCATTGTACAAACGAACTTCAAAGGAATATAGCGATTGACTTTAATCTATCTTCTATTCCCTTCATTACGTCGCAGACAAAGCTCGAGGGCAGCACATTGCGTTTACTTTTCTACGTGGAAAAGCCTGTCGTTTACTCTATCGCGACAAGATGCTCGAGGGCGGCCAAGCGTGCGACAATTCGTATCTTGGTTATTATGCTCTAGGGGAAAGTACTGGACATCTTTGCATTTTTTTAACCGTCAAAACTCTCATGCTTTCCGGGATGATGCGCGCTATGAATGACTAAATTTACGCGAATTGTAATGCTTTTGATAAGAGCAACTTTTGAACATTACTGTATTCCAGCTCAACGTATTTTAACGTTAACCTCGACAAATCCAGGCATAGCCATTGTACATTTTATTTTCTGTCAATAATATAGCATAAAAATAACAAGAAAATAATTCTGTTTTCAACTTTTAGTGGAATAATGCTAGTTACGTTAAACCATATCATTCGACCGTAAAAATTTACTGATTTGCAGATTCCGGATTTGTTATGTTGCAAGGAACAACCTATTGGACAGATCTGTTTGTGCGGCATTTTTTATTTCAAGCGGAAAATACAATCGACGGTGACGACCTCTTATTCTTCGTGCGTAAAAAGCACATCAAAACGTCGTCGAAATACTTGCCGAAATTCGAAACAGAGGTTGATGTATTTCGCAAAGATAGTAAAAAACTACCAATCGGCGATCCGGACATCGATTGGGAAGAGACGGTCTACCTCAATCTCGTTGTGCACCAATTCGATTATACCCTTACACTCGCTATTTGCACTAGGACTAGCCCTAAGGAATTGCAAGTGAGTTTTATCTTTTTCAAATGTCTATTTCTTAAAAATATTTTTGCAAACACATTGACATTGAAGATTGAGTCAATCGTCGTTTCCGCACTTTGATATTCAAATTATAGATATCAAACTAGAACGGAATCATCTGAATAACAACTGTAGCAACTAAGTTTATCAATATAATGAAATTTTTGTGTAAAGGTATTAAGGAGACACTCGCAAAAAGTTTACGCGAGTCCAAGTCGTCGTCGGATGGATGCAAAAGGAGACCTTGAGGAGATGACGTATCCGCACATCTGCTTCATGGTAGATAACTTTGACGAAGTATTCTGTGATATCCTAGTCAGAGACGGGGAGATGGTATGCGTAGAACTTGTTGCCTCGGATCGCGAAGGTGCAGTTCAGGGCGTCATTTTTCTCGGCTCTATTAGATACGATGCACTCAAAAAAGTTTACGATGCCAGGGTACACATTTTTGTAAACTGCTAACAGGGTCTAACAACGTTGCGGAAAGTAGAAAAAAACTTTATAATTTACTTTACGTTTGCAGTCGAGTCTGAGCACAAAAATGGCACAACGGATGACTTTTGGTCTCTTCTCGGGCGCAACTACTCAAAGAGTTGAGTTCGTTAGGATGAAAGGTCCTCAAGGTGGGTATTAAAAGAAAACTTTCTGTAATATATTTATCTAAAGTTGCAATACGTAAGTACTAAATATATTTTATTTTAATCTTGCCAACAAAAGTGAATTATTCAAACTAGGACTGAATACATGAAATTATGTTTAATGACTAGAAAAATCTAATAGTTATAACGTTTTCAGGCAAAGGTCACGCGGAAATGGCAGTGACAAAACCAAAAGGTTCGGGAGCTGAGACACCAACATCAGAGCCAGGCTACTGCGTGACTGACGCATTATGGGATGCCGAATGGGACGACGCGGAGGAACTGTTCCTTTATCGACATCAGCGTCGACTCTCCGATCCAAGTGCCAACTTGAACAACTTTGTGCGCGGTGGTTGGCGTACCAAACCCGACAGTGCGGCTGCCAAGGCGCGCTCGGAAAACGAGGGACTTGACTCGATGGCCAATGGCTTAAACGAGATCGAGGCTGGAGATGTGCGAGATGGTAATATACTTGACTGTCGTTTCTCTGTCTTTCGTCTTCTTCGCTCGTTTAAGATGTTTTTGGCGCAATTCTGTTTTACGTGAAAATATTCATTGCATACGAGTGTGCCTATTTCACACACATAGGTCCAATCAATAGTTTCACTGTGTGAGAATCGCGCCTTCCACGTACATGTCATTGAACTACTTACAAAAACATGGTCAACTATCATTCACGCTGAAGTTTCATAAAGCCCTTCATCCCATTTAATCAACTCATTTCTAAGCTTCTATGAGAATGATTATAGAATATAATGAACTTCTAAGTATGTATATGTAGTGCACGATAGCTCGTTGATTCTCTGTAATTCCGAGACTTTGCACAGTTTACCTACTTTTTCATAGCTCATTTTACACTCTCTTGGTTATATCTTGCATTTTTTTCTGCATGCCATATTATTACTCTACTGTATACTTTTTGTGCCTTTTCGAGGCATCTACTTATAAGAAATATGTAGAGGAAATTAAAGAAAATTAAAAAATCGATATTATGAAAAGGATTTTTTTTATTTTTTACTTGTTCAAATTATTATTACTTCTTTTTTGGAACATGGGCGACAATTACGTTTGATATTTATCGAAATTCTAATGATTTGCACACAAAATTTACGGTAATTAAAAAAATGTATTATTTCATTAAAAGTATAAAATTTTATCTGGAGAAAGGTTAATGAATTATAATTTTGTGTGAATGTGAAGAGCATAAAAATTTAAATAACTAACAAAAAAAAAAAAGTATTCACGAAGATCGTTTCATCAAAATCTTTGTAGAGCAATAAAACTGCACACGCACGTAATATACGGCAAAACATAAAAAAACAACTTCTACAGTCGTAATTCCCCTCAAATCAATTACAAAATCAAGCATCTGAATCTCAAATCAATCGTTAGCGAAAATATTATATATGAAGCGAATGCGTACCATAAAAAAATTTAAAAAAAACCTTACCTAAGCAAAATAAAAACCCTGTACACGAGTATAGTAGAATACAAAAGCTCGTTGATACCACTGATAAACCGTATGTCACATCACATCGCTCGTCAGAGAAAACAAAAAAATGAGGATATTTGTACTCTTCTGTTCTATCGCGCGGACGCGAACGAAAAACACAAAAACAAAAAAAGGTGACGACGAAGCTGAGGATGAGACAACGAGGACGACAACAACAAAGACGAATGGATGTCGTCCACGCGTACATTGCAGATCCGCCCAGTCGTCACCGGCAGTCACGCGAAGGAGTATGAAACAGGCAAGGATGTTGAGTACAGCGAGATCACCCCTCATGGGTCGCTCGGTTACTCGCAGGAACCGTGCACCGAGGGAAACTATTAGCCATTCTCGCGGTGAGCACGCATTCATAATCAATCGCGATGTGGTGTGTGCTGCTGCCTCTCTATGGAGGATTTCGATACTATCTTTTTGTATAATTCGAATTTGCTGTGATCTCGTTTCTTTCTTTAAGATTGGATCAGTAGCATTTTTTGCGACAGTTTAATTAGATCAGTTGATTTTAAACAAATTATGAATTTTTTTATGTGTAAGTTACTTGGAAAAGTTTATTGGCGGATTTATTATTTTTCGCTTCAGTGAGCATTGAGTGTAGTTTGAATAAATTTTCATAACAGCTATCAATTAAAAACTTTCTTTGATACAAGCTTTGCAAAGTAATGCGAACAAGAGCTTGAAAATTTCCCATTCAAATTGCATTGCTACCAATCACTATTTTTCTCACAGAACTAACGATCAAACTCGTTAATCACGAGAATCACTCGAGAAAATAAAACGATTATCTGAGATTCTCCATTGGCAATGAAAAAAACTGAACCGACGATTGGGCAATGTAAATCGAAAACTGTCGCTCTCGGCATAATAACCTCGCTGCTATGTATCCCGTGTATCAGGTCTGAAAAGTCAAAGCTCGTCGGACGAAAACAATCACATGGCGGATCAAGTAATCCAATCGATCGAGGTCGGCAGTGAAATTCTCGTGGCAAGTGGTGCCTCACCAACGGACGACAACGTGCGTCAAAAACTCGACTCCGGTGCTATTCTCGTCGACGGCACCGAGGAGCTTCCATGCTGTGAAAATAATGAGCCACAGACGCATTCCCATCATCTGCGTGAGCGTCGTCGTCGAAGATCGCGCAGTTTGATTGACAGTAAAACACCGAGCGATGAGGATGTGTTTGGAGACAATGAGAACGAACCCGACAAAGATGACAACGCCAACGACAACGCCAAATTGACATCTCGAGCCGAAAGATGCGCCACCCTGCCAAGAAGGAGGAGACGCAGAGCACATTCGGGTTGCTTCACTGGGAATCCGTTGCCGCCTCATAGAGTCACCCCCGATGGCACTGCTATCTACTACTGGTGCGAGATGCCCAGGCGGCCCGGCTCTCAGGGTAATTCTCATCATCTCGTCGAAGATTAAAAAATACAACCACAAAACACTTGTGAAATGGATCCTTTTTGCTTTTTGGAATTCGGCTTTTTTCGGTACTCGAGTGTATTACCTACTATCCCACCTTATTATCCTTCTTTTTTTGCTTTGATGTCGACTAATGGTTGATTTTAGTTTACTGTATGAACATGCGATTATCACCTCGAACATTCAAGCCGCTGATGGTTATGGCGTAACTAATCGCTTGAACTTTTGAGGAAGGAATGGTATATTGTTATTAACTCTTCAGTGGGTAGATCATTATGTAAATCAACAGTGTGCGAAATTGCTTAGTAAAACGTACCTATAAACTCACTTTATAATGCAAATATAACAACAAAACTCTGGTACTCAGAGTAGGCTGTATGTAAAACTGACAAAAGCATTTAAAGCAATAGGAATACTTTAACTTATAAACAGTGTGCATCTCTGGACCATTTTATTTATTTTCTTTAATTATAACCAACTTTTGATTTGTTTTGTACAATAACATATGTGTTACTAACGAACAAAATCCTGTTATGTATACAATCTTTATTTACTAACAAATGCCCGCTGAAGGGGTAATATGTATTGTTAATAAATTTATTCTGTATTCTTTTATTCTTTGAAAGTTACATTTCTGTTAATACTAAAAGACGAATTCCGCATAAAGGGTCTAGTCTAACTAAACAGTTAATTTTTTAGTAGAAATATTTATTTAGTAAAAAAATACAATACTCAACATTTACACAAGTATTTATTTACATTACAATGCAAACATTTGATACCTTCGTGCATCATATCAGTGACACAAGAGATACCTTCAAAAAATTTATAACAATTGAATTAATTATCAATGTAATTTTACAAAAATATTAGGAAAGCTATGAGTTACCTTCATTTTTCTGTTACTTACCAAGATAAGACTAATTGAGATTATATCGAAATTATTATGTAATTGGTTTCGGCCAAAAATAAATTTCCAAATTTATTATTTTACAATACTTGAAGTCATTATAAGGCTAATGACGTATGAATAGTATTAATACACTTTACTTCTTAACGAAAAACGTTAAGATGCTTATGTTGCAAAAGTTCATATTCTCAATATAAATTATGTGCTTCTGTTTGTTACATGGACACGCGGCATGAATTACACATGTTCTCACAGCTCCACTGTCTATTTTGAATGTTTCTTTTCTTGCTGTTTCAATTGCTGTTCATATTTTGTCCATATAATTATGAAGTACATTACGCCAAAACATATATAAGTTTTCTCCTCAGCTCACGATACAAGCATCATATGCATTACAACATTATTGAATCAATCACATAAGTCGATACTTTTCGTAAAAAAGCAGATTCTATTACGAATCTATAGAGCATCAATTCGTAGTGCAAAATTAACACGTACACCATTCACAATAATGAAATTCAGATTATATCAAACTCTACCGATTTACTTTGGAACGATAGTCACAAAAGATGAATTTCCAAATTAGATCAACATTACCTCTAGCGCAAATCAAATTAGGTTTTCCCTCTTCAGACACGAAAATAAAGGAAACAAAATTAATAAAGCCAAGTAATTTTATTTGACAGCTATTTACTAGAATGAAATTTTTGCCCTCAGAGCTGGACGACGGGGCCTATAACCCGCTGTGGACTATGCGGGGATTCACTCAAACCTTTCACTTCTGGAAAGAAAATAAAAGAGCTCAGTCCGTCCCCCTCAACGCATTTCTTACCTATATTACCTTACCCTGGTGGAGTATTGCCAAAGGTAAGTTATGAAACATATTAATGTTCTTTTAATGAAATATAAGGCATACTATCAAATTTTTATTATTAGATATTTTAGATAATCGAGAAGGACCCATACTAACATTTTAGCCGGCGTCATGATAAATGAGGTATCAACATTCCTCTCTCTTCATTTACAATTACGCGCATAGCAGCTCAATCGCTGCGGCCAAGACTCTAAGTGTGTACAAATAAGATTACTCAAGATACTATTTACAGACCTTTGTCGACTTTTTTAATGTCGTACTGTCAAGTGTGTATTTTTTTCATTTTGAGATATGTGATAACGAGATATTTATTAAAAATAAAAAAAGTGAAGCGCTGAAAAAGAACAGTGCTCACTTGAAAAATTACTCCCTGGTGTTCTATCGCGAATCACCACTTAAGGTTAGCTAAGTATTCAGGTATAGTCGTAATTTCTTGTTTTCAATATATTTTCTACAAAAAATATATCGAAAACATCTTATACCATGTTTTGCAAATGATTTCTACTATAAATAAAAAATTTTTCAACAATTAAATGTACAGTCGCTTTAAAGACGTTCATAATTAAAATTTGCATTGACTGGGAAAAACTTGAATGTTTTCTATATGGAGGGAGGTAATGCATATTTCAAATTCGAGAACAAAGGAAATTATAATGTATTTTAAAAAATTTGAGCTTCATTACGGTATAAAAATGTATCTTTCTAACAGGTAAAGCTAGTATTTTTTTATTACTCCAAGTTTATTTACAATCTTTAACACAATCAGACAATAAGTAAATTTAATTGCTATAAAAGAGATATATATACATGTAATGCATCAGAATATACCAGTGAGTTTTCTGTATTGATTTTAAAATGTGCGTAGCAAATAGTGGAGATTTATTTATACATTCATTAATTTATGCTTCTTGATTCTGGTATTAACGATGAATAACATAAGAAAATCGCTAATTAGTTTATTTGGGCTCGTAGTGGCGCTTTGGAAAATATTTTTGAGTTTGTGCGGAAGATTTTGATACCTCACTTTGTCAAACGCCTGGACCACATAAAGGAATATGCAGTATTGTTTTTCTTCAAGAGATTTTCTCAACAGCGGATATTATTCTATTTACTTGTTCTATGATGGAGTGGTTGTGCCTGAAACCAAATTGATGATCTAGGATAAACTTTCTATTGTTTTTTAATGGGTTCATTCTAACTAGGATTAATTTTTCATAAATTTTGGAAAATGTTGATAAAAGACTAATTATCAGTCTGTATGAGGTTACTAGTTTAGTTTCTTTAACGGATTTAGGTATTAAAATAATCCCCGCTATTTTTTATTGAGAAGGAAGAAAGCAAAGACTAAAGTATGCATTAAAAATAATTCTTATGCATCTTATTACTATTAAGGATAAAAGCTGCTATTAATTGAGGAAATTTTGTAGAAAATTAACAATTCGTCGTCAATTTAAGAATTTTATTTTAAAAAATAATTACACTTTGCAGCATTTGGTCTTGTTCGTATCATTCATAAATTACTATGACAAAAAGAATAATAAATTATGAAACAAACTCACAGAGTTTATACATACAACGCTACAAAGCAAATGGCTTCGACTCTAAATGTCATTACAAGCGAGTGTCGTAAAAATTTTGCGAAGTTTTGGTATAAATTAAGATTGTTGTCTTCAAAATTTCATTCGTCAATTCGATATTTAAATTATGACTTTAAAATTAAATGAATTACGTGTATCCTGATGGTTTTATAATAAAAATCTCAATATGTACAAATCTCAACAATTAAATTTAAATTCATGAACATGAATTTTCTTGTCCTTTGAAATGACGTTATAAATCCTATGATAATAATGTGAATACGCATTCAATTCTGATCGAATTCCTACATTCAGAATTAAAAGTGCGAATAATCGAATTGCTGTCATAACAATCGATTAAATATTTTCGTTCCAAATAAAAGAGTCAAGTCAAAATTCAACGCTTAACAAGATCATCTTGAATTTGTTGCAACGTCTTGCCTTTCGTCTCAGGCATACAGATCAACGCATAAGGAACAATGAGTATCGTTAGACCGGCATACACGAAGAACACATTACTTTGACCAATAATTTCAATGAGCGGTTGATACGTCTTAGTTGAGATGAAAGCGAAAATAGCACCGGCAAGACTAGCAAAACAGGCAGCGATACATTTGACATTAGTTGGAAACAATTCCGAGAGGACAGCACTTGGAACGCACATGAGTCCCGCAAAGAAAGCTACATCGAAGAGGAATATTGAAGCAATTGGAAGCCATTGAAGTTGAGATACGTTCAGTCCTCGATCGATACAATAGAAGTGGATACCCAGACCTAGCATTCCTAAAGTTACTCCCAAACTCGAACCGATCAAAAGGATCCTCCTGCAAATAAATTACTTCTTAATTTTCTTAATTTCTCTCGCCAATGTCAAAAAAAAAAATTTTTTTGTTATCAAACGTTTTTTACCTTCCGCATTTGTCAATCATGACAATAGAGAAAACCGAAGCGACAACAGCTGAAGCACTAACGTACATGACGACAATTTTCGGTTCTATAAGGGTTGATTTGCTCTGAATGATTATCAGTTCCATGTAGAAAAGAATACTGTTGAAACCCGATAACTGCATGAAAGCCCACAGAACGACTATAAGGATCATAGCTTTCATAAGAGCTGGTTTACGTAATTCTTGGAGTTTGTCGCTGAATGTCTCTGATACCGCGTTCGAGACGAACCTCTTAACAGCATCAAGTTCTTCTTCAATCTGATGATTCGCACGATACCATTGAATTGATTTCTTAGCTTCTTCGAGTTTGTCCTCTAGAATTATATATATATATATATATATATATATTTTATTATGAATTTATAGGCTTAAGAAAACGTCACATTTTACGTGTAGTTATTCAATCTATACAAATAATATGAATATCACCAAAATACTTTATTGTAGAACATATAGCTACAAAAGATTTTTGATCTAATTGAATTTGCATGTATTATTAAATATAAATATTTCGTTATACATCACTGAAAATAGTATATAACATAGAAACTCTTAAGTTTAAATAATTTAATAATGGTATACTAGAAGGAAGCAAAATAAAAAGAAACTGTACCTTTGACAAAATGGTGTGGCGATTCAGGCATCCATAAAAATAATACCATAAGAGCAATGCAAGGAACCAGATAAATTGTAGCTGACACCTCCATGTTCAAATAACTACCAGCGATGTTTCCTATCATAACTCCAAAGGTACCACCGCAAGCAGCTAACGAGACCAGAGCTCCCCTAATCTCGGGTAATGATACTTCACCCAAGTATAGCGGGAACGAACTATAAGTCATACCCAAGCCCACTCCACTGGAAAACCTCGCTAAGTACAGGAATTCGGTACGTGTGGCAACAATCGTGAGAACCCAACAGAGACTGATGGGCACGAGAGTGAACAACATTGTTCTTTTGCTGCCGAAATAGCTGACTGACAAAGCACCCACAAAAGCACCCAAAAAGCGTCCAAGATTCAGCAACGATGCCACCCATGACGCTTCCTCGTCAGTCAGGAGCAACGATGAGCCTGGGGCTGTTAGTTTGGCTAAGTAAGGCGATGACCAACCACTTGATAAACCGAGCTGTACCAATACCATCGTCACTGCAATTCACGAGAATAATTTTCTTGTTAGAATCTGTAACGATTTCACCAATATTTTTTGATGGGCAGTGTTGACATGAACAAATCGTTCTTATTCTCATTATGCTTGACAGGCAGGTAAATATAATAGGAAATACGGATGATCATATCACAGAATAGCTGTAAACTCGATTGAAAGAATTAAGTTAATGCGTATACAAACAATGTTCTATCACCAAAACAATAGTAAAGGAAAATAGTTATTTAGGAAAAAGAACAATCTAAATGATGTATTGCATTTCGTAATTGGAAAAAATATTTTATCCCGAAAAGAAAATACGATTCAATAGTTTCAAAGAGATTTTTCTTTAATCGTTTGAGGACGATCAAAGCCAATTGTCTTTCTTAAAGTTATTAATCGCTGTTCAAATACAGCCGATTGACCATGTGTAAGACAGCACTTCCACTCAATTTAAATTCAACTCGATATGAAAAAGTCACCATATATTGCTTGCTATTTATACACTTTATCAAATTTTAATTGTAACACTAAACGCTTTTTTTTCTCAAGCATGTGGGGGATTTATCATTGATCGATGGCGAGGAAATTGAGTATGCTAAAATGATCGAGTTCGTATTTTTAATTGAGACTCTTACTCGAACGAATCCATTACACTATGTTTGATACACTCTTAAGTATTTTTGACGCGACGAAGACATTGATTTCTTCGATCTTCGTTGATTAACTTCAAATGTAGCTTGCATATAGAATAATAGATTTTTTCAACTCTAATTTTTCATCTTTGTTTCAGCTCAAAGGCAATTTCATTAAATAGGTACAGCAAATCAAAAACTACTGAGATGAATGTCAAATGAAATGTTCTGGTTTTAAATGAAAAAATTTCCACTATCTTGAAACTTATTTATTGCAACGTTTAGATGACCTAAATTTTGTTTTTCATCTGTTACTTGTTACTGCATTAAAACATTGTTACTTCAGCTATGCAAACTGCTATTGCAATTCATATGTCTCGACTCAATTGACGATCATCAACGATTTCATTTTATTCTAGAAAATGTTCAGTTTGCTAACTCACGATCATTCTCGAACATTTTGTCAAGAAGATTTTTGTCTAAGCTTTTAATTATATTTTCAACGAAATAAGAAAGTAGTTTATAAATTCGTTTATAATTAATCGTATTACACTTCTCTCATAATAGATCATTATTAATTTCAACAAAGCATCTACCATTGACTAAACTTTCTTTCAATATATTATTATCAAAGTGTATTATAAATCAGTTAGTTAAAATGCATTTAAAAATAAATGTTTAGTTGAATTTTTGTTTAAATCAACATAAGCAATTGAAAGAAAGTAATGAAGATTTAACGTAAAAATTTTACCACCAAATCCAGCTATAAGTTGCGGTAAATATTTCCGCAAGGAAGAAGTCTTCGAAGCCACTTGCACCATGGTTTGGTCACAAATGCTAAGAATAGTGTATCCCCCACAATATTAGTCGGCGATGGATCGAGAATCCTCCTTGCGACGCGTCTCACTCTCAACTGAAGTTCGATGCAGCGGCACGTCGACTCTTTTTAATTTCGCTGTTCCTGCGCGCGCAAATGTCAGGATAAATTCTTGCTATTATTGCGCAATCATGATCCCTCTCGTGCGATGCTCCGCAAATAAGGTAATGCTTTTGCGATTATGTAATAAGGGAAAACTTGTTTTCTTTTCTCTTCTTCGTGCCGAAAACAATTGAAGTTTATATCACCGTCTCGTCGCGATCAATGAAGTTTCTCGGTCCTCTCTGGCTTTTATTTTGCAACGAACTTTTCTTGTTGCATCATAGCTTAGCATAGTCGAATTGACGTGGGATGTATCATGATAAGCGGTGATTTTTTACTCGATTAATTACAAAAGATTGTTATTCACCGGTTTCCCGATTAGATCGCTTTGAAAACTACCAGACAAAAGCAAATTACCAAAGATAGATTACGATTGGAGATGAATTAGAATGAAAAATTGATTTGATTTCAATTAATCCTTGTCAGCTTTCATAGAAGAATTTTCTATAGAATAAGTCATTGTTGTAATTCTGACGCATACTGCTACATTAAATCATTCGTCGTGAAAAACTTGCGAGTATCAAGACCAAAGAGAATCTATATCAATTGTTTAATAGTATCAGTACTTGGCAAATAATAAGGGAAATCCCAAATCAAATGTCCCGCATTGCCATATTTTGTTATCTGGAAAAATTGCAGCAACGAAACAACTTAACATTTCAAAAGTTATATCGCCATCGTGTGTAAACGAAGCCGACATCATCGTTTTTAAAATAGAACTAATTAAGCAACCAAATAAAATCGTCACGTCGTAAGATAATAGTATTTTAATTTCTTGTTTTTAAAGTATTTGTAATTTTGCGGAGACTTCGTAAATAATTCCTGGATGTATTTTCTATAATTCAAATTCTATGTTTAGAATTATTTTAATTATCAATCCGGTCGCGAATGACTTTGATAAGTTTGTTTTCTTTTTTGTTTTTTTTTCTAAAGCAGCTAGCTGATTATTTATATACAAAAATGCATAATTAACATATTCTAACAGTGCTTCATGTTCAAATTTAACTATGATTATTATCTTTTTTATTTTATCTGCAAAAGAACGTCGTTGAAATCTCCAATATTTTACGCTTTTTCGTCAAACGAAGACAACAAAATCACGAAAGAAAGAAAAGAATTAAGTTAATAATTTCGTCATAAGTTACATGAAATGGGAAGTTTTTTCTTCTGACGCCAGTACAAATAATCAACCGAATAAATTCACGTCTGAGCTGATAGGCGTGTGCTTATCACGTGTTTTAATGAATCGAATGAAGTTGCTATTACAACATGTGTACTCACAAAAATTTACAAGTAGAAAGTGATCGTTGGAGAGCAATAAGTCACTTTTAAGCTTTCCGGGCTTCACGTCATTTTGTCCAGCTTATTGAAATTCCTCTTTATATGCAGACAATTTGAGTGTTTTCGAGCAGGTCAATCCATGTTATAGAAAATGTATCTATTTAATAAACAACCGATCGGATGAATAAATCTTAATTGTACGGGTCAGCGGGACGACAATGACGATACTACAGAGCTTTTATGAAAACAGATTTTCCGCGCGCGTTGGTGTACAAATTGCCGGTAATCGGAGTCAAGTGTTAGTGCTACGTTATATTTTTTGCCTAGTCGATAAATCCTTCCAATTAAAATTGAAAAAGAGAGGAAGAGAGAGAAATATATATACTAATCGGTCGTACATCCGTCAGGTGTCTTTTATAGGCGCCGCGCGAAAATCACAACAATCTAGCTTCAAAATCCACGACAGTGTGGATGGTGGTACTTTGATTAGATTAAAAGTGCCGATTCATGCCGAGGAAGGAGGAGTCGGTGAATTAATTAAATATGAATTACTCGTCTTCATTAGTACTAGGCGGCTGTATATTGCATGATAACTATCTACTCTTATGTGACGTATGTGCTTGAGTAAACATTTGGTAATTGGCAGACGTTTTTCATGAAATAGATATACGTACGTCGAAACTTGAGAAACGTCGTATGAGCGACATAGTTACGCTTGGACTGTAAGAATTCGACTGTTCAAACCATCTTTGATGATATTTAAAATTTTCAATGATTTATTCTGCAAACTCACGACAGATGATTCGATGATATTTTATTCTATATTTAGTTAAAGTTCTAAAAGAATTCTCTTTTTCGAAATTGTGAAACGAATTGTGAACAAATTTCTTTTTGAAAGACATTAAGAAAGTTAATAAATTAAGCAATATTTAAACCAAATTATCGTACATAATACGTCATATTGTTCGACCACTGTAAATTTCTATTTGCTTAAAATTCGGAAACACAGTAAATATATGTTGTTATTGAATATGTTGTAACAAGATTGATATTAGAAAAGAAACTTTTCAGTTGATTTCTGATAAAGGGCAAGTACAGTGTTAAATATCTGGATTCGCAGCTTTTCAACGACTCTACTACTCATTAAGCAAGCAAAAAAAAGTTGTTAATGCAATGTTGCAATATATAAATATCTTGTTTTATTTCCTACAGGTAACTCTTTATCAATGAAAAATGCTATTGAACTTTCACCAATTTAATATTCACATAAAATAAATTGGTGTTCTATACATACATATGATTATATTCCTTTATTAGGTGTTAAAATTTTAATTGGGTTTTAGATGTCATACTGATTTCAAAATATGCTAATATTCTTATGGTAGATAGACTATGTAAGAAATATACGTTAAAATAATTTTAATTACAACAATTTGAAATTGTAAAAGGTGAAATTTTTGAAAGAATATTTGGAACCATTTATTGTAAGTATCTAGATATTACCAAACCTACTGAAAACAATGGAGATTCAATGCAAACACAGCGTCACAACCAAACAGTTGTTATGAATATCATAATGTCTCATGAATTTTCTTATGAAATTCGAAAAAAGTATTACATATTTCAACTTGCGCACTACGTAAATTTTACTGTTAGAGTTAATTTAGAGTTAATTACATCAACTTACATTAGAACACTACAATTTTATATCCTGTGTCGCGATTATATTTAAATTTATAGAATTCATAAAGAAATTGATCAGAATTACATATATATAACAGAGTTATTGGTATAATTATAATTCTGATAAATTTTAAGCTACGATTGATATATAAAGTTAGAACGATTATCTAATTAAATTAAATTAAATCAACAAGTAATGGTTGCTAGGATTTCGTTAGAAAACTGATTGTTATGAAAAATAGTAAACATTATTAAATCAAGAGAGTTTGATTCTATAAAACGTGTATATAATATATATTTAGAAATGGTGAAAACATTCTTATATTTAATCTAAAACAATTGACCTCTGTATCAAAAATTATTTTTGATATTTAGTGAATAGTATTACTTATTGTTGTTAAACCGCTCATGTAATGATTTTTTGTACAGTTGTGATAATTAAATACTTTCATTTGTAGAAAATTCTATTATTTCATTATTATTCTGTGAATATTAACTTTTTTATCAAGGCTATGTCGAAATATACATATCTGTTTATTAACATCAACTATTTACCTATATATTAGGTCTAGATACTATCGTTTAAATAAAAATTATAAATGGATGAAGTATTTTGAAATACCTATTTTTAATTAAAAATATTTCACAATGTTTTACGCTACAGTCTACTTCACATACTATTTATTCCTATGACGAGAAACAAGGATTGCTTAAACGCTATTGAGTTTCATTTACCAGGAAATAAATTAAAACTTCATGAAAAATGATTGTTAATGGATACCAAAATTATTAATTTTACCAATTTAATTAGATAGATACTAGTTTTATTAAAAGCATGCTTTTTTTGAAAATATCATTGATATGACTGACTAATTAATCAAAAATTATGCTTGTAAAACGGAGAAAATGAACGATCTTGAATAATTAAATTACAATAATTTATTTATCAACGATATAATATAATCATTAACTTGCACATAGATATTGAAACGATTAAACAGACGATGAAAGACACACGTGTGGATCGCGTTGCCTATAACTAGGGACTATTGAGTCAAAATTTATAATTAAATAAATAAATTACTCACGGTTTTTATAAAAGTTATATCAATTTTATTACAAAAATCGTTCTGATGCAAAAATAAGACATGCAAGCTTCACCGTTCAAATCGAAACGTTAATACAATTTTGACCTAATCAATTCTATCCTTTAAGAAAATAAAATATGTGGCAAGTGCAGTCAATGATATCGATATTTTAATACTAGAAAGTATTAAAATAAATCGTCTAATAAGTCGATCGCAAAGGCGAATCGTCGCTATCGTTATGATTACAGAATTAGCATTAAGAAGTACTTATGAAACGGCTGACGATAGTCCAATGATCGTAGAGTTACTTTTTCATAAAATCATTTCTATATAGAATGGAACGTTGTTAAAGCTTTACATCTACATAAAGATGAATAGCGTCATTGTGAGAAAGTCGCTTTCTACACGTGGCGTAACCAAAACACACCTGAGAAAACTATATAAAAGACTTGTATATTTAAATTAGTTTTCTGCTTTAATATTTGAAGTGCATGACTTAAGAGGTCAAGAAAGGGTCTTACAATGAAAATTGAAGGTTTACTTAATTATTGTATAAAAAATGTTCTAATAAAGATACGCGCTTGAAATTATTTTCATTAATCGATAAAAGCTTTAATCTTCTTTGTCATAAAAAATTTTAATTTCATGCCTCACAAAGTCACCGTTCGAATAATCTTTCTTAATTAGAAAATTTGACTTTTCCACGATTTTTTAAATGCTAAAGTAAACGAAAACCATTTTGCTCTGTATCAGATGCTCCTATAACAACGAATGAAACTAATGCACCTCAAAAATTATAAACAACCTGAAAGTAAAATAAAAAAATTTTGCGTCATTATATAAATAGTCGTGTATATATAATAACGGATGAAATTACCTCACAAAGTGACATAACAAAGCAGCTAAACAAACCCGAGCGATGCCCAGCCAAACTACGGTGTCAGCAGCGAAAACTATTAGTCATCCAGCAACTATAAGAATGACTGTAATGACATGTCTTTTTACTACCGAAAAGGTTGACGCATGTTCAGACTAATACAGCGCCAGTAAATCAACTTGTATAAAGAATATATGCTATCCGTGAAGCCTCGGACAAGCTCAAGGAACAAACAAGTTGGCAGAAGTTAATAGGGCTAAATACAAAGATGCCAACAAATATTACACCAACTTGATACATGAGAAGCCACACTGAAAAATTAATTGTCTGATCAACTTTTCATACATGGGACTTTTACTAAGTAAAAATAAAATTATGGAAAGATGTATGTAGGGAGAAGATTTCAACCTAACGATATGTCACTACAATTATTTTCAAACAATTATTTTCTGAAGTAAAGTAATTATAAATAAATCAAATAATGGAAAAAGAAGAACAGGAAATTTTAAATAAATTTTGATCAAGCGAGTCTTAAAAGTTATATTTCCATACCTGCACAGTTTGCGGATACAAAATTTTGATCCGAAATCGTTTATGTGAACCATCCACCAATAACGAACTTTGGCGCCCATTTTATTTATAGTTTTCTGCTCGTCTGAATATTATTTGACTTTGTTTGATAAGATAAGAATTATAGCATTCAAATTCTGTTTTTACATAATAGAACAATAAGCTATCAAGTAAAAAATTTCTTCACGGGTGGGCCTCATCGACGCCCTGCATGGTTAATACGAACATTTGAGTAAATAGACTCAATACTATTTTGTGCTTGTTTTTACGTATCGCGTGGATTCTACTTTCAGAATAAAAACATCATTGACATTTCTACAAATTTTCACTGTAAGTTATAGAGAAACGCCTTCTAGATTTACAATTTTATTAGTCTATATTTTCAATTTTTTTCCAATTTTTTAATTATAGGAGTTTTGATTTATTGTAATAAATAATTAAATATCCGTTTCTTTAGGAATGGGTTATATAAATTTTTTCTGACAAAAATTCAAATTTAAATTAGATACATTTGTGATATACATAACAGATAAATCTGAATTTGATATTAAATATGCCATAACATTTGTTTAATGGATCAGAACGTTGATAAAAAAAAAACAAATTTATTCATTCAGTATACAAATAAATCTTGTAATTAAAGCAGAATTACTAATATATATTTAATAAATAAAAATTATCTTAATTTTTTTAAATAGAATATATAATTATGAATATTGTAAGCGTTGCCACACACTAAGAACGCAGCCTCTCAAATCCTTTCTTTGCTTATATAACGAGATTATGCAATATTATTAAAGATACCTCTAATATTATCTAATATAATCTCTATTATTATTGAACTATAATATTATTAACTATAACTACACATGCGCACAGACACATATATATATCAAGCAGATTGATTATGATAAGAAACGATAAGAAAACAAATAGAACATACAATATAATAAAACAATAGAAATCATACGGTTCACTATAATGAAGAAGATGTAGAATATAGTTTTCCATTTATAATATCTGTTTTTGTCATATAAAACTTTAAAAAACATAATTCACGACTGTGAAATATTGAACTGAAAGCTTAAATATTACCCACAACGATATCTTACGACTCACAATTATCATGAATATTTCATAATATAGAATTTTGCTCTTTTCATATTTTTTTCATTTCATTATAACATATAGTTGAAGTATAAAATTAAAAAAAATGAATTATTAGTACAAGAAAATTTGGAATGATGAGCTGATGTTTAAAATAAAGTTCACATACCTACAGAGACATCTAGATCAAATAAACAGGTAATTTCTTTTCAAGCAATGATTCTTCATCCGAAGTTGTTTTTGTTCACCAGCAGACTAACAACAAACTTCCAGGCCCATTCTATTACTTTTCTATTTATTTACCATTGAATTTGAGTGGATAAAGTAGTTACAGCATGTAATACAGAAGTCTTTTAATTGGATAATAATAAAGTAGTGAAATTCTTCACGATTACGTTCCATGTGTACTACGTCATTAACGAAACGATTGGGTAAATAGACGTCGGCTATGATGTCAAGGTAAAGAGCTCATGAGAGTACAACATTTTACTAGAGCAAAGTAAGATTGTTGAATTAACGTTAAATACTCATGCCTAGTGCAATAAAATTCTTACACCACGTAAGTATACATTCCATTATTACTTCGACCATTTACCCTCCATTTATCCAATTTACATTGCCCCACTAAAATATTTCCTATATCATCGGATTTATAACTAAATATATTTTTATGATATAGGAATTAAGTCAATACATGTATATTGTTTATTTTATATAAAAAATAGCCAAAAAAACTCATAGCTGTAGTTCATTGCGCTGATATAATTCTTTAGTATCTTACAAAATAATATCATAAAATTAATTATACAATCAATAATCGACGTGCTAGTATTAATGTTAAAAAAAATTAATACTTGCACGTCGATTGTCATTCAAATTGACGCCGAACTTAACTAAGCCGAAACTTCATTTATTAACGTTATCTCATCAGATCATTTTGAATCTGTTGCAGTGTTTTACCTTTAGTTTCTGGCATGAAAATCAAAGCATAAGGAACGGCCAAAAAAGTGATAAGCGCATGACCATAAAATACATAAGCTTCTCCATACATATCAACTAATGGTTGATATAGTTTAGACGTTAGAAAAGATGCAGCAGATGCCGTAATATTAGCAAGCAGAGCAGCAACAAATTTTATATTCGCGGAATAAACTTCACTGGATACAATGGAAGGTATAGCATTAAGACCGTTTGCAAAACTTGCGATAAAAAAAAACAGTGATGCTATGGGTAACCATTGAGCTCCATTCCAGTCTATTCCTTTAGTTACTAAAATAAAATGAGTACCGAGACACATAAGTGCAATGGAAACTCCAGTGCTCGAAGTAATGAATAGAAGCTTTCTGCCAAATCGGTCATACAGTCCCATAGTTATAATTGACGAGATAACTGAAATAGTTAGTACATATGAAACTGCTGAAGATGGTTCGACCACTGTAGATTTACTGTTGCGTAGTATAGTCTCCATATTGAAAATGATATTCATCAAACCGCACATTTGTGAGAAAGCAAAAAGTATCATGACTAGGAATGTAGCTTTCCTCACGTGCCGAAGTCGAAATTCAGCTGGAAATAATAAAATCATTAATATCAGCGATCTACTTTGCGCGTCAGACAAGTTACGCGTTATCTGAATATTCATTTTTGGATAAGATACGAAGTATTGTCATTTGACGTACCAGTTATTCTCAATGCACGCTGAATTATCAACAAATATGCATCGATGTAATATCGTTTTTATTTTTTAATAGATTATCAGAATTCATCAAATAGTGTCACAAATGATCGAGTAGCCTTACTTAACGTTGTTTAGTCATTAACAAAATTTTAATTAATTTAATGTTATCATTAATCAGTTACCTAATTTCTCCATAAAACTAGTAGATGCTGTTAGTTCAACGAATTTTACAACTCCTTCAAGTTCGTGTTCAACATCATCAACACCTCCGCGGTACCACCGAAGTGATTCTCTAGCTCCTTTGACATCGTCAATTTTAACGAGATGATGAGGTGAATCGGGCAGAAAAAATAGCACAATAATAAGAATAGCACTAGGTACAAAATAAGTTATACTAGACGCTTGGATGCTCATACGTGGGCCTGTTAAACTTCCGAAGAGATTACCAAATGGAAAACCCATTGCGGCAAATGATACGAGTGCACCCCTGAAATACAGATATTACGTAAAAAATAGAGCTCAATGAATTATTATCAACTACAAGCATACCTAATATCAGGTGGAGCTATTTCCCCAAGATACAGTGCGAAACAACTAAAAGCCAAACCATAGCCCGTACCAAGGCTGACACGAGCAACACACAACCATAATGCGGAATTGGCAAAATAGCTGATGATCCAACCGATAAGAAAAGGAATACCCGTAATGAGGCAAGACTTTTTGCTTCCCAGAAAGTTAACACAAATCGAGCCCAATATTGCACCAGTAAATTTGCCTAAATAAAGAATTGAAGTAACCCATGAAGCTTCGTCCGAGTTCAATGGTATTGGAGAATTGGGAGCTGTCAATTGAGCAACGTAAGGCGAAGTCCAGATGCCAACTATACCTATTTCGAATGGTATTATCCACACTGAAAATCAAATGTTATCACTTTAATAAAATATACCAAATACATAACAAATATATAAAAATTATTTTAAAGAGTTAATACTATCAACTGTTATAATTGACAACTAATACTACGTACCTGTGACAATTGCTAGAGCTTGTGGAAAAATTCGTCTTATTTTAGCAAACATTTTTGTTGAATAAGAATTTTTTTATAGGCACTAAATTAAAAGTTAGATTCGTTCGAGACTTCTCCTTCTCGGACTCTAGCAAACTGGATACTCTTTAGGCCTTTTAATTTCACATCCAACTAATCACTTATCTTTCGATGGTCAGTAATTCAAAAGGCGATTTAAGATACTATAATATTATTGATTCAGCTTACGAATATTCATAAAACGATGGAAACACTTTATGACCGGTGTGTTGCGCGAATGCTTATCAACAGATAAATAATATCAGTTAATTTACAATGTTTTTATTTGGCAGTGATTTTTTCAAACAACAAGATACAGTCGTGCTTCGAATATTGATCTTTCAACTAATCCGTCACTCAAAATTATAAAATAGCTAAACCTGCACCATATTGTATTCCAATGGTTCCCAAATAATTATGTTTATTCGTTGTGTTCATGAAATCTCATATCCTATAAACATTGTCCATTTCGTTTTATTTTTCTTATGCAAAAATGAGATAAACTGTAGCTTAGAAGTACTAATAATGATCTAGGCACTTGTAAAAATCGCATTACATCAATTTATGTCATTCCAAAAATGATTATTTAATAAAAGAGTAGATCACAAAAATAATAAAAAATTGAAATATTTTTGTAAATAAATGGTATGATTAAAATAGGAATTTATATTTTTTCATAATACGTTTTTACATAATGTAATGTTCGATCAAATATAACAATTATCGCTTAGCCGCGAGAAATACGAAATACATACATAACGATGTATCTGTAAACCTCCTCAAACAAATCTACAAGTGGCTGATACGATTTAAACTGCAATTAAAATCATACATCAGTAATTCAGAAAATTTCAAAGAAAATGTCAATTAATCTGATATTAGTTACATAAAGACGAATGCACAAAAATATGTCTTGATAAGTGAAGATTATAGTTTGACCTAGTAAATATTATTATTTTAGCGAATTTTCTTAAAAGCTACTAAAGATATTAATATACAGAGCAGTATCAGGTAAGGAATGTGACAAACTTATTTGTTACAGATAAAGAATGTCACATTTACTTACAAATGTATTTGATGGCATCTATGATGTCATCACATGTATTATTTGACAATTTAATTACATTTAATAGTCTTATTCGGCATGATTGAAATATAGAAAAAATTTGATTCGGTGTTAAAACAATCTTTGTTAACATTTTATAATTTTCAGGTTATTTTAAAATTATATAAAATAATTATGCCATGTATAAGGAAGGATAATTTTAGGTTTCAATATTTAATTAATATAAATCGCGTGAATGCTTATCAGTCTTTAGAAGTAAAAAATTACGACAGCTCATGTTCTTTGATATGAAGTTAACAAAACGTACTAATTTATAGATAAGAAATTTGAGTAACTTGTAGGCTTAAAGTTTTATAAAATTATTATCTACTTTATTGAACAATGATGAATATGAAATGCTATTAACAATGACCTTATCATCAATATACCGTAACTATAAATTTTTTCAACGCATTAATTAACTTGTGATCTAAAAATGAAAAATAACAATAACCTACTAATTTTTGCCTTTCTTTCACCAATCAATCGTTTATAAAAATATATTTTTATTCAGATCAATTTCAGTGCTAAATTTTAATTTTTTTAAGAAAAGAATGTCATATATAATTTATAAATCTTTCCTGTTAAATGTACATTTACTTTTTGAATGAATAAATAATTTTTAATTTTAACTCATCTAAGTGTTACTGAAAATCATAGATGATTGTATTATTCACGCTTACTTATATTATATTTTGGAATAATTTTCAACAATAATATTAATTAAGACTTTTCGCTTAATAATTTCTGACTATCCATCAGAAACTAATAAATTTCTTTTATTTTTACCAATAGTGTGTATAAAATAAACTTCTTTTATTTTTACTAATAGAATGTATAAAATCAAGTTAATATCTAAAATTGGTAACAAATCGAAATTATATAAATGGTAACAAATCGAATATAAAAATGGGTAACAAATCGAAATTATATAAATATTTTTAGTAATCTTATAAATCAAAATTCCTTATATAACACAAAGATCTATGTAAAACTATCCATTTTTATACAACATTTTATATCTTCAAAAGTTTTCAATATCAACTACTCTAACTCATATATACACTTACATTGATAATCTTAAGATTATAGGGTAAGATTGGAGGGTACTCGTAGAAATAGTCATCTAGTAGAATGGACGTTATTCCGTTAAATTGTATATTAATTTTGAATTAACTATAAAATACCTATCAAAAATAGTTATTTGTTATTTAAAAAAATGAACGCTTAGCTTATCTACCTGATCGAATTTTCGTCTTTTATACAAACTATTTAGAATTTTCTTTTTGACAGACAAAGTGATAATGATTTATTCGATTCTTCTTCATCTTATTTTTTTCTCATCGGATCATCTTGAATTTGCTGTAGCGACTTTCCCTTAGTTTCTAGCATGAAAATCAAAGCATAGGGAATAGCCAAAAAGGTAATAACGCATGTGTGTAAAATATGTAAGCCTCTCCAAACAAATCTACTACAGGGTAATATGATTTAGAAGCAATAAAAGCTGCTCCTGCGACAGTCAATTTGACAACACAAGCTGCCACTGATTTTCTATTATCAGCATAAATTTCGCTGGACATAATGCTAGGAATAGAGTTTAATCCTGCGACGAAACTTACAATAAAAAGAAGAAGTGACACCACAGGTAACCACTGATCTCCGATCCATTTATTATTGAGACTCAATAAAATAAAATGAGTACCAAGTGTTACCAAAGGTATTGAAACTCCAATACTGGAAACAACCAACAAGTCTTCGACCGAATTTGTCGTACAATCCCATAGATACAATTACCGAAATAACGGCAAAGATCAAAATATGAAACTGCTGATGGTGCTTCGATGAGTTTCGATTCACTTTTTTGCAAAATTATTTCCATGTAGAATAAAACGTTATTCAACCCAGATATATGCATGAAGACAAAGAGCATCATTACGAGAAAAGTCGCTTTCCTCACATATCGTAGTCCAAATTCAGTTGGAAAATAATTATAGTTTCAAATGAATCACGTCGATTTTCGGAAATCATCGATGTGATATTATAAAATAATAGCTCCTACGCAATATTTTTATCTGCGCGCGCGCGCGTGTGTGTGTGTATATGCGCGCGCGTGTGTGTGTATATTCTATCATTGTAACTGAAAGGAACCTCACATAGCTAAGATGATACGTCATATCTATATTGCATATTTTTTTATCATAATCTCGCGGAAATCAAAAATATTAACACATACACACGCACATTAAAACTTCAACGAATTATTTTTATCCAATATCTACAACAATTAGATTTTTACTTTATAATAATTAAAAATTTTGCTGTTACGATAATAAAATAAGATAACATTTTTAAAACCGAAGAATAACTTACACAGCTTTTCTGTGAAACCAGGAGGTGCAGTTGATTTAACAAATTTTGTAATTTCTTCAAGTTTTTTACCTACATCTTTAATTCCACTTCGACACCATAGGATAGACTCTTTTGCTCCTTCAATATTTTCAACTTTCACGATATAATGAGGAGAGTCAGGTAACAAAGAAAATAAGATGACGAGAATAATACTTGCTATGAAGTATATTACACTCGATGGCCGCAAACTCATGTTAGATCCAGTGACACTAGCAAAGAGGTTGCTTAAAAATAATATTAAAAATGCTAAGTTTTATGATTAATTTGAGTGATTATACTCAATAAACTCGATAAACTACTGTAATGGTTACATAATGTGCTACATAATTTCAATTGTACATTGTTTTCACTGTTCATCAATCTGATTAAGATAGGGTTTTATAGCTTTTCTAAAGTTCATGATATCAACTGTAATCATTGAGAAAATAAAAAAAAAAGAAAATATTAAACAATCAGAGATAATTATTTTTAAAATGACTGTACTGGCAAAAGATAAATAATTCATTGTTGATCCTCTATGGCTTCTTGTAGAGTTTATTAATAGCGCAACTGATATAAACTGGTTAATGAAGTTCAAACCGTAAATAACGCATTTGAAATATGCCAATAAATATCTTTTTAATGTTGATTTAGTCCAAAGAAAAAATCGATTAATATGACGTAAGAAGTATCTTCGTTTTTAAGGCATTAAAAATGCCGTGAAAACAACAAACTCACCTAACATCCGGTGCAGCCACTTTGCCAAGATATAAAGTATAAAGCAAAACAGCTATAAAGCCAAATCCAACGCCGAGACTTATCCAAGCGAGGAACAACCAAATTGCAGAATCAGCCGCTAGAGCTAATACCCAACCAATGGCTATAGGAATAACCGTGATGAGATTTGTCCGTTTGTTACCGTACAGATTGATGGATATGGATCCAAAAACTGCTTTTATAAATCGACCCAGATAGAGAAGTGTTGCTACCCAAGAAGCTTCGCTTTGAGTCAATGGTAGGAGTGAATCGGGACGTATTAACTGTGCGAGATATGGCGAGCTCCAAACGCACGTTATACCTATTTCTATTGTTATGACCCATACTGCAATATAAATTAAATGCTATTTTCATGTAATGTTAGATTAAATTTTGTATTAAACTGTTTGAATGTGTATGTTGTTAAAGAGCAATGAGGCATTTTTCATATTCAGAAACTAGGTAATTACGTAACTTGTTACGTGCTTAAAAAGCTCTAATCTACTTTAAAAATTATAATCATATCGGCATCTAATTACTGATAACAATTCACATTTTCGTGGTGAATAATTTTATATTTTATAAGATCTACGTATATGCAATCAAGACATACTATTTTCTAAAAGTCGCAATTCGCTTTCAGTGTATGGGGTAGTATTGAGCATTATCTATTATCTTATCTAACCTTATCAATGACAGCGTTATTTATTATGTATCAATCAGTAACGAAATAATTGTTGAAAAGTAACGGAAAGGGCAATATTTTTCATCGAATCAAAAATAACCCAAGTCAGATGCATTTTGGAAAATTCGGCGAATGACGATATCGATAAAAATTGTTGCTCTGATTCCGTATTGTCACTAAGCACCAAGATTGTTTGTTAACAATGGATTTGAAATGATGGTAGCATTGCATTTTGACAAATACCGTCATTGATATTTTATACGAAGAAAAATTACTTTTACCGCTCTCAATTGCATTGCGACCCTTTATAGTAGTTTCATATATCTTATACCAAAACAAGAATGAAAGTAAAATGCTTCTTCAACAAAGCAATAATTCATTGGGTATGAAATTCATAGTTGTACCAAGCAATTTATATAGAATTCAGCTTAAAAACTGATGGTTTTGTTAACGACATTGATATATTTATGATTAAATTCATTGCAGAGTCTAATTTCTTCATTTAATAGTTCAGAAAAATTTTCGTATTTTTAGAAATTTTTTAATTTCGTATTTTTAAAATTATTCTGACGAAATACTTAATATAAATTACGTTAACTACAGAATTTATGTAATAAATATAAAGACGGAATTGAAAATATTCATAAACAATACATTTTAAAACTTGATTTTTTAAATTTGTAGTTGTATTTATCACATGCAAATAAAATAAATATTCTGTTTGTTAAAGATTTATTTTAACAATTATACAAAACTAATATTAGATTAGTTTTAACAATATATGATTTAATAAAAAATAATACAGGAGATTTAATAAAAAATAAATCGAATAAAGCATTCTCAGATACACGACTGTGGCAAGCTTAAATACCTGCAAAGGTAGCAAGAGCTTACGGATAAATTTTTTTAGCTCTACTAATAATACCAGGTGAATCATACATCTTTTAAAGTTCTTCTTTCGCGAGCCCTGGACTGACTGAAGAAAATTACTGGTTGCAGCGAAGATATCTTAGGATTATTAGTTATTTGCATTTCACTGATAAGATACGCGTGACAATTTTTCTAAAAAATGGGACAATGGCCGCGTCATATCCTCATTGAACAAATCCTAGACGAAAATATTTTATATAGGTACATTTTGTGCGTTAATCGTGGGACGAGTTTTATGTAAGAATTCATATACATATGCTCGTTTTTTCATTTCACGTAAAAATTAAACATGTCGGTATATACACTTATTCCTCTTTTATGAGATGAAAGCATGACGAAATTTATCACTTAGACGTTGGCTTCATTCCACTACACTAATTTCATTAACAACTACATGTATTGAAACATTCTTCCATACATATTAGACAAAGTCAATTGATTATAGGAACTCTGTCAAGTGTCTGCTTACCTCTGTTCGAATTTCATAAAATTACCGTGAAGAAATACGACATATCGAGTTTGTCAAAAAATTTCTTTAAGCTCTGAAATTATGAGCAAATTAAGTCACTAATTGTGATCTCTTATCTGATAACAAAACGTAGTATTTCAATTCTGTGAGAACAAAATTTATATAGAGATTCAAATTAAAGTGAATAATAATTATTATAAAAAATAAATATTCGTGCATTTCGCTCCACATAAAATGCAACAATCCTGTAAAATTACAATTCTTATTGAGCTGTGTTATACGCGATAACGATATTGTATGATACCCGAAAACCGTGATTATTGACTTTATTGGTTTATAATCGTTTTATAATCTTATATAATTAATAATATAAGATACAAATTGCGATCTTAAAAAAGTCGATTTGAAGATTCTTTGACGAATTCGAATAGGCAAAGGCTGGGAAGGTTTGTAATCTTGTTGTTTGTTGAATTACGCAAACTCTTTAGTGATAATCATGATTACGGATTTTACTGGCTCATAATTCCGGGACGAAAAATAAGATCTTAAGAAATTTGATTTGACGAGTTTTTAAAGTATTAAAATTATCTGTTAATGACCTAACTTTTGAGTTCTATTGAATCTGTGTGAAATTCGATCTGTTAGCTCAAGCTTCTCAACTTATTTTTGGCTAAATATTACCGTACTTTCTTGATAAGACATTTATTTTATTGGTTTTTCTTAGTTGAATAGATATCTCATCGAACAATGGAACAATACATATAAAATTATAATATGACAAACAACTATAATGTGAGACGAAAATTAGTAACACTAGCGATATTACGTTAAATTCATTTAAATTTACGAAAAGATTATTGTTGTAAATTAATTAATTGTGAAGCAACATTTTTGTATTAATTAAATATCTTCTATAAATAATTCATTAGAAAATCTTTTATTTTACATATTTATTTAACGTTATTTCTCAGTATTGGAAAAGAGATATTCAAATGGTTAACTTACTGTACAACAAAAGAGTAGATATAAAATACAGTTTCATCCATTATTAATATATTTTATTCGTCAATAAAAATATCAAATTTATACAATTATATCGAATCATACATGTAACTTAATACTATGCTTACTTTATCAACTAAATATCTATACTACTAAAAATAAATTTCATTACTTAGAAGAAATTAATGTACTTCAATGTCTACGGCTTTCATTCATTAAAAAAAATGTCTTAACGAAATATCATTATATATACTTGGAATAGTGCAAAGTTTAATACAAATGCAAATTATACGGTCGCTCAGTTTTTTACAATGAGACGTAATACATGTTGGAGTAATTATAATATCATGATATCATCACCAAGTACATACGTACCTTCAGTATTAATTGCGTATAAAACTTGAAATCTTTCATGTTAGTCTCGGATTTAAAAAAATCATTAACTGTACATACTTAACTTATGTTGAATGGTATCTATCCTGGTATTTGCAGCTGAATAAATATATTCAGCGTCATTAAGTGTAAATTATAAAAGTCTTTCTTTGACAAGTTATGATTTGAGTATTCATAATTAAGATAATAATTTTCCGGGGATTCTGCAATTTGTCATTCTTTTCGATTAATGTTGCGTAAATACGGTACGATAAGCTCAATATGATTAACGCATTGAAAAAATCTGAATTGGGTTTTCTTTGTACAATGACTAATGAAAAATAATGCCTTTTTCTAAAAAAGTGTATCTATCGTGTTTAATTACTTATTTTTCATCATAATTCTCAAGTCTTCTTTGTCAGAAGATCTTGAATTTCTTGTAATGATTTTCCTTTTGTTTCCGGCATGAAGCAAAGCACAAACGGTACTACAGTGATCACAAGTGCAGCATAAGTATAAAAAACGTAAGCTTCACCAATAAGATCAACCATTGGCTGATACGTTTTCGTAGCTATGAATGCAAAGAGAGCTCCCGCTATACTGGCCATACAAGCAGCTACACACTTGATGTTAGCTGGGAATAGTTCACTGAGGATCGCGCTGGGAACAGGCATGAGCCCAAATACAAACGATACCATGAATAAAAATACAGAAGCCGCTGGCAGCCATTTAAAGTTTCTAGGATCAAACCCTAGATCCATAAGCTCGAAGTGAGTTCCAAGCATCAACATGGATAGCGTTAATCCCAATCCTGAAACAATTAGAAGGAATTTTCGACCGCATCGATCCATCAAGTTGATGGTAAGAATTGACGTGACAGCTCCCGAGACGCTCACTAGTATCACTGACGTAGATGGGTTCATGAGTTCCGATTTGCTTTTGCGAATGATAATTTCCTGATAAAACAGAAGACTGTTCAATCCACTAATTTGCATGTACATAAATAGCATAGTCGCTATGAAAAATGCCATCCTGATCGGCGGATTTTTGAATTCATTCAGTTTGTCTTTCAAGCTATCCGGTGATGAGACAAATCTCTGAACCTCCTTGAACTCTTCGTCAACTTGTTCACCACTTCTGTACCAGCTGATTGCTTTCCTCGCTCCTTCTTCATCGCCAATCTTCATCAAATGATGCGGAGAATTCGGTAGCCACAAGAACAGAGCTATGTCCGCCACGCACGGTATGAGAAAAACAATGGCTGATATCGACATACTGAGATATGGACAAATCGCACTAGCTAATACATTGCCAAACGGTGAGCCGCAAAAAGCAATGGTGACGATTGCACCGCGAATCGTCGGCAAAGCTATCTCGCCGATGTACAAGGGAAAGCAACTGAATGCCATACCTAGACCCGTACCACCCATGATTCGAGCAACATACAACATCTCCGCACTCTTTGCTATTGCTATCAAGGCCCAGCTCAATGTCATGGGTATAAGGGTGTGGATCAAGGCGTTCTTACTGCCCCAAAAATTTACGCATAGCGCACCGATAATCGCTCCAATGAAACGCCCAACGTTCAGTAGTGATGCCACCCAAGAAGCTTCATCCATATCCAAGAGAAATGTTTCTCCTGCAGGAGTTGTTAGTTTCGCCAGGTAAGGTGACGTCCAGGCGCACATTATCCCCATTTGAGACAGTACCAAGATAACTGAAATCGCAAAAGTAAACTATGCGTGAATTTTTAAGTATGCTTTCTTCTTGGAACCTAATTGACGTCATAATTCCAATCGATATTGTTGCCTGATTAACTTTTATGTCACATGTTCTTTAGTATATTTCTTATGCACAGAATAACTTACCTAAAATAAATTTGCAAAATAGCTCTTTTTATATATTTAAAAATGAAAACAATTTTTTTTAATATAAGTAATTCTGATTGCTATTTCATTGCGTTTTTTAAAGGAAAATCGTACGATGATTCGTATTTATCAATGTGTCGACGTTTAGAAAGCTAATATTTGATTTAGTCTGACAAAAGATATTCTTTCAATTATATTATATCTTTTCCAATAGAACATAATTTATAATTCTTAACTATATTTTAGTGAAAAAATTTTGAAAAATTGTAACAAAGCATGATTATGATTATTGATAGAACTGCAACTAATTCAACTGAAAATTGAATAATTGATAAATCGACATTAATCATATATCATGAAATCTTTTTAAACGAATTAAATTTGAGCATTAAATAATAATACGAACCATCAAATGAAACATTCAAAAAAAGTTTAGTCATCATCTATAAATAATTGAAAATTTTCATTTAGAAGTGATCAGGAGACCAAACGATGTAACGGTAAATCAAACATCGTCACAAAAACAAGTCTAATCATACCTCATTCAACTTTGCATTTCATAAAGCCCAATTCAACATCTTTGAGATAAAAATGAAAAAAGTACGAAACTTACCTCCAGCTGCGGCAGTCCATTGTGGTACGAGTTTCATACTTAATAGCTGCTGGACCATGATGATACCGAGTTGCACGATTGATAGTGAAAGCACTCACTCGGTCGTTTAAAGACTGAAAAGTTTTTTACTTTGCACGAATCAGCTGCAAGCATTTACTTTTAGTTTAAATGATAAGATAACATCTATCGCTTTTTCATGCTTATTAATAGTGAAGTGAACATGTGTCTTGATTCGACACTTGTCTCTTTAGTCATCTGTTTTTCAACTTTATTTTCTCCATAATTTCTCAAAATATTCTCCTCCCGATGCAATGCCCATGATTGATTATAATAGAGACATTATAATTAGTTCTGTATAATAAACGCTGAAGAAATTTATTTTACCAGTAAATTAAAATAAATAAATGGCATTATAAAAACAAACGTAAAAGTCGACTATCTCAGTAAACAGACGCTCGAAGAATAATCATCAAATCGTCAGATTTTTATCACGTGAGAATTTAGTCGTCATTTTCAGTTACAAAAACACTAAAAGATTTCATTGCTCATAACAGATGCGATACGCTCTTCCAATAGCGCAAATTATTCTATAATTATTATGTTTTTCTTTGATTTCAATTATTTATATAATCAAATGAAAACACACCAATATAACAAAATATTTTTACAATAGATTAAATCGATATTAACGTAAATTGAGGATTATAGAAATAATTTATAATACATTGTTAATGATCGAATAATTACCCAGTTACATTGATTTAGATGTCTTAAATTGCAAATACTATGAGGGAAAAATATTTTTTCAACGATAATGAATGATTTCTTCCTAAATTTGGTAAAAATATAATGAAATGATGCAATGAATAAAACAAACTCATCACGCTTAACTCGAAACCGCAAAGCAATGTCACATTCAATGCTGTCTTCAATTAAGGTTGATCTCGGGCATGCAATTGACAATATCGTGATTTTTACGAACACGTGTTTAATTGAAATTAATTTTCGTTCAATCATAATATTTTGAATATATAGCTAATTGTTACCGAATGGAAATACAACCATATTCAAGATTATTAAATGCTCATTAAAAATTACTTTCATAAATTTTTGTTTGAGCAAGTTTTCGTTGAATGCAAAATCTTTATTCTTGTGCATTGATTAAAAAGAAGATAAATTATCTTTAGATATTTGATTGCTTTAAAGCTTTATTCTATCGACCATAAAGTAAACTGAAGAAAAATACCTTATCTAAACTTCATGGCTTATAGAAAAATCATATATGTTATCCGGTCAATAATGTAACAAACTGTCATAAAAACCATACGATGTTGAATCCTTACTAGCATATCCAGTGGGCACAGCCTGTCAATATCTTATTCGATTATCGCCATAGCTTAAGATCCTTTACGATGGCAATATTCAAAGACGCCAACACACTTTATTAATATTAACTGTACATGTTATGCATATTTAATACTATACTTATGTATTTTCTATTGCACCAGCGATAAATGAAAAAGTTTAAGTTACTTAATAAATGAAAAAAAGTAGCTAACTTTTGGAAATGACGTGCTCTTTTGCACATTTACTCAAATATTAAAAATAATATAATTTTACTAACATATTAGTTGTGATATAGTAGGCTGAGTTTACAAGTTTCTTAAAAATCCTAGAAAAAAAAATGTTTATTGACTAAGAACTGAAAAGCATTAACTACTAAACTGACTTTTACTTTTGATAGGATAAGTAATGAAGTATGTCATTGTTTTATCGTTAATGACATGCTGCAAAAAAAGGAGTAGCAGGAAAATAACTATAATAAAGCTAGAGAACGAATTATATCTCGCAAGCGAATATTCAGTATTTTTCTAGTTGTTTCTTAATTTCCAAAGAGATTACGATCGCAGAGCCATATTAATATAATATTAACGTATTAGTAAATGTTAATATTCTTCGCTTCTATGCTTGGAATATTTTGCTGACTTTTACATTTTTATGATAAATTCATAAATATTCATAAAATGAAACTTACCCGTCACAGCTGGAATCCATTGTCGAAGAATATGTAGAATACCATTTGAGCGATTATTTATTCTTGCAGGTACGTTTGTTAAAAGACTGTTAATTTCAGACTGTACAATGATTTTAATGTTTCTCTCTTCTTCAAACTCTCCGCACAAATACTGATCACAGTTGCCATCAATTATTGCCATTGTTACACAAAAATATCCACAAAATAATTGTACGATGAATAGAATTAATCACTTGTCACGCATATCGACATGATCAGTGGTTAACTGGTATTGACCTTTCCGCAATCGACAAGAAAATACTAACAGCTTTCTAGGCCGTACTTTTAAATATAACGAACTTCCTTAATCTGTTAGAGTGATATCAGCCAATCAATGTTAAATATCAAATGTTTTTATACTTCCGCAGCTATTGATGAGTCTATAGCACGTGATGATATCTGCAGGCACGTGGTGATGTCGGATGATTATCAAAAGTTTTTACAAAAAAAAACGCCTATGTCGAACAGTAATACTTTTACGGAAGGAAGTCTACAAAGTTATAATTACTTTTTTTGACTAATGCATTATGACGATCACTACAACATTTATTTATTAATTAACTCCAATACACACGTTTAATAACAAACACAATTTTTTGATAAGGCAGCCTACTGATGATTTCCAAAAGGTAAGAAAACTATCTTTTATTAACTACAATAAAGTTGACTGCTATCACTCACGTGAATGGACGCTAGCCAGTAAAAATCCCAACTGAAAAGTAGCCAAAGCATCGTCGCCAGCTATCATTTTCCACTGTATTGCAGTCCAGAAAAGCAAGTTAACGTGATGTAATACTGTGTTAATGTAATTTCAGTTCAACAAAAACTGAAGTTTCAAAAGTACGTGTGCCGTAGTATTTGTCGATGGACCAACTAACAGATTGTGACTCACTAGGCACTGCGTCTTATTTAGAGGCTGCTCAACTTTGACGCTGAGCAAGTTCAAAATTTATATGTTCGATAGATGACGTTTCAATGAACTATGTATTTGGACATATAGATCTTGAAAAATCGAATTTCCTTATCTCATAAAAAAATAACTTACCTTTCATTGAATATCAGAAATAAAGCGGCAACTTTTTAAGTTAAATTTTCTGCGATCAAAAACTGACAAAATATCGTGTACAATAAACAATTCTGTTTGTAAAAATTAGAATTCATTAATGTATTTTTCAAATATAAATTTGAATTAGATTAAGAAAAACTAGATAGTAAATTATTCTATATGACAAGACATTAAATGTAATTTATTAGTGCGCGTATTCGCATTCTACCGAACCCGGAAAATACTTATTTATAATTATTAAGTAACCAACACCTAACATAGATCAATATTTTCATCTAATTAATATGATTTATTAGATCGCTGCATAGTAATAATAGAACATTGAAATCAATTATGACTATCTATTTGTGTGATCGATTAGAAAACAGAATGGCGAAAACAAAAATAACAAAGTTGATTATATTTTTCAATTTCGTGCAAGACACAGATATGTATTATACTTAAAAACTATTTTTTTAAATAACTAATGTGGTGAGCGGAATATTGAAAAACTATAATATTTTTTAATTGATTACTACTATCGACTTTTTTAAATCATGTTGAAAAAATTGATGAAGGTCAATTTTACTCGTTTATATTTTTATTTTTTGGAAACCTTCATTTATATTTGAAAAATACATTAATGAATTCTACTTTGATCATCACTGTTTTCACAGTGAAGTTTCGTATGTGAATGATATATTATCACTGCCATAAGATAACGAATTATTGTTATCCTGGTTTTTAATCAACGACAAATGTATTTAAAACACGCATTAAAAGACCAGAATCGAGGGGTGAAATTATGACTATATATAACCATTCTCTACGAAAAAAGTATTGTGCATAGAGCCATAGTTTATACTACAAACGTTTTCAAAATGTTAAAACGTTAAATAAAAACCACATTTATAGCAAGTATTTTCTTTGCTTTTCGCGAATACATTAATTCATGTAAATATTGTGATAAGAGCCAATAAGCAACCGTCTGTTTTTACGTAAAACATGATTAACAATTAATGATTTTGTAGTTTGTGTTAATTTGGACATATAAATTTGCGTAGTAATATAGCAAGTCAAAAATCTTCGTTGTGTTTTTAGGTAAATGTAATTAAAAATTATTTCGTTGGAAAATCGAAGCACGCTGTACTCATGGATAATTTACGTGATGCAGATCACGTTTTTCTTTTTATTCCTAATGTCTTATATAATTCTGGATTTAAAGAATGGGGTAAATGAAGCTACAAACCGCTATAACATAATTTTACTACTTTGTTAACCTAAATCATAGAGGACCTATACGAAAAACGTACCAATCAAATATTGTGATAAGTGTGATAAGATTTACAACAAAATGTCATTGCAACTAATAAATTTTTAAGAAATTTAAGCGAGAAATATTGCGAGAAATTGCTTCAAAGCGAGAAGCATGCTGTAACGATCGAATGCACTTAGCATAAAAACTGGCATTGCTAATGGTTGAATCAATATAGTTTGAAAATTTTGCTCAAATTTTGCAAAAGTACAACTGATTTCAAGAGAAAGACACGATTGTAAACTTTGCACAAAATGTATATCTTGCATACGAGACAAATTCTATTGATTATTTTTAAAATAATATCACTATCAACGAGCGTAACAAGCAACACTGCATTATATAAAAATTTTAATAATGATGAAAATTCCAACCAACGAATGACAGACATATTGGTAAGCCACTGACAGAGCATGAAATTTAGAATAATTACCTTATAAAAATATTTAATATTTCAGATGAATCTAATTCAGACTTGTTTTTCTAATGATTTGAATATGGTTGTAATCGCTGGGAATAATAGCTGGCAAAATTGGACTCAATTTTCTAACCTGCCGGTATATCAACTTTCATTATCAAAAACAAATATTTTCCAACGACACGCTCGACTCCAAGGAGTTTATTCGCTCAATGCGAATTTGACTTCAATTACGCGTTATTCTACAAATCTTTACATCGTCAACGTTCCGTCTTTAAATTATGAAAATTTACTGAAACGACTGAGACAATCAATTTTGTGGAATGCAAGGGCCCATTTTATTTTTGTAAACGAAAATTCTAATGATAAATGTTTGAATTTGCGATATGTATTTTTACCATTGTGGACATCGTTTAATATATTGAATGTTTTCTACATTTGCAAAGATGAAATTGGTTCGTTGAGTGTATATACGTTCAGTCCCTTTACGTATTCATCTTCAAAGTTCTGGATGAATTACAAAGCGGAAAAAATTTACGGAAGAAAAAATTATACAATGAGATATTTCAAGTTTATAGATAATCTTCACGGTATGCACGAGAAATAAAAATATTATTTTTTTGAGTTTCATCTGTCCGTCGTATTTTTTCAGATATTGATTTGTCAATGTGCCGCAGACTGAATATTGAAAAAACTCAAGAACTCGATGGATATCCAATCAACATAAGCGCTCAGTTGATACCAGACGTGTTTTATTACAAAAATAAAAGCTTACAAGGATCGAAATCATTACCGTTAAAGGACTTCGATGGAGTCGAAGCGAGCTGGGCTCAAAACATATGGTCAAAGCTCAAAACTGAACCTACAGTAACAATCCACGATGTCGCTGGTTACGTGAACAGAGAGCACAAGGTCAACGGTATACTAGGTTTGATTATCAATCACACCTACGACATGTCTCTGAACGAACGTTTCATGCGAGCTTTTTGGAGACTCCAAACTTACCCTCACGACACGATGGGTATGTGCGCAGTGACACGTAAAAATCAAGCTAGCATCGAAGTTTCTGTTAGCCTGATCATAGCCAACCCCACAGTATTGATTTTTATTATTTTCACTTGTTGCGTCAATACAATTGTATTAAAGTATATTTTGAAAACTGAATTTACTTCGGCATCAATCAACATTTTACAAGCTCTCCTGGGTATGTCTATTACAAGGAAGCCCGATTTCCCAATCAAGAGATTCATCTTTCTTTGCATCATCGTATTTTACTTCATCATAAACATATATTTTAACAGTCTATTGACTTCAACTTTTTCAAAGTCCGTCGATAACCAGAATATTGATACTCTTCAAGATTTGATTGACTCGAATTACAGTTTATTAGGAGAAGATGAAGCCATTACGGAATTCCTACCAGACAATATAATTGGTCGTTTCCGTAACTCTACGGTTGACAACTGCTTGAATCTAACATCAACAAATAATGTCGCATGTCTTTGCGAATGCGGTTATATCAATAACTATGGTTTGCAAAATTTTACTATACATATCTCGCAGAATTTGTACAATACGCCCGTGGTTTTTATGGTACGCGAAGATTGGCCTCTATTGAATCGTGTTAACTTCATAATCCAAACTATGCGAGAATCAGGCCTGATTTCTTATGAATTTGATAAATCATCTCACGAAAATGAATATCGTATGAAAGTGAAAGAAATGGGAAGTGATGAAAAGGATAATGCATTGAAAAAATCGCTACTTCTGAAAGATTTGATGTACTGTTTCCGCATGTACGCGATTGGATTGTCAATAGCATTCGGGACTTTCCTCACCGAAACTATCGGAAACATATGCAGGAATGGATATTACAATAAAAAGTTAGACAGGCTTAAGATTTTCGAGGTTGCGTAACTTCTCACTGATATCGAAAAACGATCTTTACCCATGGCAATGTTAAAGTAATTTAGAGCAAGTCGACGCACATTAAGAAAATAAAAGTTCTATTGACAGATATCGAGGAAGCATTTTTCACAAACGAAGCTATTAGCAGAGTTTCAGACTTACATTAAGCGTGACTTTAGCGTACTTCCCTGTGAATTTAAGAAATAAAGAAAAAGAATAAAAGTTGCGTTGAAAGCATTGCACGTGTGGTGCACTTACCATAAAAACGAAAATTGTTCTAATAGAACCCAACTGTATGGTAAAGCAATTACACGTACAGAGCTCCATATAGTTGGCACCGGAAATCATTATGTACCCAGTGTCACTGTAAACCAGCGCTGTTTGCGAACGCAGACTTCAAATCTATCCTCTTGACATTTGACATGAATGCATGCACCTTGAACAAGTAAAATCTTAACAGATACAACAACTACGATGAAGAACATGGTAACAAACCCTAGCGTACAGATTACTTTTACAATGATCAGCTAACAACACTCTTTACCAACATTTATTGAATCCCTTGATTTCGGTGTTCTTAAAAACTGCGAGCGCAAGAGATGATACTTTTGTAAGATTTATATTGCTTTCAAATGAACGATTTCATTTTGGTCTCATACATATAAGTGATTGTTCAATGTATAACACTCGGTCATATTGTAAAAGCAGCTTTAGTCCGTGTAAATTTTAGTTCATTGATATTTTCTTGCGAAATGTACATTGTTAAGTACAGAGCATTAATTGTAGATAATTTATGCAAGTTCATTTTTTATCACTTCAAATGTAGAAAATTTGTAAAATATAAATATTCAGTTCTAGCATCGGTCCAGCTCTCAGTCTGTCTTGAATTTTTACTGTATCCGTTATATTTTGTACTTGTTCTGCTGATTGATTTGCTAATTTGCTGTTTATGTCAATTTGTGAATAATTTCTTTTGACAGTGTTTTACTCCCTTTCAACATGTCATTTTGGTACACACAAGATACTGCTAAACATAGAAGTTTGATTTAAGCCAAAAGGCCGTAAAGCGATATGAAACATCTTACAACGTTCACAATTCGTTTCATTTGTCAATAGCGCGGAAAATATATTGGACTTAGTCTCCTGTAATAATTATGTTAATATTAGTTCTCCGATAAATTTCATGAACCTCTTCTCATCAATGTTCCTTGTGACGTTACTTCATTTCGTTCACCTACAACACTTCAGTCACAAGTATCTTTTAACTTTCATTAAGCTAATTACAGTTCTAACTTATTACTTTAATCCATAGACTGGCATAACTTCTTTGACCTTCAAACGCCTATTTATACTCCTGTTAATCATTTCAACACTAAATTGTTTGAAGTTACTAGTTGTTATTCCCTATCAGTCCTTTTACCCCTTATTTTCCTCAATAAATGTCTAAAGTGCTCAAGTCTTCCATTATACTTGATAAAAAGGCACATCAATTGTTCAAATTTACAGTCAATCCATAGACTTTTGCTTAATTTAGATAACTTAGATCTTTTAGTAAACAGATGCTATTGTCTGACTATAAATTTTTATTCAACGCACTGAGGATTCTATTCACTCTGATCCTAAATTATTCTGAAAATTTGTAAATCGTAATAAGAGCCATGGAGGTTATCCAGATAATATGTTCTTGGATGAATTATCGGCTACTCTTAGTCTGGATATTTCTAATCTTTTCGGTAAACATTTCTCCTCTGTTTTTTCCTCTTATACTGTTTCTGGTAACCTTTTTGGACCGATGTTTGATTTACAATCTTTCTCATGTTTCCAATTTTCCTTAGACAATATCACTAATAGTCTTTTTCATTTAAACAATTATCTAGTACTAATCCTAACGGCATTCTCTTGCAATTTTTATCTTTAACTGTTAACATAATTTAACTTCACCATTATTCATACTTTTATATTTTTCAATCTATCTCTTCATCTTGGTTTCTTTCCCTCTATGTGGAAGCAAGCCTACAGCATCCCTGTTTTCAAAAAATGTGATGATAAACGTAATATTGCTAATTATCGTCCAATACACAAACTAAACATACTTTCTAAACTATTTGTTCAACTGGTTTCTGTCAAATTATGTTATATTATATTTTCTCCGCTTTATTAATCATTCACAATATGGTTTTATAACGAACCGTTCACATATCGCAAATCTTACTGAGTTTTTTTAATTTACAGTTATTTCATTTGTTATTTTATTCAATTACTATTCATTTATATATCATCAATGGGAGTTTCTCCTGTATAATAAATAAAAATAAAATAAAATGAAATAAAATGAAATAAAATAAAATAAAACACCGATTGCCACTTTTAACATTTATATTGGAAAAAAAAATTATAAATTCTTGTGGAATTATATTATAATTTTTTATTCATAAAACCATTGAGACATTTTCTTTTTTCTGGATATTCAGAATACCTGTATTAATACAGTGAATACAAAATAAATAAAATTACAATTTAATATATCTCTTTCGCATCCGAAACGTGAAATTGGTATTTCATTTTATCATGTAAGTATGTAAATAATTTTTCTTCTATTCTGTGTTAAAAAATGTACGACATACACAGCTAAGCTGCAAAATGGATATAAATGGTTTACAATACAATTATTAAAATTATTAAATTTATTTTTTTGGTCCTTTCAAATATTGCTACTTTAATTAATTGCAATTTAATAATGTTTTTCCGACGGATTCCCGAGATCTACCCAATAAATACCATTCTATAAAAATATTGAGGTTTGTTATATTTACAATCTAAATTCATTATCATTGATGCGATGCGTTATTATCAATTCGGAAAAATACTTTGAAGCAGAAGTTGGTATTAAAATTGGTTGATAATCAAACATACTTTTTACTTAGATATGTGTTTGAGTTCACGAATAAGTTACAAATGTCGAAATAATTCAAAATCTAGGGACTTGCAATGGTTCGGTTAGTAGGGCGACGGACTCGTACCCGGTAGGCCCGGGTTCGATTTCCAGTCCCTGCTGATTGATACAAGCACCACTGAAAACACTTTTATGTGCTTTACTCTCAAACACATTGCAAGCTTCCGTCGCTGATTAGCACTGATGGAGCATAAATAGAGCGACGTTAAACAAAATAATAAAAAAAAAATTCAAAATCTATATAAAAATATGGCGACAAAAAAAAATAAATTACACAATTACGTGCTTAATTAACCAAATGCACAAATTACTTATTGCATTAATATTAGAAAAGAATTACAAAGTATCAATGTTAAGGCTATAAATTAAATCATTTCTCTATCAACATATAACTTATTTTTCAACATATCTCGAATACTTAAAAAAAATTTTATAGCACTGATTATTATCTATTTACAGTGTCAACGAATAATAATTAAAAAAAACAACGAGTTAAAAAGCTAACTTAAACCATCCGTGCATTGCTTTCGTTCTTCTTCGACCCTCTGCCTGGTCCGGTTGAAAGCTTCTGTTTTAACGAAATCGACAGTTTTATAAACTGTTGAACTCGGAGATGATTGAACAGGTAGCAGAGTCGGAGCATTAGAAGTTTGGGATGATTCTAAATCAAGGTCAAGGTACTGTAAATCGACAAACTTACGAGACGATGCCGGAATGAAACTATTCTGATCCTGAAAATAGTAAATCTAAAAAAACGAAATAAGAATAAGAATAATAAAAAAATAATTTCAAAATTGACTGTAAATTGAACGAATGTTTACCTCTTCTTTATCTTCATGGATATTATCATCGTCAGAAAGTGACTGAAGTCTATTTGAATGAACACTCGGAGGCGTAGGACTTGGTACTACTCTCGCTCTATTTCGTCCAGGTGGTGAAGCCAATTGCAAAGGACCTAAATAAAAAATTTCTATTAATCGTTAGTTTTCAAAATATCAGATAACACTTCACTGAATATTTACTTTGAAGTGGTGGTTTAGTTAATGGTGGTTTGAGTCGTCGATTGATGCTGGGTGGTTCAGCTGGTGAGTGTTCCGATGGGCTTATCTCAGGGCCAACATTGACAGGACCAGGCGAATGCTCGTTACTGATCATTGATAGTGTATCACTAGTTTTTCTTCCAGGTTTGAGTTCTCGATAGACAACTGGAGGCGGTGGTCCCATTAATGTCGGAGATGTCAGTAACGTAGTTAATACTGAATGACTTGAATTATTAGTTGTTCCTACAATATCTGGCTTAGTCAAGGGGCTCGGTAAATTCGAATACGTTGCCGTTGCTGAAGATTCTGAACGGGGACTTGGTGGTTCATCATCATGAAAGTCGTAACGGAAGACACGTTCATCTTTTCCTAAAATAAATGTTATCAATTAAATATTTTTTAAGCAATTTAAAAGATATCGTTAGATATGTACCAGTAGCTTTCGTCGGTGCAGCATTAGTGTAACAATGCCTAGGACGCCTGCTAAGCGTACTGCTGTCGATCGATTCAGGCTGGTGAGATCTTGGAAAATCGTAAGTCTCATCAGTAATTATGGCCGTTGCTGGGGTAGTTGGTGCCGGTGTAGCCGGGGTAACTGGTTTTGAGCTTTCGGTCGCTCCGTCTAAATTGAGGTAATTGTGCCCGGGATTTTCGAGAGACATATGCGCTGGCTTCGGTGGTCTTGGTGGCGCTGGGACTTCCTCTGCGGCTGGTGGAGTTGCCGAGTCTACTATTCGCAACTTACCAAATCTCTTGCGCACACTCCAGGAACCTATGTCTGCATCATTGGCACTGTTTGATGGCTTTGATTCACCTACGACATAAATTTAGACATGAAAAAAATTTTCTGATTTATTATTTCTTTTTTCTTTATATCTTAAGTAAATAATTTTAACTTGAGAACAAACAATATATTTATAACTAAAAATATTTTTAAATATTTTACTTTGAAACTATACGCTAATGAAAAATATTTAACATACCTGTCGAGGGAAAAGTTTTCCAATTAACACTAGGCACTGGTACAGTCCACTCGTCGTCGGTAAATACACTTTCGGCATCCGTTGTAGTAGGCGATCTAGGTGGAGATGGAGCCAACCTCCTCGGTGCATCGTAAATCTCAGGACCTTGACACATAACTGAACTGAGAGAACTCGTGTCGTTTAAGCTTCGTCCAGATATACACTCGCTTATAGGAATATAAGGACCGGAAATTGTACTTGCTGGGGAGATTGGTGGAGATTCTTGCGACTCAAATGGATATACTAAAAAAATAATTTTTTAAATCATTTTAAGAAGTAAGTCAACATGCACATACTAGAAATATTATAGTTTATATATTGTAGAAAATGTAATAAATGTAGGATAGATACATATAAATACATAATTATAGAAATACAAAAATAATATTTTTTAATTATTTCTAATTTAACGACATCTACATTCTACTTAAAATATCATTTTGGATTATACAATAAATTTACTTTGCAGTTGTTGCTCATCATCCTGAACTTTTAAGCCACAAACTTGACAAACGGCATCAACCCATTTATTCATATCAGCTTCATTTTCAGCCACAAGATAATAGGTCCTTTTTGGTGTCTTAACGTTGAACATGTACTGATATTTTTGCTTACGATTCTCAAATCTCAGACCAGCATCCACCTACAGATAAGGACATTTAATTAAAATTTTATTTCAGTTGATTCAATTATACATAATATTCATAAAAACTATTTTACCTGTTCACATTGATCAAGATCGATTTTCCCTTTTAGTTTTCTACATTTTTTATCTGTATAATATTCTAGAAAATACTGCCCAGGCAATTCTCCACTGTGTCGCAGGGTGAACCATCTTTCTCTCCATCTCTAAAAGTTAAATAAAATAATATAAATGGCTTTTTTACTGAACAAGTAAAACATACAAATAATTCTTATAAAAAATTACTCATTATAGCACGCTTGTACATTTCCTCAATGAACCACTTTATCAATGAATGATACAATTGAGTGACTAACACATAAGTGATTTCTTTGTTTATGTGTATATACAGAACAAAGCAATGCATAACTTTTTTTAATGATTCAAATACTGCTTGATAATTATAATTTCATATTTGAATTTTTTTATTTCCTAATTAATTATTAACAACTTATTAAGATATAAATTTCTAAACTCATTAAGCAATAGATTCATATAATATTAACTCTACATAATGCTATTGTTCACAGAAATTATAATTTATTTGAAAAAATATGTTTTCCTATTTCTACATAAATATAATTTCAATGATAGGGATTTAACCGACAAACTTTTACATAAAACTGGAATTCTAGACCACGCATTCATGTAAACAAAATTCCAAGTCATCTAGCAAATTAGTAATCACCATATTTCTTCCAATCGTCCTTGCTTTAATCCTCTAAGATAAAAATACCAATACCTAACCTATAAATTTCACCTGTTATCAACAGGTAATATCAAACTTAAAAATGCAGACTTGTTTTTTTTGTGCCCAAATTTTATGAGGCTAACATTTTTTTTCATCAAACGCAGCTATAACGATAATAAAAAACTTATCAACCATACGATAAAACTCGTAACTGAAGTATGATAATGAAAAATCAACAGTGTAAACATAAAAACCAGCTGCTTTGTGTGGTAAACAATATTTTTTACGATTCTCCATTAAAATCATAAAATCATCTCTGCTCACAATGGGCGATAATATCGTGGTATTGTTCGAAGAACATTGAAAAAAGAGCTCTCGAAAGCATAAACAAAAACAGAAAACGCTCCGTGAGAATGCAACACGTTGTCTGCAAGAAAGTGCTCGAAAGATTGAAATTCCTAACTGGAAATCATCCAATCAACCCATTTATTATTAGAAAAAACTATAATGCAAGCCGCATTCCTTACGAAATTCTACAGTTAGATAACTCAAATCTAAAAACTTCTGAAATTTATTCTAAAATCATTACACAATTAAATTTCTTGTAGCTATAATCACTGCTAAATAATGCTTTAATAAAAAAAATATAATAATAACCAAAGCCAATTATTGATATACTTCACAAATTCCTAAGTAATTCTAATCATTTAAGATATATAAACAAAAATTAAGTGAAAAACATCCGCACGTACCGCTCTCCACAACTTCGTGGGTGGCGACTTGATAAGCCATCCTTCGTGCACAATCTCCTGGTTGGTCTTGAGCACCTCCATAACGAGGTTCAGGTCGGCAATTCATCGAGGAAACTCGCGTTTTTCCACTCCCGATTTTGTTCTTCAACCAAGCCGCACAATTAACTGACTACAGGTTAGACGCCTGCTCCCACGTACGCACTTTCGTGCACTGGCCTGTTGCTTTACGTCCGCCAGCGCCTTTGCGCCGCCACTACAGCGACCGCCTCTCACTTTAGTTTTCGTCTCTTCCTCTCCCGTCATCAAGCCCAACCATGATGTAGCCGAGATGGATCTTTAAATGCCAGGCAGCGTTAGATGTTTTTGTTTGCTGCTCAGATTTTTTCGTGAGAGACTCGACTCGCTACAGCTACGCTTATACAGTCGCTTTATGCCCAATTACGACTAACGCTCTAATTCGAATTTGTCTCCCCGGCAATGATTGTCCGAGGCTCAATTTACTCATTCTCGCTCATTTTCGTTAATCGCGCTTGTATCCTTTCACTTTTTTCTCTCCTGCCCTCTTCTTTCTTTCTGCGGACGGCTGGATGCCTGTTAGTATTACATTTGAAATGTGCACATTATGTATATAGAAAAATTTTATAGGAACGGCAATTTCAATTTCGTAATAATTATTTTATTTAAGTAGCGATAACTTATTACAACAATTTTTCGGTATAGAAATATACGTAAAAGATTATTTTTCTATTGATTTAAGTATTAACAATTCTTTTGCATATTATAGGTGTTCACGTAGTTTTTTATCTTCACAAAGATAGATGAACACAATGCGTTAAATTTACTAAAATTATTGTTGATAGATAAGGCGGTACTTTTATAAATAGTTTGGATAGAAAAGGAAATTTGAATATTATTTTATGACTTACTTCAATGAATTTCATTTTCGGACAAAATGTATACAATTTTGACGTCAAGTATAAATTTTGTCGCTTTTTAATTCTGAATAAGTATTACTGAGTTCATACATTATGTATTGAGCTAAAATATTATTAAGATTAGAATGAAAAAGGAACTCACACATACATACAGCTCTTAAAATCACTGATAAAGGAAATATTTAATGTTGAAATAAATATTTACAAATGAAGTGATAAGTACCAGAGCCTAAAATATATTAATAACTTCAAAAAAAATTAATTTAACATATTTTCACAATATCTATATTAAAACATATCATTTAAGCTAAATCATGTTCACAAAAAACACAGACTTAAAAACTATATCCTGCGGTCGTAAACTTGTTGCGATAGAAGCTCGAAAAATCACTGGACATACAAATAGTTTAACAAATATATAGTAGGATTGAAAAATACAATTTAATGATTACTACGATCTCATTTCGCACGATTTTTCTTTAGCTGGAACTGAAATAGTCGTCGCTTGTAAACTTTTGCCGCTTTGCAGACTGGAATGACTCGAAGATCGACTGTGACTTTGACTTCCGGCGCCTACAGGAGTTTGTACCAACGGCTGCGGTGGAGTTCGTGCACCAGAACCGTTGCTTGTTGAATTTGGTTGTAATTGCATGTGGTACTTGTAAATGTTTTCAGTGCTTTCAACGACTCCTGAAACATATACGAATTATTTTTTTAATTTTTACTGTTAGTGATATTATTATTAATGACGTTAAATAAAAAGACTGTATGAAGGGGACGTCAATAAAACCTGAGCTCAAGAAAAATGTCAACGCTCTTTAACTCGCACAAAAACATCCGCATTACGTTTTGATTTTAATGCTCGGTAATGATTTAAATTGATAAAAGTTATTGAACGAAATATACTTGACGAAAAAACTGCTTCCAGGCGTCGTCTAATACTATTTACAAATGTATGGAACTTGTCCTTTCCACCTCAATAACGTCTATTCCTGATAACAAACAAAATTTTAAACAATAAAAAAAACATAATAACAAAAAAAATATTTAGATTTCACTGGTTTGTCAGAAAAATTTTTAGTTATTTAAAACATTTATACTGTGACTCTTTTGTTAATGAACATATTAGCTATTAATTATAACGTCAACTGTTAAATGGCGATTAACTTATACTGATTACACATTTACGTTAACAACATTTACATTAATAACAGAAAAAAATTAAAAAAAAAGACATTAAAAAAAAAATAAAATTAGTGCAGAAATGCAAAGCAGTGATTTCATGATGATTTCAAAATCTAATAATGCTAACCAGCTTGCAAGTTCAAACTTCGTCCTCGAACTCCACTCTCCTTCGCCGGTGGACTCCACCAATTGACAAAAGTGCCCACAACGGGTACATGCCTAAGTATCCCTTCTTGCCACAATTTCTCGGCGTTTTCACGCTCCAAATCCGTTTGCGCCGCTTCTATTCCACGCTTTACTACTTCCGACATTGTGTCCAAGAACTTGGAACTTGCTTCAACTTCTTGGCCTACTTGAAGAACTAGTGACAATAGCTCGGCTACATCTGAAACATATAACAATAAAGCATTTTTATTAACAAAAAAACATCTGACCTTGTTACATACGTCAAATTAATATAACTTATAACTAGTATCGTCAAGTGCCCTTCGCGCGCTCATCATTCATTTGTATTACTATTTAGTTTCGCGTGCTTGAATCAAATCGCAAATGCGAAATTAAAAATTCTAGAATACACCAGATACATCAAATAATTTTATGCTTTGGTATTCTAACATCCATCAATATTAATTTTTAAATAAAAATTCAATTAAAATTATATGTGTAGATTTAGTTGTAATTTCAAATCTAATAACGTAACAGAATTCGAGATATTTAGCTAAAGGTAATGGGAAGCGCACTAAGTTCGTTTCTTCTTTTCATTTTTTGAATAAATCAGTTGCGCCTTACAATTATATTTTCTTTATATTTACACATATGTTTGTTTAAGATGCAAAACTTTTTATATGATATCCCTATATCAATAAATATATTTTGTTGACAAAAATACTGGAAGTTAATTTCGACTCATTTGGAGCAGTACATTTCACAAACTATACTTCAAGTTTTTTATTTTCAGCAATTAGCAATAGTCATTTTCCATCTATTCATCCGTCACATTTTGAAATTTATATTTACATTTATAAATTTAATTTCAGAAAATTTTTCCAAGAAATTATACTGCACCATATTAGCCGAAGTTACTTCACAGTATTTCATATAAAACATCGATTTATGATTCTCTTTATTGTTGATTATATTTATTCGAAAAACTTGATAACATAAATATTCAATAAATTTATATATCCTGAAAATAAATCTAGTTTAAATGCATGAAGATTATTTTACCATTAATGGATGGTAACTCAAGCTATTTATATGCACCGATTTGCTACTTTTTCGACCAATTCATGTACATACTCATACATGCCGTTACAAATAGTAACCCACGTAATCATACTTCAACTAATCAGATCACGAATAAACTCGCATCATTTCCAGATCCATTTCTATTTTATAATAAAAAATTTTGATCACGTTACAATTATTTCTCTGATAAAAACAAACACGCCTACGTGCAGGCATTCTGTTATTCATGATTAGTACTTTTATGCTAATGTTTTTTTTCAATAATTGATCCGACATACTTCTCAATTACGAACAATCGATAAATAATACATTATTGCCACATTTCTTAAGTTAGAATTACCTGTATCGCGAGTGACCATTCCAAATCGTACGCAAGCAAGTCCATCCGCACCTTCGCCAAGTGAAAAAGCAGCATCAGTGCTTCGTAGCGTGTCGACCAATTGCGTATTTAAATGATTTAGTTCTTCCTTTGCTTGATCCGTCATAACGTGTACCCACGTCGGAGGAGCATATCTGACACCACCCAAACCTGCCCAACCTGGCATCTCAACTAGATGCAGCGAGTCATTCTCTTTAACTAGTCTCACGAAGGTCTCTTTGTGCTCAACTGTTGCAAGCAATATTTCCTAAAATTGATGAACATGCAAATATGTCATTCTCTATCAATATTCCAATCAAAAAACATCGTTTACTTACGATTTGCTGCTCGAGGCAAGCAACAACATTATCTAGATCTTCGGTATTAGGTGGACACTCAGGGCTCTCAAGAGGACAAATCCTAATAGCCACTCCATATTGCTCAATCTCGCATAATTCAATATCGACATTCTCAATGTCACGCTGAAGTATTTGACCCAACCAGGAATTGAGCTTATCAAAGTAAGGCGGTACACGTTGTATCTCTTGATTTTCTGCTTCAGGCGGTACAAATTGAAATACTAATGCACTTGCTACCACTTCCAATAGTTGAGGACCATTTATTGGATTGTTTAACAGCTCGAGTATCGTATACGAGCCCGTCTCGCCTCCTGGTTCTTGACTCTGCGAAACAAGATAAATTGTTTGAAAATATAAATTTTTTGGCTCCTAGTTTAACGAATTTCCCAAACTTTAGAAATAATAATATTATAGAAATTACGTCATACCAAAATACAAGTATGCAACAAGCATTTGAAAAACAAGAAAAACTAATTCTTAATATTTAAAATTACCGGTTAGTATGAAAAAAATATCAAATCGCGTAGACTCACTCACCAGTATTCTGATACAATTGAATTTTTTAATTTTATGGTGCAGGTCCTCGATGACTAAGAAACATTGCTTGAACCGGTTGACAATGCCATCGCGACCCATGGCTTGCAACACAGTCCACAGCGGCAAGGTAGGTAATCTTCTCGAAAACGAGTCCGTCATCAAACCGGATATTAAGGAAAGCGTAGTGTCCCTGGACGTAGGACGTGCACCTCGTGTATCTGTTAATCTGTAAAGGGTCTATTAATAGCATCAAAGAATCGAGTCAAGGAATATAAATAGCAACAGGCTGCGTAAATTTATCAAGTGATAAAGTCTGGCTAGTAGGTGCTTTGCATTCCATACAACTTTTATTTTCGAGCATTTGCTACTATACATCGTGTTTCCTTATTCTATTTTTTGTCTGCTCTTATTTTTGTTGCCTCTTTCGTATTCGACGTGTGTTCTTTCTTTCTCATTTGCAGACACGTGCAACGATCGTTGGAATTCCTCGATTTGATTTTTGAATTATTTTATGTTCTAATAAAGGATACAACTACTGGCAGTGACGGTATGCCCAGCCAAATTCCAAGTGGTAAAGTAATACTGTCGGCAATTTTCGAGGACTGAAAAATATAATAGCAATTCGACGATGATTCAACGTATATATTTTCTTTCAATCGATTTTATACATTTACTTACGAGATCTTTCGGCGAACTGTTAAGAGTTAAAGCTGCCAAAGAATCGCCCCGTAAATGCAGCCATACGTTATATTTATCACATATTTCGCGTAACCTAGTAATATTATCGCAATGTCCGGTGAGTACGGATCCAGCTTCTCCTAGCACCAATAAAGGAGTTACGGAATTCGTTTGCGAATCCTCGTTTAACCGTCTCTCTAAAGCCGATATATCCATACATTGTCGAGAACCAAACACTGTATTATTTGGAATAGGTTTTACACAATGCAGAGGCAAAGAAAGCTGAAATAAAAAAAATTATTAAGATTTTGTATTGTAAGCCTAAACTTTCAATTTTTTAAAACATCTGTTGTCATCAGTAATTCAAGATAAAGGACTATCAGAACATACTTGTTTACACAGATGTTGTACTATGCCAAGTGGTGCAGCCACTGAACTGTAAATTAACGGAGGTGAGCTGGCTAGTGCTGTAAAACCTTCATCTATATATCTTGGATACTTTTTGTGTAGAGCTAGTCGAGTAACTCTCACAAGTCCTTCAAGAGGATCTTCATGAAACGATGAGGCACAATCAACAAATCTAAAAATATGACTAAGCCACCTTGTGGTATCGGCTGCCAAACGACCAGCTAACCTTTGTGCATGAGGTCTGGATAAAGACATTGCATAAGCTGATATTGAATGAGATATCAGAGCTAATTTTGCTGCATCAGTAAGTAAAGGAAGATTTGTTAGTTGATTGGGTTCAGCTTTGCCATCTTCAACCACTGGACCATCTTCATACACAATCAAATCCTGAAATAATATTTGCTTTACTTTAGCAATATTTAATTATATAAAATGCATTTCAAAGATAATTATTCAATCTAATCTTCTACCCAGCTAATTAAAAACTCATGCAATCTTATTTAACACTTCCTGGGTTAAACATAATAAGTACAAAAAGTATGCAAATCAAGTTGATTTTCACAATAACTTTATTTATAAAAGCTAGACTAATGAAATTTCTCTTTCAATATAATATCAACTTATCAATAATCATGCTACATATTATAATAATAAATGATTCAACTTTTCTTTCAATTACCTGCAACAAGGTAAAAATATCTTCAGCATCCTTTGGATGGGATAAAAAACCTGAAGGTGTATTCCATGTACTACCTTCTGTATCGGTTCCTTTTCTCATAGATTCTTCTAGCCTTGAAAGTGCTTGAGATGCTTGTAATTTTAATGTCATGACTTCATTCTCTGATGGACCCTGATTAAAAAAAATATTATTGAATATGTCTCAAAGACCCTCCTTAAATTAACTAACATTAATTAATTAAAATAATAATGAAACTTCTTTAAATTTTAAATAGGAAATTAGAACTAATATTAATTACTATACTAATTAATTTGATCTATAGTTGATATTAGATCTAGATACATTAAATAAATATATCAGCTTATTAAAATTAGTAAACACACACTGTAATATGTTGATAACATAATCAGAAGTTTTTATCTAAAATAAGCCTTTATCAGAATCATAAATTAAGGTATTTGAAAAATTAGTGCATAATTAAACTTTAATCAACTACTAAATTACAAAAAAATCTAAGACATCATAGCATATTCCTTTACCAAAGTAGTTGGCGGTGCATCAACTTCGGCGCCCATAACGACCTGTCAAACAGTATCATTCGTTTGTTAGTGTGTACCCTATCTCGCCTATGCGTCGTATATTGTCGGCTACTGTTAGTGTTACATTTTTAACGATGCAATGGCGTTTTACCTGCGTGGTTTGGTCAACGCAAAGAAAGTGACAAAAAAATGAACAATTTTTTACATACCTCTGGAATGTTGTTCTGGATTATTTTCTCCATTGCAGCTTTATCTTCGCTGCTAGACTCTGCGGTCACCGTAGCACATTCGCTTATATCCGCGTTGCGCACCAAACGGGAATGAGGAGCAATATGAAAAGTTCAACAGCAATAGCCACGACATCGGACAGGTTCTCAGAGTTCTCTCTTATGGACGCTGACAGTGCCGTACCAATCACTTACGTAACCCGGATTTTATATATTAAGCTGGGTACTGACAGCATGAATCTCATATCACGGTATAATGTAAAATAAACGGTATTTTTATTATTAATTGATAACTTATCAAATAAAAGAAAACTTGTTGAAAATCATAAGACTTTTTTTAGGAATTATATGTTTTTATTTTAATAACAAATCAAGATAAAAAATCAACGCTCTTCATTATCTTGCCGTATGCAGAATAGGGCTAGGACAGTATGCAACATTAAAGTTTATCTACTTATAGTAAAAACTTAGCAGCTATATACACAATTTAATCAATAATAACTTCTCCTCCAACTTTGGCTAATATTTCTTTCAATTGTTCTGATTCTTCTTTACTGATATCTGCCTTGACAACTTGAGGTAAACTTTCAACAAATTTCTTTGCTTGTACCAAATTTGTTCCAGGAATCAAATTTTTTATTTCTTTTATTAATGGAACCTTCTGTTTCTCATCAAATTTTGTTAGTTTAACTGTGAATGAGCTTTTGACAACTTTGGGTGCAACTTCTTCTTCCTTTAAATCAATTAAAAGTCATAGATTAAGCAATTGTATTATAGAAATGCAATATAAGATTATGTTATTATTATAGCAACAAACCTTTTCCTTTGCATGGTAGCAAAATTATAAATTTATAAGATTTATAAATATAGTCATAAAATTTTAATTATAACCAATAAATTAAAAAATAATTATGAGTAAAATTAAATAATAACTTTACCTCTACTTTTGGAGCCATCATAAACTGGCTCCCAACAGGCATTGCAGGAGCATCGGGAAGATTTAGCCTTTTCTTCAGAAGATCACTGAGTTCAGCAACTTCCAGTAAATTAAGAGCAGTAATTTCTTGTGCTAATTTATCAATTTTTGGGTTCATAGGTTTTTCAGTTCCTTCTGGCACAGGAATAGTCAATTTTTCAGCTACAGCAACAGCTAGTGCTTCCTGATTACGCGGAATACTAATAAACACAGTATTTTTGTATTAAATGTCAAATACTTACATTACAAATATTATGTAAATTTTTAATAGTTTATATAAAATTACTATTTCTATTGGTTTGAATTCATTCTTATTGATCTGTATATTATTGCTTACAAAGTTTTTAATAGATATTGATGATATGCACGGCAGGTGTATTCCGTCAATACCAAACTAAATTAGTAAAATGAATTTATTAAAATGTCCTCACTGAACAATATTAAGCATAAGTTATAGTTTTTTTACACATAAAAACTTATTATACCACAAGTAAAAAGTAAGGTTAAATAACCTTCTCAGTAACAGATTTCAATAATTTATGTACTTTAAATTACCATTTATGAAATTGTCGCAGCTGGTGCGCATTTTTCTGCAACATTATTCGAATTGAATTCATTGTGTCTTTATTTTATATTATTTAAATATCAAAACTTATAATCGAGATAATCCGATCGTGCGAGCTCAAATATAGCACGAAAATGCGAGGACGGTCAAGGAACGTGACAGTCAAGTCAAAACTACTATAACATTCAAATAATTCTCGGTCATTATTTCATTTTTTAAATAAAGTTCGTTTAAAAAAATGAATAACGTGTACTTAAATAAACTGAAATGGTTAAATTAAATTTAGTGACTTGAAAAATAAGAAATTTTACGAATAAGATGAATGCTACTTTTGTTAGAAACATTATTTGATTATCTAAATTAAATAACATTTTATTCTTTCTTATAAATAAAAATAAATAAACGGATTAGGAGTTGAATAAATTATGAGACTGATATAAATTTTCAAGATTTTTTTCGCAATATCGAAGATACAGAGCTACTGAACTGTCGAGTACATTGCACTTACGTCAATTGTACATTTTTCATTAAGATGGAACTGTCAAACGTATACAGTAAAAATAATGAAAACAGTTAGATGGGCATGAACTTTGCTCATCTTGATTTTCTTAATTACAAATACGTATTTACTCTTTTTCTCTCTCATTTCTTTTATTTTTTAATCTTACTTGTTTACTTGTTCAACTTTCCGATAAATTTGAATATTAATGATATATTACACTACGTTTTGGCAGGAATGTTATTAACTATAAAATATCGTCCGTCGAGGGTGCTTTTTGCTTCTTTTTCAAATAAGCTAATCTCACACATGTATCAAATACAAAATAACAAATGCAAAATGCTCTTTCGTATTATTCATAGTCATCGCCGTAGATTGTAGATCCGATTGTTTTCCACACTTGTAAATAAAGAATAAACGTAGTAAATACAAATGCTAAGGTGGTGTTCAATTTCTGACACCAAAATAATATGCCAATTTAATATATTTCATCATACTTTCTGCTTCTCTTTATAATTCGTATAATAATCTTTATTACATGTAATAATATTCGTCTATTGAACATACGTATACGCGTCACGCGATACATATATATTGCTCTATTTTTCATATTAACTGGCTGGTAAAATTGTACTGACGGATCGATTGAAACGCAAAAAGCTACGAACAATAAGCAAAGCTCGAAAGTTTTGCTTGTTTCATCGAGCTTCGCGGGGACGAATGGAATTCAAGCAGATCTAGATTATAAAAACGTAGAGCGGTTTCACGGCATAAGCTTATCTCGTGACATTAGAAGCAACTTTCTGCAAATTATTTATATTTGGTTTTGAAAATCTAGATGCAATAACTTTCCATAAATAAGCGTGTAGCTATACCGGTAAAAATTCAGCACAAAAGGTATTCAATTCAGAATAAAAACATCGAGACATTACAAATGCTTACTTTTCTTTCTTTTCAATTTTTATCAACATTCACCCATTTAATACTATATATTTTAAATAACTGATAGCTACGAAGTAAAAACAATCGTTTGATGGAAGGGACAGAATTTTTGCTTCGAGCTCCTTAAATACTACTTTTAGGTATAATAATATTGATGCTGATAATAGTGTTTACAATTATTATAACTAATAATATAATATTAATATTAATAATAGTTAATTAAATATAAAATTAATCACCACTGAAATTCTTTGTTAACACATAGTAATGTTTTTAATATATACAATATAATATACTATTACTGCAATCCATTTATTTTGAGTTGTAATGGACTACGATTCGCTTTTCTCGATTGCACAAAGGATTTTTTCAAAGAAAAGAAGATATTTATACACCATATATACAATCAGAAATAAAATAATTACACGTTATTTTAATCGTTTCTTTCGAGCCCGTTCGACAATTATCTTAAAGAAAAAAAAAGAATAAGACGAAAAAAAAATAAAAGTGGGTGAAGTACAATATATGAACAAATTATTGATCGCCCGATCTTATTATTTAGAACATAAAGAAAAATCTAAAGATAAAATTTCTCCGTAAAATCGTATACATCCTATTTTACAAAGTTAATCAAAGATAATGATAATAATATTTATCTATATAATATTAAAAAGAGATACACTGCAACAATATCTCCCATTATCAATTTCTTAAATTGATACCTACATTTCGAATATCGATAATTCATTTTTTCGTTACGCATTATCAATTACATCTTATTTTAAAACACTATCAATTAAGAAATGAACTAATGACTTTGTGAAGAATTCTTGACGCTATACAAAATTACTTAAGCGTGGATCATCGCATTTGATTGCCTATTCACGCTGAAGGAAGAACTAAAATATACAGCAGTTTAATATATCTCTCAATTACAGTAATAATAAGGACAATAATATATACAATAAAATTTGTCCGCCGAGAATATTAATGTGAACCAAATTCTTTTCAAAGCTTCATCTTTATTCCTCTTTGATATCACTTTTTTTACTTTTACATATTTTCCACTTTGTTCCACTTCATTCTGGTGATATCAAAATCGGAAAAGCTACTAAATTCTAAGATACAATAAAGCTTATCCGATTACAAAATTATTTCTGTGATTTTCAATGGTTGCAAAGCTAATTCAATAAATATATAGGAAAGAATTTTCACCACTATCTATATAATGATCACCATTAATGAGCAAATGTTCTAACCAGATTATAAACTCACGTAAATCTGATTATTCATAAACATCATGACGGAAGCCGAGAGGAAGACGGATTCAATTTGTTTCAAAAATATTACTGATAAACTGATGAATGAACAATCGAGCGAAATGTCGAAAGAGCAAGGATGATCAGCGAATCCGGCAATTGGTATCAAGAAATTTGCTCCCATGTGAAAAATGCTGAAAAATGTGAATAATACGATCTTTTTGGATAAAAATGGAGGTGACGTGGATTACACATATTTTTATCTAAACCTTCATTGATAATATTACCATCTAAAAAGAATATCTTACTATTTGAATATATCGGATGCAAAAATTGGTTCACATACTACAAAGTGTAAATTTGAGTTTCGTTGTTTGAGCTACTCTTTGTTAACGTTTTTTTTTATTATTTTTATAAATCAGTGTGAGATTACGTTTCGCTCAAAAGTATAACAATGCCACTGATATTTTTGTTATCCATTGCAGTGATCATTTTGTTCCTTTATTTTATTTTCTCTTGTAAAAGTATTAAACACTCGTCGTATTTAATTATAGAAATTGTATGAAAAAAACAAACACCGCATAGTATTCCACGTGAATATTCATGCACTCAATGCACTTTATTTATAATTTATATCTGATTTATATATATCAAAAGTTGAAATATTTCAAATTATTATTTTAGCTAAGTTTGTTGTTGTAAAATTCATCGTTTTAAAATGCATGCCTTGTTAGGCCATTAAAATTTTTACAAAAGATTTTTTATTGCACCTCTATTAATTTGATTCTACATTTTTTAATTAATGTTTATTAGTGAGTATTTTCAAGATACCTATACCGATAAGTGGTTCGGTCGTCAGAATCAACAAATAAAAATATTTTTAACAAAAATCAGGATGTCATTTAACGTAGCTTAATAGAATCAATTATTCAATTAAATCTTATTTAATTAGTTTATATAGATGACTTTAAATTTTACAATAAATTTCGTAAATTATTCAACCAATATATATTTGACAACGAACAGCAAAAAATACAAGCAAAATGTGTGCATTTTTTGATATTTTAATTTACCATGGATTCAAAAAAACTACGTCTTTTTCATCCAATATTGAGTTAAATTATTTTTTCTCAATTAAAAATAAAGTCTGAATACATATTAAGTATTCTAAATAGAAAACAAACGTATTATTTTTATAAATTCCTGTACCACCTATAAACAACGTCCATAAACATTTATCAATGATTATAGTTATCAAATTCTGTAGAATCAAATTATTTATGATAGTGCTGAATTCGGTTACATCATACTGCACGTATCTTATCTATTAATGTAGTATCTTCATTATGTGTACAACTAGGAGTAACAAGAGTTTTTGTTTGAATCAGACAGACGTGTTAGTTTTTCGAGCTATAGCGTGCATTGAGAGCAAGGTATACTGTGTATGTAATTGAACTCTTCTTTCAACATTTTGCTGCCAAAACAATTCCTTCGTTGAAATCTGAAAATCGCAGTAAACTTTCCTATAAAACAAAAACAGAAGGCGAAATTCATACATGAATTACAAGTTTGTCCTTGACTTTCAGACCCCACCGACTTTCTCTACCAAGCGCATTTCCTATGTAATTTTGACACCGAAGATCCATCCGACGGTAATCCTATACGTAAGAAACTTTTACGGAAAAAAGAGAGACTGCAAAGCGAATCCGAACAGTTAGGCGAATGAATAATCAGTGTCAAAACTAAATCTATGCGTACTTTAAACGTCAAGCATCTCCTTGCCCTCGAATCGGCTTTCTCATTGGGTGTGTAATCGACCGCTCGGCGGTTTCACTTGGCTGGCGTTACTTTTGGGCACGACCCCGATTATCTTAACCTTCTGCTGGAGCTGTATCTTGCCGTTGTCGCAAAACTGCGGCGGCGGCGCAAATACAAGCTCGTCACCGCCTGCGGCGATCACCGGCGTTCCATCCGCGTTGAACTCGGGTGGTGGTGGCACAAATAGCTCGTTACTCTGTTCCTCGGCGTCAGCTTCGAGTGGCGGTGGTAGTTGGGCCAAACTCACGGCGTGCCTCGTCAGCAGACAGCTTGCCCTCTTTTGTTGAACCACTATCGTGCTGCTCTCTTTCTCGTGAACTGTAACACGATCGGGCATTGATTATCTTTCCCTCTCGCCAAGAGCTGTTATGCCAGATAATTGAAGAACATTCGTCAAATGAGAGACTCGCCTTGGTGGTGTATGTGCTGATGTTGATGTTGGTGTTGATGTTGGTGTTGGTGCTGATGCTGATGCGCGTGTTGGTGATGGTGATTGGCCTCATTGTTGCGAACTTGTGTATCGTCGAAGCCTGTCGGAGGACCCACAGGTACATCCTGATCGGAACTGACTCCACTGGAACTGTTGTCACCGTCTTCGACCAGTGATTGTTGCGTCTAAGGGAAATACAGAATATTAATATCGAACATAAGCGTTCGTCGATGCGGTTGGAAATAATAGGGCACCTTCAACTGCTTCCTGACATTTTGAATCTCTTCGACGCTGAACGAGTGAGGTAACGAGCCTGAACCTGATGAACTACTACTACTGCCGCTACCAGCCGATGCATTCGAGTTACCCGACGTCTCGCGCGTTGACTCAAGCTTTTCACGCGCTGCAGCTTTCTCCAGCTCCTTGGCTATTTCCGACTCGTCGCATTCGTCTGTCAGCTCCTCGTCATTCTCCGACTCGCTCAGACTATAGTCGGGCTCTGGGATTGGCGGCGCCGAGCCAGGCTTGTAGCCTGAAAATTTTCACGATTATTTCTTGTCGGAATTATGTCTCAACGAAGATTAGTAATTGGATCGACAGCGTACCAGCAGCCCCCGACAGATTACAAGCCGACGAGCTGGCGCTGATACTAGATTTCTTTTTCCTCTCCCTGATGATTCCAGTGATACTGTGGCTTCTGCCACTCTTGAGCGGCTGCGCATACTGACTGCCACCATTGCTGGTAGCTCCGTTCGCGTTCGATGCAGCACCGTTTGCCAATTGTCCAGTTGGCCCGGACTTGAAACTCACAGAGCCACTCGGCGCCTGGCCGTTCGACGTACGCAAACTGTGGGACTTGCGCAGCTGTGAGCGCGTTGCCTGATTTGGTAAACTGAGCGAACGGTAACCAACAGACCTCATGTCCTCCGGTGACGCATACAATTTGGCGTTGTTCGACGGTCGGAAACTTGACATTACGCCGTAGTTGCTCTCGGCTGTCGCTGCGGCCAGTTCTGCGAATTCGTTATAATCGTCATTCACAATTAAGTCATTGCAAGATCAATTGCGGTAGCAGTATCCATGTGGTTTACGAGCGGCCGTAAACCAGAAATGTTTCGATAAATCGCTACAGTAACAAAAATTATGTCATTTCTTTTACGAAGGCATTCGTACTCACCTTTGACTTGTTGGATGTGCGCGATATTATCATAGACCGAAGCCGGAGTAACGACGTCCGGCACAGGTGCGTTCACGTTGACCTTGACGACTTGGCCAACGGGTGGCGGAGGTGGCGGATGATTTGGCGGTGGCAAACCGTTTCTACCTAATGCAGCGTTCACGTCTTCTTGACTACGGTGACCTTTAGACGCCAGGTTACCTGCGGCTGCAGCCGCCGCTTGCAAATCTGGAGTACTGTGGAAATCGCGGTGCAAGTCCGATCCGCCGCCTAGACCACCGAAGAAACGTACTCGGCCGGACTGAAATGATTTAATAGGAGTTTAATAGGTTAGGCGTCTTTGTAAATGCTAAGTTTGACTGATATGAATTATAGGATTTTGAAAAACCGAAATCGGACTTGTAGTTACTGGACTTTGGTATCCGATAATTCATATGATACTTTTTATTCGTTGCAGTGTCGCGTTGTCGCGTGCTAGCGTGATTTTCGGCATGTTTTCCAATTAGGACAAGGATTTTTGAAAATTTTTATGTACACAGTAATTTGAAGTAGAGTTAGAAAAATTTTGTTAACAATACTTAAGAACCTTAAACCGTAATATTAGTTAAAAAGGTTAGATGAAATCTCAAAAGTGGAAAAATAGATTAATGCAGGGTTGATTGTGAAACTTTTACTATGTACAAACGTTAACGTAGAATAGTGATAGAGTATACCTACATTCCCTAACTAGTGACAAACAAGAGTTGTGCTGTAAAGTAACAGTTCTATCACATTCCACTTTAAGTGTAATCTAACTAAATTCAGAAAACTTTTTGTATTTGTGCGTTTATCATGACAAAACATTCAATTTTCATTGAAATTGTTGTAAATCTTGTTTAATCAAGAAATTTTCGATTTATTCATTGCTTAACGTTATTATTCTTAATAAGAAAAATGCCAATTTCTAATCTATCACAGAGAAATAATACAATTTTAAATCAACCATCTATAAGCGAGCTAATAGCGAACTTTAAGTTCATGCCTCAATAGCTACACATAGTGTTAGACAACTACACAGTTGGATGCAACACACGAGCAACTCATGCGCATCAAAATCTCAAATACCTTCGAGTCTCAATGTCAAGTGTTTTCAATGAACATGAGGACGTTTGAGCTTTACCGAACAATATTTGAACAATTTTGAACCATTTCTAAGCAAATAATTGTAATGTAGCGACAATAAACAATTACTGTGCAATTAATAGGCTTCTAATAGAAACTATTCAATAGCTCTGTATGTACTGACTGCAGTGCAAATTGTTCTAATAATTAAAAGTTACTTATAGAGAAATGTATAAATGGATAACTTATGATGATTTGAGATTTTAACCAGCATGAAAAATCGCATCGGTTTTATGTACAAGCACATTGTCGTGACGGCAGTGGCTCAATAATACAAGTAGTCTTCCTCGGTGCGTAATCCGCTCAGCTGTCCACGATTATCATGGGACTTGCTCAAACTCGGCTAAAACAGAAAAGCATGCAAAAAAAAAACACCCAGCATTAACCGAACACACACCAAAAGTTCTCATGCTACGAGTTCGCAGGCTTTCATATGGCCGCGAATGGTTTTTACCTGTCCAAGGGTGGTTCGAGGGTCGCAGGGTAAGGATGAAATAATGGGAAAAGAAAAGAGCTGTATAGAATTTTTTTCAGGGCGATGGAAAACGAAAGCTTCGACAGATGCGGCCGGATAGTTCTCGTTCTTAATTCTGATAATCGGCTCTGCGTTGCGCAATGCTTGCGCAATGCCATTCTTGATATGAATTCCGATTAATTAGCAATCGTCGATCTATAAATGCAAAATCGACAGCCACGGGATTGGATCGACATCGATCTAGATACGACGTCGTCCAAGAGTCCGTTGAAGATAAATAACCGCGAGACCCGAAAGAAGCTTTGATTTTCCAGCCGAACGTGTGATTTCTCTCGTCTCGCGTTTATCCATTCTTACTTTGCCCTTTCGCTTCATCTCAGCGACACTAGCGTACACCCGACCGGACTTGGTCGGCGTGGTCGGATGTGACTTGGGATTTATGGTGGCAAAATGCGCGCTGCCACAAGCCGCCATTGTCATCGTCGAGCCATAGTGTGCGGGTGTCGAGTGCATGCTCATATTCATAGCCGCCGCTTTGTCGATACCCTGCTGACGCTGAAATAATTCCTGAAAAGACAACGCTGCCTCAAGCCGTTCTTCTGTGTCTCTCTTTGCGCGAGCACCGCACTCAGAGACGTATCTTGCGTAAAGTTTCGTGTAACTTTTTATTACGGATTTTGCATAAGAAATATTGCATAGGCCGCGACACGATTAAGTCTTCTCGATTATTCGATACAGGATAAAGCCATTCAAAGTTGAATCGAATGCTACTTTTTCCCTGAGTTCGCGTTCTCTGAGTGCGTTTATCATGCACTTCATGCATCGAGGAATGCTGGTATACGAGAGAAAAAGTAACGTATAAAATACAGAAAAGAAAATAAAAATAAAGGACTTTATAAATAGTCTCGTGTACACGACGATACATATTTATCACGTTCTATATGCTCACGCTATATATAACAGACGTGCATTCTACAAATCGATCATACGCTCGAGTACGTGTCGTGGCTGACACGATTCTCAACCTCGAATGTGGATTGAGTTCGCCCTTATAAAACGTGCGTATTCGTTGGCCGGGCCTCGGCGGGACCTACCTCGAGTTCCGCAGCTGTGATTCGACTGGACGTCGGCCTTGAGCGTATGCTCGCCACTCGTGGCTGCGACGCATTGTTCTGATTGGCATTGTTCTGCTGATTGTTCTGCTGATTCAGATGAAGGGACTCGGAGCTATTGGATTTCGCGCAGCCCTGCGTCATCTCGTCTCTCTCGTTCGTTTCGGCTCCGCCTTAGTCGCGAAATTCACGATATTTGGTTCTTAAGGCCGGCAAAGTACGCGCGACGAGTGAGAAAGGAGGCGTGCATGCAAGTTACCTAGGCCAGCAACCATGGATCGAGCGCGGGCTCGACCGACGCTCAGCGTAGTCTTTGGATCGCGACGTGGTGGCATGGGTGCGGGCGAGCGGCCGAGTGTGCCGCCCATGGCCACGCTGTTGTTCATTTTCCGCGGTAGAGTGGCGTATTGCCTCTGCAACGGTTGACTAGTCGGCAACGCCGCCGCCGATTGCGAGTTCGGCAGGCTCAGCACTGGTGACACCACTGTCATGCGCACCAATTCGCCGCTTTTCCTTATCAGGTCCACCACGTGCTCGTGCAACGCCGTCGTCACGTCTTCGCCGTTTATCTGTTTCGATGATTCCACTTTGGTAAATTCGCAAGCTCGTTACGCTCGACTTACGAGTTCGGCAATGTTGACTATTGTAATTTCGAGAAATCACCGCGCCTCGCGCAACACTTCATAAGTGAAACAATGTTTCGTGTGAGTGAAAGCACAGTTTCACCGCGCGCCGCATAATCGCAACGAAAATGGTAAATTATACAACGCGCGTTAAAAGTGTTGCCTTTACAACGAAAAGCAGTCTCCAATCGGCATACGTACCGCTATGAGAAAATCACCCTTACGAAGACCAGCCAGATCGGCAACTCCGCCTTCGTCGACATCGTCGAGATACTGTAGAGCCGGATACCTGGCTGACAGCGTGATCTCAGTGAGGTTGGTCGTTGATTTGGCACCACGCAACACGAAGCCGAAACCTTTACGCGAACGGTGCAGTACCACCGTGCGCGGCTCCGATGTTATCCTAGAATCGAACGGTTGGAAACTGCGCTCGGTCAGTCTGCTCGAATACGCGCGCGACGGGAGTATACTTCTTCTCTTTTTTCGAGAGTGATTGTTTTGTGTGGCGAAAGAAAAAAATGAAAAAGAAAAGAGCCTATCTAACAAACATTCACAGTTAATACATTTAATTGATGGAGTTTAATGATCGAATCTGCTATGAAATCGACCATGTTTCAATCAAGCAATATAATATATAAATGTTCTAAGTATACTCCCATCTTTTTGAGTGTACGTATGGCGAAAACGGCCTGTTTACAACATAAGGCAAAGCTTGAAGTTGACATACCAAAGTATACCTGAGGCATATACGAGGACAACTTTCTTACGCATAAAAGCTAATATAGATAAAGTAACATCTATGAATATCCAAACTCGTATGCAGCGGACGTTTCCCTAAATGACTTTCAAAAATTATTCAATAAGAACGAATGACTAGACGGGAAGAGCTTAGGAGAAAAAAATTAAAAAAAATAAATTCTACGATAGTGTTAACCCTTTCACATCGACTCTTTTGACGAGACACATGACCAACGTGACCATGAGAGGGTTAAACCTCATCCTTCAAACGTCTACAGCAATATGCTCGTGACCAGACTTGTCGATACTGACGGGATCTGAAATTATTTGACGAGCTACGTAGCAAGCAAGTTTGCCAAGCACAGCTCGACTGGGAAATTTGAGAGGCGTCAGCATCGCCATCTACAATGATCAGTCAGCGAGCCCAAAAGAATAGAAAAAATTATGAAAAAAAAATGCAAGAAGGTACAATAGGCCAGCCTGAACGTAAGCGAGCATATGCTTGTGTGTCTCATCGATGTGTGCTTTTCTTTCAAAATTCTCACGGTTTCTTTAATCTAGGAGCAGTGGCAAAGTACTTGTGCTGCGACTCCCGGCGTCCGAGTACACGATTCCTCGTGGCGGCTGCCTCGCGTGCTACGGCCGCCGCTTGAGGTCCCATGGAGATGTTGTTGCCGGCATGGCGCATCCTCACTTCCTGCACACAGTGCGCTGGGAACAAGCCGGTGCCTTGCCCGCGAAGCATACCTTCCAGCAGGCCGCAATCCGTCGCTCCCGTTACTGAAGTGCACACAATCAATTGTTCCTTACTCCTCGATCGCTCCCGCCAAATCCTCGCGCGTCCCCGCGCGTCGAGGAATCGCCCGTCGCGCGGCTAATAATAGCGCATTGTGAGATTCGCGCCGTTCTCGCCGCTCGCCGTGAGAACAATTACAATTACGACGCGAGCCGGCGCTGCTCCGTAACGCGGTGCCTCGCTTTCAAGAGCAAACGCTTTTCGCGTAGGCAGCATTCCGACTGATTGCCGGTGCATCGAACGCGATCGCTTTGACGACGCTGCCGGAACAACGGAGAACTCGGCCGCGTGTCGGCGGGCGCTAGTTCCCGATCGTTTGATCGATCGATCGATTCGTTCAATCAGTCGTTCGCCGACGCGCGACAGTTCATTGCGCTACCTTGACACGAGTGAAATTTCAATTAGCAGACGTGGTTGTTGCTCGTCGTGCCTCGGAATGCCAATTAATTATTTGAGAGCTTCGTAATCGATCGACAATCTCCGAAACTTGTCGATTAGGCGAGCTGAAAATTCCACGCGGAGAATATTTGGAACGAGCGCGATAAGCCAGCCGATAAGCGAGATCGTCGTTCTTCGCGTGCTCGCGCGCGCCTCTCGCAACCGAATGACGCACGCGGCGACACGCGGCGCCGCCGCCGCCGCTTCTGCATAAATATGCGTCTGCTGCCTGCGAGATACCGACCTTCGAGTATGTCACCCTGAGCGATAGCAAGATGTCCGGGAATGCCGCTGTTGTAAGGCTCAACGCAGACGACGGTAGTGCCAGGTATCGTGAGGGAATTGTTGGTCGTGTCCGACTGCGACGTGCCAACGCCACTACTATCACTGATCACATCCGAGGCTGTGTCTCCCAAACTCTTGTCTGCAACAACCAACGGAACAGCGAGGAATGCCCGCGACACCCAAGTCGCACTCGCGTTAGTAATGCTTGCTTCTGCTCGGTCATCGCACAATTACATTATCGCGCGGCTTTCGGCTTTCACTAGACACGCCGCCGAACGAAGCGACTCGCGCGGAAGCCACAGCCATACTGGCGCACGAAGGCGAGAAGCATACGGTATTTTTTTGTGCGTGCGCTCATGCCGCTGCTTGAGCTCTAGGTGCGCGCGCGCCGGGGAATCTGATTAGCGGCACAGCACCACACCGATATCGCCAAGATTACGGGGCTTACATATCCAGTTCTATATTTACCACGCGTTCACGCTCGTTTGCACACTAACGCCGAGCAATCGATGAACGTTCAATTCGCAGCTTGTATATTATTTCTTTCTTTATTTTTCTTTAGCGTTGCTGCTAAAGGCCTCGTCAAATTAACGCGAGACAATTGATTCTTTTATTCGCATGCACAATGTTTTTTTTAAGTTTTCAATATGTGGAATGTCTTTCAAGAATGATGATGCAAAATTATATGAAATTCTAAAACTGATGAGTATGACTCGTGAGTGGATGATTGATAGATAGTATAATATGGTGAAGAAAAACTTCTATCGAAGCATTCTAATTCTAAATAAATGTACCATTACATCTATGATAATAATCATCAATTTATATAAATAACATTACACTTATAAGCTATGTATTATATTGATAATAGATGATCTAGTGCAAAAAAATGGAAAAAAAGTCTAGAAAGTATAATATAGTCATGATAATCATTTGCATAAAAAAGCTTGACAAACAAGTTCATCCCACGAAGAGCCTGCCAACAAAAAGACATTCTCCTCTTTTGCACGATTACAATCGAGTACCTGCTGAGTTATCACGTAGTCCTTTTCCCAGAGTCGTCGAAAAATGTGGGATCAAAGAAAAAGATTGAATCGAACGAGTGTCTGAAACTAGCCAGACTTGTGCCAAATAAAAATTTAATGTGCTGATTAGGTGATGATCGTTATATTATAGTATTCTATATCAGGCAATAACAGTTTATGTCATGCGTTTGATTTGTAGCTACTAAGATTCGATAGCGTAGTATCATTTCAATTTTACTTATATAACGTGTATAACGTGAATCAGAAATGTTCCTGTCTGACCAATTCCCACACTTGCCTACTGAAAGAAACCAAGAGCGAAAAATCGCTGATGGACTCTCGTATAAAGAAAACTCTTCAAAAGGGAAAACAATTCGTCGAAAAACTTAAAGTGAATAAAAAAAATACAGCTCATTATAACGCATTTATACCTGTAACAATGCTGGCCGAGTCTTCACCGGACGGTTGATTGCTGCCCTCGGAAAGGCTGCTACTAGCTGAACTGAATGGTGCGAGACTTCGACTGCTCGGGGACGGTGAAGGTGGCATATCCATAGGTCGATTGTTGTTGGGTCCATGATGGGCGTCAAGTCGGTGCTGCAGCTCGAGCCTGTGCTCCTGCAGCCTCGTCAAGCCCTCGACCCGATAGTGCTCGCCGCTCGATAATCTTTAAATGTTTGGTTTTTCGTCGCGACGACCACGCGAACCCGATTAATTGTTTGATACAGAGGTTGAGCGCTTAAGTGTCTTTGCTTGCGCGATTCGCGTCCGACATTCATTGCGGAGGGATTCGCGGGACGGGAAAGGGATTTTTTTCAAAGGGCAGTTGAATAATTAATGAGATGACGCTGAGCGTTGCACGAAGTGGGACGAACGCACACTGGTTTTTCTTTCTTTGAACGTGGAATTCGGCCTTCGGTTTCGCATTCGCCTGCGAGTAAAAGTAACTCGATGACCGATTCGTATTCATTAGCGAACTTTAGTTTTTCAAGTGCAACCATTTGAGGGAAACTTGGGCGATGTACATTTCCAGAAGAAAAAGAAACAAGTAAACCAGTGTGCGAAGTTGTTCAATGCGAAACATGAGAAAAATAAAAGTTTAAAAGTTGAAAAAAGAAAAAGGATAAAGGGGGGATAAAAAAAGTGAATATTGCGGCAAACGAAACAAAAGTAAAGAGAAGAAGATTATAGGAAGACTGGAAGAAGAGAGTGCTGCCGCTGCTGGCAGCGTTCGCAAAGTGGCGAAAGATAGTGCTATTGCGAACCAATCTGTAACGCTTATCGACAGACTTTAACGTCGCCAAGTTTGGCCTAAATTGCTTCTGCGATATTTGACAAGCTGGAAGCTTCGAAAGTCTCAGTTTAAGAAAGCACGAGAGAAGCAATGAAAATCGATCGTTCGTGTATCTTCCGCCGCAGTAGCAAAGACAATGTAAGCGCTTACCTCGCGGCAAGTTGCGCGGGACTCTGGTACTCGGAGGCAAGCCTCTGCTGGGCGGCATTCTGCTGCTGGGACGGAATTCTCTGGATGGTATTGGTGTTGTTGTTGTTGTTGTTGTTGTTGTTGTTGTTGTTGTTGTTGTTGTGGTTGCTGTTGCTATTGGACGTGGGAGCAGCATTGGCCTGCGTCGCGTTACTACTACTGGCGTCTTGTTGCTCATTGGACGGGACTCTGTTGAGGCATGCGTGGTGGGACTCTGTCCTGGGCATACTACCAAGGTATGCATCCGCCGACGAGACGGCTCGACTCGGATCGAAGTGTTCGCCTCTGGTCAATGTGTTGTTGGCCGAACCCGACGACGACGAGGACGAGCCCGTCGACGATATCATCGACGTTGACATTCCGACTGGCGACGACGGTGTCAGTGGCTGATGATAATCCGCTGCCGGTAACCTTGTTAACGTGCCGAGATTGCCTGCCGAACAACTGGTTGAGAGCCCGACGAATGCCACCGAACGCCTCTTCGGGTTGTAACGTGGTGGGCCCTTGAATGGCACTGTAGGGGCGGTCGCTCAACGTCAGATAATTTTTATACGATGCCAAGCGAATTTTTAAATATCGTTCGCTCAAAGTGCGTTTCATTTTCAAAAGTGTCCCAAAGTTAGTTCGTTACTTTTGCGTGCTCGTTGACTAAGCCGTGTTAGTAGATATATTATACAAAGCTTGCACTTTTTTCTTTAAAGAGGCGCATCGCTCTTGTATAAGGGTATATTAATACTTCAAGACAGAAATGCACACTCGTACATACGCCACCACGTTCTCGCGCAGACGTGGATAACAACCTTTTCGTTCAGCGATCGTAATTAATTTAAAATGATAAAAATCTTGGTTTGCTACCCATGACTGTGCTGATATATAAATAAATGAAATAATAATCCAAAGCATCAAAAGCACGGACAATCAATCATTCGCTCGTTTCAGGTCGTTGGTTATATATTATTATTCACATTGTCCTTTTTTGTAGGTGGTATACGTTGTTCATTTGTTAGGCTGTACGTTAGTTACGTTGTTTCTCATTTTTCTGACCGTATTCATCTGTTACATTCTGTTATTGTTCGTGGTGTACGTAGCACGGTGCAGATAGATGCAAGTCCAGCGTAGACCAAAGTTAAAAGTCGATTTTTTTATCTTCAAAGTCGTAGGTAACGTTTGTGCGTTTATTTTGTTCGTGATTGCTCATTTTCTTACTTCATTTTTATTGGCTAGCTCGATATGCAAATTATTACGATACGATATTCAATATACATATTAGATACGGTCTTTGTGCATACAATTGGTTTCGATTCAAATGTCCAATATGTACATCCAAACATTATACTTTTTGTATTACTAAACTATTTTTCTGATTCCATAAAAATAGAGCTTGGGATAACAACCATTCGTTCGTGACAAGAAGACCTTTTGTCAAACGATATTTTTACGTGAAAAGTTGAGATCCCTAGAAGATTATTTTTTTTTATAAAATCACGTAACAATTGAATTGAACTTTACTCCCAATGAAGCCATTTACACAACTTGAAGCGATATTGGACTTTGGACATAAATGCAATCTGTACTTATTATATATGACTATATAAAGTTTTTATCTACAGTCTAAGTTACATAAGTTTACAACGCCCAGATAGAGAGAATCAAGATTAAGTATTCACACTATACAATTTGGTCAGTATAGTCAAGGTAATAGAGGTATAGGAAGAGATTGTCCGTCAAAAGAAGTTTATGTACAATTTGAAGAATCTAGCTCGTAGAAAGAAAAAGGTGTAAGAAGTAAACGTCGATAGATTCTTAAAATTGATCGATATCCAGGTACACATTCCATTTCTCTCTGGTACTCACATATCCCTTACGGAGCGCATCATCATCCTGCAGAGCATGGTGTGCACTCTCTCGATACGTAATTGTCGTCATAGTATCATTACTCAACGCGCAGAGCAAGAGTAGAGCACGTATATTAAGAGCTCTTTCGGTACGCAACAAAACAAAAGGCTCGTATATATGCTTTTGCTGCTGCGTGCAATGGGGCACACTTCGTCAAAGTCACAAAGTGCTTGATGCCCTTTGGCTAACTGTGCACCGCGATCTCTCTCTCTCTCTCTCTCTCTCTCTCTCTCTCTCTCTCTCTCTCTCTCTCTCTCTCTCTCTCTCTCGACAAATCCCTAACGAGCATCTAATCTGGTATGCCATGCGTGCTCGCGCGTATGCATACTATAGCACATGCCGCATGCCGCATGCAAGTACGTGAGCGAGTGTATATATGTAGATATATCCCGCCTACGCGAGCGATTGATCGCCGACTTCTTCCGCGACTCGGCGCGCAAAACCACCGTTTTTGCATATAGCGCGCACCGCGCGCAGATATCTCGGATTTTACTTCCTGGAATGCAGTGCGATTTGCCTCCAGCGGCTATAACGAAGTCCAAACGCTGATTTATTTCTCTCTTCAAACTTTACAATAGCAAGAGGATAAGAGTGTCTTCCCTTAAAAAACGCTGCAAGTTAACCTTATCGCCGACGCCAGAGCAATCAAGGTACAAACATTAGCACATATCATGGCAATTAACCGATAAAATCAAATCGACACAAGAAGAGGTAGATCGAGAGTGTGTCACGTTGAAAGCACATAACAGCGGCGTCAGATAGAATCAGTCGGCGATCAGGTCGGCGTAATCTCAAACGACGCAGCGCACACATTCAACGATAACACAGAGATGAATGAGGAGGAAAAAAGCCAACGACTACTACAGCTACTAAGTATACTGGTCGATTGATATCATAGTAGTAGTGATGATGATGATGATGATGATGATGATGACGATGATGGTGATGACGACGACGACGACGACGATGGAATGCCAGTGATAAGAGTATAAGGGAAAGAGATTGCAGCAACACTCACCGACTTCATCGGGCTGGTAATTCTTAATGACGTCGGCGAGCTCCATATTGCCGGCAATCACGGCCACCTGGTAGGGCGTCTGATTCGCGTAATTCAGCGCGTCCTTCTGGGCGCCCCGGAACAACAGTTGCCTGATGCACGACGAGTCGGTGTTGTTAACCGCGCACACATGCAGCGGCGTGTTGCCCGAGGCGTTGCGCGCGTTCATGTCCGCCCCGTAGAACAGAAGATGATCCAAGTGCTGGACCAAATTGTTTCGGCAGGCCTGCAAGCGTTCGCAAGTCGGAGAGGCGCCGAGTCGGAGATAACAACGAGGCCGACCTACCTGGTGCACCTCCTGCCAACCCTGTAGATCCTGGGCACCGATGGACGCGTGGTCGTGCAGCAGCGTCTCGCACAGAATCGGATCCGTCTTGTAGATGACGCTGTAGTAGAGCGGCGTCAGTCCCTTGGTGTCCTTGTAATTGGGACTGGCGCCGAGCTCGAGCAGCGTCTTCACCGCTTCGAGGTTGTTACGCTCGACCGCTCGATGCATCGCCGTCAGGCCTTCCTTCGTCCTGTAGTCCAGCAACGCGCCACCGTTCACCAGTGCTATTATCACCTTTGCCGGCTTCTTTAGCGTCGTTGCCAGCGTCAGCGGAGTCTCTGCGGAAGCGAGAATTTTCGATTTCTAGGCGCAACGACCTTGCTGCTGACGCGGAGCGTGCGCGCGTGCCTGCGCGTGCAAGGACGAGTTCTCCTTCGCGAGCCTTTGCGACCGCAGAAATAGCGCGGCACGCGACGTAACGGTTACGCGGACAACAGCAACAACGAACGTGCATACGCGTACACGTCCATTCGGAGGGGGACAAGCTTTCCGAGAGTTTTCTGTGCGTCAGTGTCGTTCTTTCGACTTACCGCCACTGTCCTGACAGTGAAAATTCGGATCGAGACCCTTGTTGCACACCTTGGCTATCTTCTCGACTTGGCTGTTGGTTACGTAGTCGAGGAGTCGTCGGAGATTGGTCCTCGTGTGCATTGCTTTCAGCTGCTTCTCGTCGAGGTGCAGCATCTTGTAAACGCGCCTCTTGTACTTGAGCTGGAAGAAAAGAAAAAGCAAACGAACGTTCAGCCAACACATACGTCCAGCCGTAAAAATGTCTCGCGCGTAAATACCGTCCTCGCCATAAAACGCCGACCTCCTCGTATACGCATGTAGGTGTATGTGCGCGACGCGACTCTTTGAATAAGGGATGAGAGGGACATTAGCCGTGCTGCTATATTGATTTAGCGTATCGGCGAAAGATCAATTGCCAGGGGAATTTCCGTTGGCATTTCGACTAACAGTATAATGCGCGCGGGCATTCTGCAAATACTGCTGCAGCTAGGAAAGCGCATAATGCGAGTAGTAGTGTAAATCATCTCTTTTCATAGCCCTGGCTGCAAAGCCATCTTACGTCATTCGCGAAAGAAAGAAAGCGAGGCTTTCCCCGCGCAACAATGCAAATAAAGAGAAGCAGCTGTAGGCTCCTCGGACGGCATTTCTTTCTCCCTCTTGCAGTATCGAACGCGCGCGCTCCAGTTGTTGCTCGCCGCGACAATAACGGTAGGCACGATACCATCGGCGAGCGTGCGTAAGCGCGCCTATGCTACTTTGGACTTTAATGGCCGCCGCGAGAGAGATTCGTTGATTGACGAACGCTCGCGCGCGCCGCGACCAGTCGTCGGGACTGCGATCGTCGATTTTTAATGGACGCGGCCGTCGGTCTCCCTTCGTCTCCGAAAATGCGAGCCCGTCAGTTTTACGAGCCCGCTTATATTCAAATACCGAATCCCGTTCTGCGCTCTTTTGCACCGCGTGCCGAGTCACGCGCGCGTATTTAGCACGCGGACGCCACTTGGCAATGTATCTCTCAAGAGAGAGACTCTCCCTAATAGCTTGGACGTCGATGGAAATTTCATACGAAATGCTCCCATAACTGAGATAGATAGAGAGAGAGAGAGAGAGAGAGAGAGAGAGAGAGAGAGAGGCACGTTTATACCGTTAGACAAACACGCCCGGTAGCCCGATGGACCATGAGAGACACTGTAGCAAGGCTTTCAGCGACCAACTAGGGTACAATGCACTTTTCTCTTTGTATACCTACGAAGCATGCCGTACATACATATTCTCGCCGTCGCTTTCGAATATAATTTTTTAGTTCATCTTGTTGCTGCAACGAACGTAGTTTCAGTATTTTACACTGATATTTGCTTCAAGTCCATTGGGATTTCAACTGCACGTACTTGCTCATCGCATATCCATCATTTTACTTTCGGCGGGCTGAATATACGCAGAGCTAGGCAAATTTTTGGACGTTATATTCAAATACCTGCATTATTAGCCCGGAATAATCCGAGTTTCGTACCAGAAATACACACATCGCGGGAAAACGTCAGAAAACCAGATAGACAGATGGGTATATCGATGGCAATGAAGCGCCTTGGCAGAGAGGAGAGAGAGAGAGAGAGAGAGAGAGAGAGAGAGAGAGAGGAGAGAGAGAGAGAGAGAGAGAGAGAGAGAGAGAGGAGAGAGAGAGAGAGAGAGAGAGAGAGAGAGAGAGAGTGAGAGGAGAGAGAGAGAGAGAGAGAGAGAGAGAGGAGAAGAGAGAGAGAGAGAGAGAGAGAGCGTAACAGTAAAGAAACGCTTTCAGGAGATGAAAAATAAACAACGCGAGTCCGAGGATCGGCTCTTTGTTCTCCAAGCGCGCGGCATGCGCTACCGTATCATTTCTCTCTTGGTGGTTTAACGAGGGTAAAAGCAAAAAAGAAACAACGAAGAAGAAGAAGCACGTTTTGCACGCGATCTCTCTTTGAACCAAATGACAGCCGCAGGTGTCGACGCAAAGCCGCCACCGCCGTCGTCGTCGCAACGCCCCGGGAATAAGGAAATCAATTTTCACTGATGATACTTGACACCAAGTTCTGCCACGAATTTCATGGGAAATTCCAGCACAACTGGCGAGGGGAAAAAACGTAAAAGAATGCACACTTGTGTTAGCGTTTTTTGTTTTCAGAATACGAGGGCTGCTAGGAATTTGCATGATTGGTGGGATTTGCACTTTATTTGCAGTTTTGATGAATGGGTTTTTAACGACAATAATACTTTGATGTTAACGAAAACGTTTGCACATTGTTGTCTTTACACGGCGGTGCATTTAAAGCTCTGCAAAGATTTTTGCACAATTCCTAAAGTTAGAAGTTCAAAGACGTAATTTCATTTGAACCAGTATCGATTTCGTCTTGTTAATCAAGTTTAAAATATGCAGGCAGGCAACGATTTGAAATAAGGCAGGTTTATCTATTTATCATGTTTTATTTGAAAATCGAAGTCTGACCTCTTTCGCTGAGTGTATTGTGTTACAAACGACGCACATGCGCACGTGCGTTCACACCTCGGTTGAGTCCGGCTTTGATGATACGATTATTTAGTTTAGACTGCTTACGTAGAGTAAGTTTGGAATAACTGCAGCGTGACTGTCCATTTGTTATATATGGCGAATGAGCCAAGTGACGTATTGAAATTGATACGTAAGTTAACGTTAATCGGTACGTGTGAAGTTTTATACTCGGTAACACGAGCATCCGTTTCCGATTAGGCTTGTAAGCGTTGAGTTATCCGCTGACGTATTTGAAGAATCAGAAAGTACTGAATTTTGCGGGGGGGGAGGTTCAAAGTTTCAGATAAACAATTGCGCATTTCGTGCAGTATTGGGAGAGCAGAAATGTTCGAAAGCTTGATTTGAGATTTGAGGTCCCAGCCAGAAAATTTAGAAATTTTTGAAAGCCGCAAGAAGATCAAAGTAAACCGGCGAATACCGATGATCAGAATTGAGAATCGGAAGTAGAGATCGTTGCGAGTTCGCTTATGAGTCATTTGAATTGGAGAATTCAATCGTTTTCTCCAGACAATAGTAAGAGGTTGGTCTTTCAGATTTATTTCTACTCATTTACACGATCTTGTAACTCGACAATTTTCTTTTCACTATCAATATTTGTTACTATACCTTCATAGGTCACTTAATTAACATTTGAAATAAATTCGAAAACTTATATTAAATTTCGACTTTTTACTATGACTTAATCATCCCATTTGTATAATTTACACCTGGTTTTTTACGTGGGGGTAGCAGACTTTTAAGACTTTTATCAATTCCGCGTGATTTTTACACAAAATTAAGCTTCGGTTACTTATCAAAATTTAAAATCACCACTCAAGTTACTTTAAGTTTAATAGCATAAAGTATATGTGATGAAAAGTAAACGAAAAAAAAAATGGGACATAAGAATTCCCTGCAATAGTGTCCCAATGTTCGAGAATAATATCAAAATTTTAACGATTTCCTAATTAAAAAAAAAATAAATTTTCAGTTGTTTCTTAAAAATATTTAAATTGTACGATAAACAAGAAAAAAACTATCTGGATATCAATTTTGCTTTATAATGATCATTTTTAAGATTTAAGTTGTCGAAGATTGAGCTTTAGTTTCTTGTTATTTCATATCAATGACGAATGTTACTTTGAGGTAAAATATGCAAAACTCGATAAAAAATGTAAAATTTATTGAAAATCTCTATGAGTCTTTTGATCGAGTAATTCTTCAGTTCGAGCAACTCCATTCCCATCCTTATAAACACACTCAATTTGCAAAAAATAAAACGAGGAAACTATGCCCCTCTCGAAGCCAATCATCCCTTTGCTAAACATAGCATCAGCCAAATCGACAAAGAAGAAGAGAAAAACAGGGTCGAAGAGGCGGAAGAAAATTAGTGGCATTAGGCAGAAGGGAGTAGCAGCAGCAGCAGCAGCAGCAGCATCAACAATAACAAAACACGAGCAGAAAGTATGGTACATAGGAGGGGAACGTTAATCGTAGGGGTATCTCATCTCCATCTTACACTAGCTCGGCTAAGTGCTTTGCTCGCGCTCGCTGGTAATCGAGATGACGGAAGCGACGTTCGATTACGCAAGGAAACCGCATCTAGAACTCGTTAGCCGCTCACGTGCGTACGTTTTTCTTCTCTCTCTCTCCCTCTCTATCTCTCGCTTGTGCGCGCACGCTCGCAATACTCACTCAGCAAGAGAGAAAGAGAGAGCAGCAATTGAGGATAATGGGTATAAAGGGTGGGAATCGACGATCAGCTGTTCAGTTCTACGATCGTTGCCTTGATATGTGCACACACGTGCGCATGCACACACACACACACACACACACACACACACACACACACACACACACACACACACACACACACACACACACACACACACACACACACACACACACACACACACACACACACACACACACACACACACACACACACACACACACACACACACACACACACACACACACACACACACACACACACACACACACACACACACACACACACACACACACACACACACACACACACACACAGACAGACATACATTATACTCGACATCTCGTTTATTTGCCCGCGCTCTGCGTTTTTATGATCGCGCTCTTTCAGTGTCGCTCTATAATGACTTTTCATCTGACATTTTGATTCGCGCTTTGATTTGTTGACGAAGGCTATTATTTCGTTATCGCCGGCGAAAACTATTAAATAAATTAAGCGATCTGTGCACGCATTTTATTTTGATAAATACAGCTGTTTACTCTTGGAATATGCGAGCTAATGAAATCACAAACATATTAATTTTCATAAACTTTAAACCTGATTGAATAGGTAAACAATATAAACGCGTCGAATCGTAAAACCTAAGAGATGTTTGCAACAAACAATTTAATCAGACTTTTAATGTACTTTTATAAATACACTTGCTATTGCGTCAAAAAAATAATCATCCGCATAACATTTAACATACCTTCAATGTCACGAGACGCGTCTATGAAGAAAAAAAAACAAACAAAAAAGTTCCTCCCACCCGCACCAAGAGAAGAAAGTAAGAGAGAGAGAGAGCGAGAGCGAGAGAGAGAGAGAGAGAGAGAGAGAGAGAGAGAGAGAGAGAGAGAGAGAGAGAGAGAGAGAAAAAGAGAGAAACGACGATGGCGACGACGACGACGACAAGGCAAACCAGCATCCGCGCGCGGCATGAAAGTTTAAAGCGCCCGATGTATAGAGGCGAAGAAGAAACGCGGTGCATATACATCAGGACTTGTCCCTCTCTCCTTGACCTCGGCCGCCTCCCCCCGCGATGTGCCGTCGCCGTCTCCCTTTTTTTTCGACGCAAATAGACTATTTCACTACACCGCTACAAGCTTATCTGCGCCGCGTCAATGCAGCTCAAAATATAACACAGGCCCTTTTCAAAACTACGCCGCGGATAGGTACTTTTTTATCTTGCAAACGGCTTCGAAAGGCGAGACGCTAAATTGAAAAATATAATATAGGATAAAACTCACCTCGAGGTATCCAACGCGTCCATTGAACGGATAATCCCCAAGTCTGCGTTCCTCGTCCAAGAATTTGCCGGCCTTCCCGTTCACCGGCGGGTAGAACAGACCATAATTGAAGCTCTCCTTCAACTCCTGCAAAGCCATCCAATATACTTCATTAGGACAAATCGACTAGACCTTTCTTCTCTTCTCTATTTTCATTGTTTGTGATGTTCAATTTCGAATAATTTTTACATGCAGATGGAAAAATTTTTTTTTGTAATGAATTTATCTAAATGTGAACTATCAACAAGTTATTTTTATTTTCTATAGCGAGCAACGTCAAAACAGCAAATAGCGCATGCACAAATAACTTACGATCAGGCTACACTTTCAACCAAAAATTTTTTGTTCCTGAAAGCAACATAAAATTTTTGGGGGGTAAAAAGTTCCTCGTAAAACCTCAATTCCAAATCACAAGGTGTAAATCCCTCGCAAGTGCTTCGCCGCAAACAATTTCACGTTATTACGCTTCTATATACGAGTTGCGTTCGTTTGTGGCCCCCCTTTTTTTCTTTTCCAAGCCACGCCCAACACCTAAGCTTTGAAAGCTTGACCCTCTGATTACCGATGTGTATATGTGTGTGTGTGGTGAGCAGGCTGGAGACCCACTAATTCTTAAGGTAATTTTCCGTCGCGCAAATGGACGATCCATTAATAGTTTTTAATGGCTGCAGCCCTATTGGCTTGTCGCTTTAAGCTGCAGTGGAGAGAAAAAATAAGCAGCTTGAGAATTTATAGAGTTGTTCTCCGAAGAATTGCAATTACTGTGGCCTCATTTTTCAAATGCTTAATTAAATAGTGTGCAGAATGTGATTTCTTGCAATCTGATTTGACGCTGAGCATCAAAAATGTGTAAATGTGGAATGCACTGCGTACTGAATGTTGAAATTTTACAGTAACACTGCATTAGCATCTGTGGGTCATGTTCATAAGCCCAACAATCTTGTACCTCGTGTAAATAAGCACACTTGCCGAAAAAGGAGATGAAGCTCGCTCCTCGTGCTAGTATGTCAAAGCATTACGCGAATTTCCGCTTATTTCACCTTTTATTCGCGTATGTGACATCGAATTCCCTTAGTTGTATAACTACATTTGATGCAAAGGGCGTCTACGTGTAAAGATGTACAAACGTTCCTGTTGCGAAAAGTGGTAGCTAGGTCGAAATTCCCCGACGAAACGAGGTCGAGAGTTTCGTAGCACGAGGGAAAATTCCGCGCACTAAAAAACAAAATACTCGTGTATGAGCAGACGTCGAAAATGACATTTCTCCGAGATAACATTCCCAGTTGGCGGAGCGGCTGGAGGAAAATTGGAGCGTTAAGTTATTTCGGGCTTCTGCCGTTGCTATGCTACTGCTGCTGCGGTGTGATGGCCAAGAGGAGAAAAAAAAATGAGCGGTGTGTCGACGATGACGACGACGACGGAGCGAAAGGGGGCTACGAAGTTATTGAAGATACGTGCGCTGACTGTCGGTTATTTTTAAAGTAATACTCTTAAACATAGCTCGCCGCGAATAAATAACGAAGGAAGGCGTTTCCGATTGATTCCTCGTCAATTCGCGGGCGATCGAAAAAGAAAAAAAATTGCCGAGCGGCTGTGCCGATTAATGGGAACGAAGAGCATCGCATGAAAGCGATGGGTCGAGCGTGAAACCGCGCCCGCGTCGCCGTTCTCTCGATAATCGCCAAAGTTGACCGTATGGACAGCCTAGTCAATTTTATTGGATTGTCATACTTCCTCGTTCGCGCGCTCGTGAGCACAAATTGTTATTTATGCGCTGCACGGGCGGCTTTACAATCAATTTGTATCCTCCGCGGACGACTGTCTCTTTGCCAGACACGCCATTCGGTGAAAGTGTCGAATTTGCATTTGAAATTTCGAAGTCGCAAATTGCCTTTGTGCATTTTCTTTCTCGTCGATTTATTAGTTTTGAGAATGAAACGCGCGAAGCGTTCGAAAAAGTACTTCGCGCGGAACATCGTCCTACACGCTAATAAAACCATCGCGCGAAGAGAGACGAGAAGGGGAAGAAGAAAAAAAAATTGCGCCCAACTTGCCATAAAATCCATCGTCCGGCTCTTGCAACCCTCTCTCGCTGGCGAGTAAAAAATTCATACCTCTCACGTCAGCTCCATAGATCGTTTCGGGGCCGAGGGAAGCAAATAATTAGGCGCGACATGGGCTCTCCTCTCGCATCAATATGCATGAGAGTCGCATGTTTGCGAATGAAAAAAAGGAAAGAGAGAGAGAGAGTGACCCCTCCGCAGACAGATAAATCAGGGATGCGTGAGTTTGACTTTTAACAATAGCCATATATCTGATTTATCAAGTTTCTCTCTCTCTCTCTCTCTCTACACACATGCACGATGAAGCGATTCGATTCGAATCCGATATTTATTCCAAGTGTCTTTTTCTTTCTTGCTATTCAAGATACTAAATCTCTTCTACGGCCAATTTGTACGTTTGCCCCCTGTATAGAATGTCGATGAGATACACAAACAGACGCCGCCTGTTGTTATTGTCGTGCGTTTGTTCCAAGTGAATCGGCGAAATGAGCAATTACCGAGAGAGAGAGACAGAGAGAGAGAGCGTCACATTCCTTCACGCAACGTTACTAAAGGATATACGAAGCGGCGCGGCGCGGCGCCTGCTATGTAAACGTATACGTTTTCGAGTGAAAGTCACGCGTACGCGTTTGTCAGTGTCAACGCGAGCTAAAGTGTCGCCTGATGAATGATTTTTCAGGGATTTTCTATGCGGAAATTTGTTCGCGCAGGCCGTCAATTTCTTCTCTTTTCTCCCTTTCCGCGCCCCCGTGCGTGCCGACTTTACGATTCACCGATGAATTTCCAATAGGACGCGCCGCGGAACGACTGGAATTTATTGGACTCGTGGGGTCGTTACACTGGCAGCCTGCCGCACCGACGATGTAAAATAAATGTTAAAAGGGGGCCTCGTGCCCTGACTTTGTATTCGCGGAGGTCTCCGCGTTGCTCGACGGATTAGTTATGACTTTTCGGTGCGATCAAAGTCCATTGGCTCGCGTTCTTTCGTGTTTGCTAGGAGAGAGAATGCGAAATTTAGATTGTTCGCGGGAGATGAAATGTTTCATCGCGAGGATGGAATAAATCAGCGAATAATTTTGAATTACGAGTGTAGATAAGACAATATAACCACGCGCAATAATTTACCAAACACTTGATTACACTCGCGCAGGGAGCTTTATATGCATCGCTCGCACGCGCAATTTTTTAACCCTGCCAAATACCATATTCCCGCGCAACACGCGCCATTATTCACGCACTCGAGCAGCAAGCGATATATATCCTCCCTACTCAGAAAAGGCTTGCTACACCCATACAGCTTTCTATCAAATTTAATTAAGCCGTTCGCAACCCTGCCTTTTTTTCGCGTTCGATCCCAGAGAGGATTTCGTCTATATAGACAATTGATTACACAACCAATTTGAAGGGCTCGGCCGATCATCGCTTATCCTGTACGCCAGTGATCATTCAGAGGAAATTTCGTTTGCGATCGAGGCAAGCCTCATTATCGGCCAAACTCAGAAACGCAACGAGATTTTCATTATCAGCTTTTAAGCAAATTACTCTACTTGCTTTACGAGTCTAATAATTATGTTGTTTTTTCTTTTTCGAACATTCCAAAATTACAAAACTTTTCAACGGCATATGCTGTGATTATCGATGTACAACGATTTTGCTTTTCGAGGGGGCAGAGGAACCATAAAAATAAACTTCCAAGTACGAAGGTTAATTTCAGGGTCCGAAGTCTCTTCTACGGTTCAAAGGATTGCAGAGAGAGGCATGCAAGAAAGATGCCCCTTTATCAGGCGACCCGGGTTAGGAATAATAGGCGAACCGTGTCTAAATCGTGCTTTATGGCTTGTAATTGCAAAGAGAGTACGAAATAGTCAGAGAAAAAGAGAAGAAGCAAAGGGTAAAGAAGCAGTGTTTTATTAAAGCTTCTTAGTATCAATAGTAATCACGCTAAATGCATGTGTGATTAAATTCATTTTGCAAATTTATCTACGACAATTTTAGAGAGACGTTACGATTAAATATTTTGTTACGTCTTCTAGTGTTAATGGTTGACCGGTTTTCAAAATTACGGTTTCCTTGCCGTGCAAAATATGGAAGCTATTTTTGGAGAATCGACCTGCTATGCTGCCTTTCTCTAGTCAAACGAGTATTGCTATATTTTTGGAAGTGATTTCGATAACAAACTTTGATTTATTTATAATCGAACTGAAACTGATATTTATCTAGAAAATATGAATATTCATTTGTGTTTTAGATCCCAAATTTCAAATGCTTACAGTAACTTCCGTTAACGGTTAGAGATAAATATAATTATCTGAAGCAATTTTTATGATACAATTAGACAATTTTGTCTTGATGATGTTCCAGCTACACATCCAGCTTCATGCAAAATTTTATCAATTTTGCAATCAGTGTACTTGGCTTAGATTCATTAAATCCCTTCAAGTTAAAAATATATTAGGTGAATAGGTCATTAGAGTTTATCCATATTACAATTAACCATAGTTACGTTTTTTAGTTGAATAGTATTAGTAGCCATTGAATTTTTCCACTCGTAAAATACCATGTCGATATTGAAATTCATGAAATTCTCAAGTAAATCAGATACAATATGTATAATGAGCTCATCAGTTCCATTTAAACGTGAGGTTATAGTCATAGGAGTAAAAACTATTTAACATAATAAATGCAATATTTTCCAACATCCTTTGAAATCTGTCAAAAAAATCAGGTAAACATTTCACTTCGCAATCAATATTTACATATGAAAACAGTATATGCACCGAGCGTATTTGTCACCTATCGGTGACTACGAAGGAGCTTGCCAAACATCATTAAGCTGCCAATACAAAGCGTCCATCGTCATACCTTCTCCTTCAACATTGAATAAACTTTCCATTTGCCGATAGAATTCCATTTGCACTTTAATTGAGACTAATTGTGCAATTTGACTCAAATAAATGTAAGTCGTCAAGTTTTGCAGAGAATTTCCAATTTTTAGTTTTACAAACTTGTGCAATATTTGGTTGG